TTCCATTTATTCTTCTATCCAAATAAATGTTTTTCTTATTCTTGTATCCAAACATTAGAAGACCGGGTTGAATCGGTTGGACCAGGTTAACCCACGACCCATTAATCCGGTTGAATCTCTCATTTAAAGCAACTATTTTTTTTCCATTTATTCATCTATCCAAATAAACATTTCTCTTATTCTCTTATACTGATACTCCCTATATCAATGTTTTGAAAATCGGACCAGAAGCTGAACAGGGAAGATCTGTGGGTCGTGGGTTAACCTGGTCCAACCGATTCAACCGGATTTTTAATAAATAATATATTTTATTAATATATATATATATTAAAGTGTATAGTGAATAGTGACTACATTAAACAAAACCCTATTCTCTTTCTTCCGAAACACCGCCGCCCATTTTTCTTCTCCTTCTTGCTCTTTTCTCTGTCTTCTCCCTCCTTCTTCTCCTTCTTGCTCGTACTCAAGTTTTAATTTATGCATAATAGTTCTTCTAATGGTTCTTTCTTTCTTATCTCTACGGTTTTTTATTTTTATTCCTAATATCAGATCAAGATATATCAGAGAAAACCAACACAAAAAGATGATGTGATTGTGAAAAACAATTTTTTTTTTACTTACATGAATATAAACAGTTTGAGAAAGATACGCGGCCAACACTCTGGAGATTAACAAGTACACAAGTATCAATTTAGGGTTTTAAAATTACAAAAAAAACCTGGTTTTTTAATTTACTCGAACCGGCCGGGTTTTGGGTTTTAGCCGGGGCTTTAACGGTTTTTGTGGGTCAACTTCAATCACGGGTTTTCACTAAACTCAAACCGGGATGAGGTCCGGTTCCCGGTTAGACCTTTCCGACCGGCCGGTCCGGTCCGATTTTTTAATCATTGCCCTATATTCTTGAATAAGTAGTGTTGTAAATTTTTCGCACAAAGATTCAAAAATTATTTAATTTCTTATTTTTTGAAAACAAATATCATCAATTTCAAAAACATTTCAACTAATAAAATTTTAATCTGCAGAACTTTTTTTTTTTGATAAATAATCTACAGAACTCAAACAGTTAAAACAACAAAATACACATATGGTTCCACTTGAGGAGCAATTACCATGTTGGTCTAGACAGAGATAAATTACCCTCAAACATATAATTATTAACAATTCCCATTTGGCCACACGGATATATACCCTTGTCGTAAGCACATTTGAATACCTAAAGAGAAAGTTTATCCATGGGCTGCACATCTCCTACCGATTATTCCTCTTCCAGAACTATGAGATTTATGAATTTTCAAAAAAAAAAAAAAAATACAAATAATTTTTGCATTTTGATATATTAACACCACTTATTTGTGGGAAAAAAAAGATCTCCTAAGACACCACTTTTGCATTTCTTTCCAAGATCTTGATTTTTAGAATTCTCGTGTTAAAAAACATTGCATAATATATATTGGATCTTTAGTCGTTAAACTTTTACAAGTAAAACGGTAATCACTAAGATTTCACCAATTGTGTTTTAAATTTAATACTCACTTCGTTTCAATTTAATTGTAATTCTGGAGTTAAAATTTTATTACATATTACTTGTCGTTTTGTATCGTCAATGCAGAGTTATTACGACTCCAGTTTTGTCCCTACTCTTTTAGGTTATGTTCATATCAAACAAAACATATTATTAATTAGGGATAAAACAATCACTTAATTATTTTCTTAATATGCGTAAAAAAATCTAGACCGACAACTAAAATGAAATGGAGAGAGTATTGACTACAACTCATACATATCCGATATGTAATAGACATGATTTAATTTATTTATTTTCATTTGATTTTAGCAATAAATTAATTCATCAACTTTAATACTCCCTCTGTTCTATATTTTTTTACGCAAATTAAGAAAATAATTATAGTTATTGTTATACTCCTACTATTAATTTGTTTTGGTTGATATGAATAATTTATGAGCTAAAAGAGTAGTGATAAAACTGGAAAATTAATAATAACTCTGTATTGAAGATCCAAAATGACAAGTAATTAATATGTAACAAAATTTTAACTTTAGAATGATAACCAAATTAAAATGAATTGAGTATATCTTTAGCGTCCAGATATGGTATTTGATGATACTTTAAGACGATTATGACTTTTAAAACAATTTTCTGAAATGATTTCAAACTAATATCGATCTGAATATACGCATAACAGTGTGTACTCCTTCCATTCTTTAAAGACAACTGTTATGTTTTTTTACATATATTAAGAAAAATTTAATTTGCAATTAGACAATTTCTTATAGTGAATTCTGGAGGTAAGAGTTTGACGCATTTAAGTTTTATATAATCCCTTGTCAATTGAATATCTGTCTATCTTATTTTGTTGCTTTTTTATGGATTGTATGTTTCAATGAGAATATGTAATTCCTTATTAACTTCCAAGCTTAAATTAATGAAAATAAGAGTTGCACACACACACAAAAACATAAAAGTTTTTTTTGTCTGGTATGATTTGGTATGATTTCAATTATGAAATCACCTCTTATTGGATATAATATTTAAAAAAATCACTCAAAATCCTAAGTTATTGGACTAATGATTTATACAAATTATTTAAAATCCCACCTTATTGGAAAATTAAAATTTCATCAACAAAATATATCAAAAACTATTTTGAGTGATTTGCGAGAGATTTTGTTTTATATCCAAATACCACCTTATAAAATATCATGAGTATTATAAGAGAAAAAGGAAAATAATTTATTTATTTATTTATATGTATATATATATTTTAACTAAATAAATTATTTTCCTTTTTCTCTTATAATACTCATGATATTTTATAGGGATAACAATTAAAATTGAATTGTTTTTTTTAGATACCTTGAAATCCCACCTAATCACTTTAAAATTTCTAACAGTAAACTTGCAAATCTACTCAAATCATTGAGATCATTTAGATTTGTGGCAATGTCTTAAAAACCGGACTGGACTTTGAACGGATGTCTCCTTAGATCATGGTTCAACCTAGCTCGACTAGTTGGACCGGATTTTCTAATTTTTAATAATAAATATATTTAAATATAAAGGTATAGAAAAGATAGGTTTAAATTTTATAAATTCAAATAAAAACTTATAAATATAGTAAAATTATATGAATGTGAAGCCTTTAAAAAATTATATGACTGTGAAATATTATGGTTCTACAAATAAACAACATTAAAGTATAAGTGTTCAAGAATAAAAGTCAGAGTATAACAATATTTTTAGATTTTAATTCTTCAAAATTATTAAGTTCGTCTTAGATAATTGCGTGTCTAACTCATCATATCTAAGTAAAAAAAAATTAAGAGTTTTTACTAAAATAAAAATCGGGGTTTGTAATTAACCCGACCCAACTGATTTGTGAATTTTTGCCGGATTTTAGTGGATTTTCTTAGATCAACTTCAATTTTGAGTTTTCGTAAAATCTCAATCAAATTACCCGTGGTTCACGGTTCAACCGGTCTTTTAACCAACTGAATTTAACAATAATCTATGTCAAAATATAATTTTGGTAATTATTTATTATCAAGATTAGAATACTTAGAAGTTTAATTTTCAAAACATTTAAAATTGGTTAGTTTTAATATACATAAAATTAGACCAAATCTCTCATACAATAAAGTGAAACAGTACGTGGGCCACAAGAAACGGAGACTGATTTGTCAGGACACGCAGAGGCCTAAATTCCTTTTTCAGTAAAACACTTCAAAAGTATAATTCCAAGTTTCCATCTATAATAATACTTTTCTATTCCTAATTTCAATTTTCTTTTGTCGTCTTTATTTATTGGTTTATATACACAGATTATATATATGCATGTATATATTAATCGACCTTTTCTGTAGATTTGAACCGACTAAATCGTTTGAAATTGAAGCAGTCTTGCTATCTAATTTTATTTTCTAGTAGGATGGGGTATTATTTATAAGTTAAAGTAGTAACAGGGCAAAAAAAAGACTACTAACATACTAACATAGCCATATCTGAACTTGCATTTTTGTGTGTATCGTCGATGTCTTGATTCATTCAACAATATATCTTGAAGAAAAGAATTTATCTAGTAACTCAGTGAAATATTGGAAATATAAAATAAAAGTTTCACTTTGACTCTACCTTTTGGGAAATGGACCTTGCAGAAAATCCAATTTACTGTATAGTGTGATTTTTGGAAAAATGCAAGTTAATCTGTCACGAAAACAAATTTCAGCAATCAAAACTTCAAGCTTCCTAATTTTTGAAGTTAAAAAATGCTTCCTAACTTTTTCTAAAACTTATTTAAAAATGTACATTGATATCAAATATGTATAGAAATTACTTATATTAAATTTCAAACTAAGGAAAAAAAACTTCAGAACCAGTAATCATGAACCTACCATAATGAAAAGAAAGTGTTTAAACCAATAACATATATCCACAAATGATATTTTAAATAAAACATATTTTATCAGTTTATGATCAACAAACCAAGTACAATCCAATGACTATGAAAGTCTTAAATCAACATTCTACATATAAGATTTGTCAAATGCAAATAGTCATGAAAGAAAAAAGACTCAGTCCAATAGAAATCCTGGACCAACATATTTATAATTCTATACAGATATAGATAAGATAACATTCTATTTTTGAAGTCTTAAAAAAATGGAAACTAAAAAAATAATTAATTCCATCGAAGTGTCAAAAACATATACATACAGTATATAGATACAGAAAGCAAAGCGGGGTCCGCACTCAAAGCCATATGATGACATCATCACATAAGACACAAGAAACTTGAGTACTCTCTACGTTTCCTTTCTTCTTCTTCTTCCTCTCTATATAAACCCTACCATTTCTTCTTCTCTACTACTGTTCTCTCTAATCTTATAATCTAATTTCGACTAATAAATCAAAACCCCTAATTTCAATTATCATTTTCTAGTTTCTCCTCACAGATCCTTATAAACCCCTGATTTCTGGAAAAATGTCTGAAGAATTCGACGAATCTGAGATCATTTTCTCTGACAGTTTCTTTCCAATTCGCCGGCGGGAGGAAGTGAACGAGAAAGAGAATCGTCCGGTCGATTTCCGGGAAAACTCCGAAAGAGTGAGGAACAAATCGAGGCGGAGCAAAACGACGACGCCGTTGCCTTCACCGGCGGCGGCTTTCTCGACTTCGCTTCCGGTGAATATACCGGGTAATATGATGCGGAGGTATTCGGAGGAGGAATATTCCGATGAAGACGGAGGGAAGAAAATGATTCCGCCGCATCTGATCGTAGGACGGAGGATTGAAGGAGGTAAAATGGCGTTTTCCGTTTGTACAGGTAACGGAAGGACTCTCAAAGGACGGGATCTGAGCCGGGTTCGTAATTCGGTTCTCATGTTAACCGGGTTTTTGGAGGCTTAACTCGGACCGGTTTTAGATTTTTGTCGGGTTTCAATCTTTCCCATTTTTTTTTCTGGTTTTGGGGGAAGAAGAAATCAGCGGGGTCTCGTATTGTTTGTTTAGTTTAATTGAAGGTCAAAAGGAAAATGTCAAAAAAAAGAACATTTATTTCCTTTTTATTTTTTTAAATTCTTAATTTTGATTGTTCTCAAATGCTATAGAAAACAGAAGAAAAAAATTATGATTAATAATAATTGGGGAAATTGGCAAAGTACCCCAAAAAAGGTTTGTCCTTTACCCTTTTTTTGACTTTGGCCATTTTTTGCCTTAATTGCCTTCAATATTGTTAAAACCTCATAATGAATATTTTTTTAAGTGAACAAAATTTCTAAAATTCCTAAAAATGATGTCAAGAATGTGTAAAATAGTTGAACATTTTTTAAAATGTTTTGGATGGTTAGAAAATTCTTTGAAGTTTTTGTTCTACAAAGTAAATTATCAAAGCAGAATACGTTTTCTACAAGATATTCGCACGTCTAACCGCCGTAGAATATGATATCTACAACTTCTTCATTCATCTTCCGGATTAGACTTCGATATCTACCATATACAATACACTCTACCATTTTGTAGAATTCGCTCCAAATATATTCTACAGAATACACCATCCGCTACTAATCGTAGATTTCAAATTCTATGGTAAACACTGCTATCTACCGGTCCTAGTTTTCGTGTACTACATATTTCATGTTTTTCTGCATGGCGTAGAACCAGTGATCTACTAAAAAGAAGACTTCTACAATCCGCAGTAATCGTGTTTCCACTGGATGTTCTACTAAATAGGTGAGTTCTACATTTTGTAGAGTTCAACTTCTGCCAAAATCGAGAGAATATTGCAACCAAATATTTTTCAAATCTTTGTTTCCTTATTTTCCTCCAACTATCCGAAAATATACCACGACTAATCCTCCATGTTCTTCCTCGTCTTCTTCATCCCCTTCCTCCTCTTGTAGTCCTCTATCTCTCTATCATTTCTTAACTAATATGGTTCAAATATGTAGCTTGTGGTTCATGGAAAATGTTTTAATTTATTTTAAAATAAATAAGGTTCAAATCTATGTAGCTTATACTTTGATATTTTAGAATTGTAGAACAAAACTTCAAAGAATTTTCTAACCATCCAAAACAATTTTAAAAATATTCAAATATTTTACACATTCTTTAGATCATTTATAGGACTTTTAGAAATTTTATTTATTTTAATTTTAATTTTTGATTTTGTTTTATTTATTTTAATTTTTTTAAATCGAAAAATGTTTAAATTTCTAAAAAAACATTATCAACTCAATTTCAAGGTTAAAAATGGACAAATTGCCAAAAAAAAATGTATTGAGACAAAGATCAAATGCAAAGTGTAATGGGACAAGGAAGCCTTTTTTTGGAGTATTTTGGCAATTTTCTCATAATTAACTGTTACAGAACTTGATATCCAGTGTTCATCAACTCTATTCTTTCTCCCTGGTGAAATTGGATCTTAGAAGTTGGATTTTTGTTTTTTTTCTGTAATGAAGATGAGGACAAAAGAAGAACAGAACCAGCTGTTCGGTTGTAATTGATTGAGTGGGACATTTCTTGCCGGTGACATCAATTCTAGAAAATTCCATTATTTTAACTTAACTCAGTTCAATATGCATATTTTGTTCATCATCTGATATAATTATTTTATGCACTTGTAGTCAAATCATGTTATTATATGAGGGTGGTACGAATATGCAGTAGTAAAATAAAAACTTGATACTGGAAAAAAAAACCAACTTGATAAATATGGAGTAAAAAGTCCAAACAAATTCTTCTAATCTTAGCCAAATATAAACTGAAATGAAAGGTCAATGATTTAAACCTTACCTTTTCCTTTATTAAATCGGCATGCTTGATTTTCTTTCTAGCCATCACTTTGGAATTCAAGCTTCTCGTGGATAAACTTTGACATGATTATAAGCAGACGGCACATGCATCTAGCCATGTTCTTATCCATTAAGGCATTAACTTTGTTACTATATTATTTTATATTTTAACTTTTGAGCTTGTTTTTCACATTCCAATTGCGATAGTATACCCGGCCCTAATACATGTTTTATACTTTAACAAAGGATGTATAATGTAAACATGCACGATCTTTGTTTAAGCAGCTTCTTTTTCCAATAATTATGCGTTTTTTTATATCACTCATGGTTTTATATTTTTTTTTTATATAAAAAAACCGACAAGAAAATAATAACTCACACCATAATTGCATAAAATTCTCCTTGTCTGTCATTCAACATAAAAGAAAAGACAAATAAATTTAATGCAATTATAGCGTGAGTTATATTTTTTATATATAAAAAGTCGTTTTATTTTTACAGTAAACTGACACTGACAATGATTCACGAGTCTCATGCGTCACTAGAAGAATCGTTTAGCCATTACCACTAGAATTGTTAGTCAGCAAAACTAATAAACTAAATCCTAACCGATCATATATTACTTTGCATTTGACTATTTAACCGCGAGAAGATAAAATCAAGATCATATGGAACAAACTTTATCCATTAACAATCTTTTTACTTTGCATTTGAGGATTTAACCGCGAACAGATCAGATGAAGAACATATGTATGTTTAACAAAAAAAAAGTTTGTTGGACGATTGCAAAATTGTTATTTCTGCCGATAATATATGAATTACACTAGCAAAAATAAGTGTGATGACGTGGAGGTACAACTGGACCACGTGTGTGGAAAGCAGAAACTTCGAGTGTGGATGATCAAAAATGTCAGAATCTGATTGAACTCACACAAATGATATGTTTCCATTGCATTCACGTGCATACTTTCTTAGCCACAATTGAGCAAAGCTAACAAATTATACCAAATCATTGATACTGAAACTTAGCTTGTCTTTTTCTCAATAAATCCCTTGGAAGGTTTATGGTTTGGCCCACTATTACATTTATTGCAACACTATTGCTTTTGGATCTCTGCAACTTTCTGTTATGAAAATGATTTTCTGTAATTCCTCAAAATAGACACCTTACAAAATAAACACCTAATTTCCATGAGATCACAAGTGGGAAATTGTTTCCCCAACCTATTAATCAAATTGTTGTGTAACGAATCTATGAACAAGAATGTGCTACACAGTACAATACAAGAACAATATAATGCGACCAAGTAAGTTGTTTCCGTAGCAAATGTGAAAAATCTCTCACATTTTACCGTAAAGAGATGGTTAGCTTACAAATCTGAGCTCACAATCTCCTTTGACTTTGTCACTGTTTCTCGGCTGCTTGACGCATAACCAAACTTGCTGAAGTCTGGTTTAGGAGATAACCTTTTTTTAGAGAGAACCAGAAACAGGAAACAAACAAATCTATCTGAGATTACTGCATCAACAATCACCAGAAACCATTGAAGATAAGAAAATTCTAAGGAGGTCAAAATGCTTACCCTTTGGACAGACAATTGTTGCGGATATCTTTGAGAGGTGCACGGAGACCGCTAGCACGAGAGCCAGACCCAGAGTATCTGAAAGATGATATAGCTGAGACAAATCTTTCCACAGACTTCTCTGCTATTTCTGAGTAATGCCTTATATGTGAAATGTTGGATCCAAACTTCTCAGCATCATCGGTTTCAAAAGATGTTTCTGCATTTACAGCTTCACAAAAAATAGTACAGGCCAAAAGACACGTTTAGTCGAAGATACCATTGCATATATAACCAGTAATATACAGATAGAGGAATTTTAGGGCAGGTTCCTATAATTACCAGGATCAGTTTCATTCATGCGCATGTGCTTGGGGTTAGAATTTTCCTGCAATAGTTAGAAAAGTTGGTAAATAGCTTGATTAATGACCGCATAGGCGGCAAAGAACAGTACAAATACAATACTATCTACCTTCTGAAGGAATTCATCTGAGTCAAGCTTCCTTTTCCCAGTTGCAGCTCCTGTAAAACTATTACTGGGAATGGCAGAGAGAGGCATAACATTCTCGGGAGTACCGATCTCAACAGATGGGTTATGATCTCCTTTACCAATCTGATGGTTCATCTTGTCGATGTTTGTTGTTCCCTCAGCCACCTTGTTGATGGTAGAGAAACTCGCTTCTTTAGCATCTTCATGATTGTTGTAGCTTTGCTCTTGACTGGTAGCTATAGCTCTGTGACTATCGTCTCTTGTACAGGCGCTTGACTTGTTTATCGCAGTTTTAAGAATCTTTCTCTGACCCATCACAGAGCAATCATTGAGACATTGGGTCGATTGTTTAAGACTTCTGTCCCCCTGCTTCTGCTTAAAATACTTGCTTCTTACTACAACCTTTACACTATCTGTCTTTGGCCTCTCCACTTGCTGTTTGACATGCTTATGATCAAAGTCTTCGTAATTCCTCTCCATTGCATCTAACAGATCGTTACACGTGAAAGATGAGTCAGGATATAAAGCTCAGAGTCAGGATATAAAGCTCAGAGTCTAATTTCTTTTCAATTTTGAATGTAAAAGCAAATTGTACCATTGTTGGGTGACTCTCTTCTCTCTGCAACTTTGCTAGCACAAGAATTCTCGCCCTAAAGACACGCAGAGATTAGAGCTTGTGCTACGACTTCCGAAAACTAAAATGTGCTTCTTCTAGTTTCTTACCACGCTGTAAACCGGGGATTCATCTGTTGTCTCACTCGAAGGAGCATCCACACCTGTTGCATTATCCTCAGGAGTGCTTGGAGACTCCTCTGTTGGGGTCACAGACATTGGTGATATCCTCGGAGCCTTGAATTTTCTTTTTGCCTCAAGAGTTGCAAAGCCTTTCAGATGTTAAGTGAAGAACAAGTAGTCCAGAGAAAACATCGCCACTGTCAACAGCTATTTAGACTATTAAAGGTATACTTAATCAAGAAAACACGTACTAAACCAAACGAATCAAGTTCTAACTGTAATCAACTATTAAGAAATGAAAGGAAAGGGATGTAACATTGAAGGATACAAAAATACTTGGTGAGAAGGTTTTTCTGGACTGGCAAATCAAGCTTTTTCTTCATGTTTTCAGGTTTGAAACTTTTAGGACGGGGAATATCATCAACAACCGATTTAGGAGTAACACTCTCGGCCTATTCATTTAAGAAAACAAGACAGTGGATCAAGGAAACATCTCCGGGAAGGAGAAAGACCGAGAGACTAGAAATATAAAGAAGTCGGCTTACGGTACCTGGAACTGCAACTGTGTGAATGGATCAAGCTGGCCCAGTGCTATGCCCTTAGCAATATGTTGTGGCATCGATGTGAACAACGTTAAGGAATCAACTAAAATGTGTCATGATAAAAGGGATGCCTAAAATTAAAATAGAGTTGTCTCAAAGGATATGGGCCTACAAAATCTGAATCTTCACCAATGTCTTCGGAAATGTTAGACAAGTGTATAATGTCTTCAGTTTTTGGATCATAGACCCTTTGATGCTTGAAAGTCAGCAATGCTTTCTTGAATGACTCTTCATAAAGAGGAGGAACTGAAACTGTGCTGTACTTTAAGTGCTTAATCACCTGAAAGCAATTAAAAAGCCACACATCATACAAGAATGATGCCAGAAATCAAAAACTAATTTGTGGTTAAGTATCCAGTTCTTAATTAACCATACTCTTGCTTTACCAAATTTCATTGTTGTAAGATAAAATCAAGAGAGGAAAGAATGTGTACCCTGTCATAACTTCTGAACTTTGTAATGAGTGTATGAGCTCGTTTGAGTCCCATTCCTGGCAGTGACTGCAGATAATCACAGCCACTCAATATGCACATCTCGAGAAGCATCTGGCTTGAAAATGCAGAAAGATTGAGCTCCTTATTCTTAGGTAGATTGGACGCTTGAAACTCGACACCATGACCAAACTTGTCCATTTTAAAGATGATCTGCGACATATAAATTGACAATTGAAGGCAGCAGTGGTAATATGGATTAAGAACTTGACATCATCTCTACCAGTAAAGAAAAGAGGAACTACTGATGAACTGTGAATGATCAATGACCTGACGCACAGTGTAACAGAAAACTTACTCTGGGGCAGCCAAAAGGAATGAGATCAGAATCCTCAGTGATAATGGCATCAACTTGCTTAGTAATAGCCAAAAATGTCATCTGCGCATCAGCTTCGTAAGGAGCAACAACGTAATCAACATTCTCCTGCCTCAGAACCTGAATCAACTCGTGTGCAATTGAAGGTGAGATGTCTACAGCCTTTTGATAGCACTCATAAGCAGCCGAGGAGTTTCCATTTGCTTCATGCTCCAATGCACGTGCAAGATTCTCTTTCCTGGACCTGAACATATCAAAAGAAGAGGACTTGGTGTGAGTGAATGATGACCAAGAAACAACACATAAGCCCGCTTATTGTGCTTCAAGTAATGTCATACCTTGCACGCTTGTTCTCTTGTTCTAGTTTCATTGGTAACGGACCTCCATCGAAGACAAGAATAGGCTTCACTCCATGATGGCGGAGCAAATTCACTCTATGCATACAGTATTGAATATGCCTGAAAAGAGTAGACACCACTAAACCCATTATCTTCTCCAAAAGCATATCTTATAGATTAACTATATCTTCTGCAAAATAATAAGATGATACATATCTTAAAGCTTAACTAGAGAAATCACAATTACTATGTGTCAAATTGTATCCGGCTTCAGAACAGATGATAATTAGATTCAAAATCCTTCGTGTCTAAACAAAGTATCAATCACATACAAAAACTTTTGAATCTTCACAAAAGTTTGATTTTTTCAGGGCGTGTTCAACGAATTAGGACCATACACTTCGAGAGAAAGAAACCCAATTGCTAAATTTGGGGGAAAACAAAAAATCAGTCGAGGGAGAGAGAAAACCTCGTGGTGGGTAAACCCTTGCAGAGCTCTCGGCTACAAGAGAGAGCGCCTTTGTGAAGCCATGAATATGTATCGACGGCGACGATAGAACCCTCGAGCTCCTTGATATGCATCGGAACCATAATCGATTTCAGCAACGGCAAAAGCCCTTGAATACCCATTTTCCCCTTTTCCTGTTTCAATTCGATTTTCGAAGTACCCAAATAAAACCCTAATTTCGCCCTGCCGGTGACATTTCGGGACTCTGGACTGTATATCGACAATGGAGGATGGGGTTCATTTTGACAGATCTGGCGGGAAAATTCTAATCGGGGATTTTTTTGGGGACCAAATGTCTCTAGTTTCAATTGGGGATTTAACCGAGTTTTAATTAATTCTGTAAATTTGACAGCTATTCTTTTATTTCGTATTTGACCCCCCAAAAAAAGACTTTTATTTCGTATAATTTTAAATTTAATTTATTTCTTAAAAAAACAATTATTTGAGTAGACGTGTTAGGATTTGAAATATACTGTTCTTTTTTAGACCACATCTTTAATTTTTTGACCAAGAAAAATACAACTTTTTAGGTATTATAAAGTTGTATTCCACATCATAGTATAGAAATACACTTAAACACCACTTCAAACACTACTGCATGTTACAATTGCACTCAATCAAGATCACAGTAATATATAAATTTAGATTGATAAACATAACAATAAAGTTTTATTATGTAGAAATGTCAATCAACCAAATACGAATGAACTGTATTTAAATAAGTCAATCTAAACTAAAAATTAGTAAACTAACATAAAAGTATTGAACTTGGATTTGAAATAATTTGACGTGATTTCATTTTCAGATAATTTTTGGTGAATTAGTAGGTAAGTTGTAACAATGTCGTCATCCATATTCCAAGCCGGGTGTTCACTCCTGCTGTTGTTCATCAACAGCTTCTTGTCCTTTCCCATGAAGTAAGTTTCTGTCACCATCAATTTCTCCTCCACATACATCTAGAATACCAACAAGACAACAAAGCAAAACGACATTTCTCCGGCGACACCTATAGTCTCGATTCTTAATGCTCCGGGTCTACCTTCACTTGGACTGAAAATATATCATTTTCGAAAGAAAAAAAATATAAATATATATATATATATATTAGCAAAACATGATAACATTTGTTATATTTCTTATGTTTTACTTATGATTCACATAAATTTTGCTTATAATTTGCTTATGTTATACTTATTTTTATAAATTTTTTTCTTTTACAACTTAGATGAATATGTACTCCCTCTCGATGTTCAAGAATACAGTAGGCGTTAATTGGGCGGTTGATGAGGATCTAGTGCCTAATCAATTAATCAGGACTAAATGATTATTCGAGGATTTATTTTGCGTATTAGATTAGACAAAAAATATTTAATATTTAAGAGTAGACAAAAAATATTTAATATATTAAAAGAGACGACAAATAAATAAAAAACTTTGTGTCATGTGATATTAATAGTCATGCTAGTGTGTCATTCTCAAGGTAAATTTTAATTAAGACAGATTATTAAACTAATTACATTTTATGTCATTGACATTAATTTGGTTATAGAATAGGTTATATCAATATTTATACATAATTCAGCATTTATATATTAAAAAAACATATTTTTTACTACAAGTTTTAATTGAATTTTTAAAAACGAATATCAATTTATCAAATCTTATATATAATAGGAGAGTTTTCTCTCCTCTAAAGCTATCCACATCAGCCAACTTTATGGAAATTATGGGTCCCATATTTAATTATAAATTGTGAAACAAAAGAAAAGAAAATAAGAAAATAGGAAATAAGAAATAAGAAATACGAAATAAGAAATGATAAATATTATAACTAAAATTAATTAATCAATTACTTTACACACTTTTAATTATTATATTTTCCTAAAATAAAATATATTATTTACCAAAAACCTTAATATATTTCACAAAATAAAGTAATGAAAACATCAACTACAAAAATTAATAGATATTAGATGAATTATAAAATTTAAGAAAGTATTTTCACATAACTTGAAAATTCAAAATTTAGAAAGATAACTATAAATAAGAAAAAAATTAACATGTTGAAACAATATAGATTTTCTAATAGTTACAAATTAGTAATGATATAAAAAAATTATAAGTTTGTTTGTAACTGAATATAAATTTTTTGAAAAGGTTTTATAATAAAAATAAAAAGACTTATTTTTTCAATGAAAAATACATATGACAAATTTGAGAATGTAATGCAGTTACGAAAAAACATATTTTATGTTAAAGATGGTGTTACAAACTCAATAAAGTATATAGTTCTGAATTAGGTTGAGACTCTATATGCTACAATGTAATTATATGTGAATGAAGAAAAGTTGAAAGTAGAAAGACATGATATAAAAACTCTAAAATGTTGGAGAGAAAACTATAAATACTGTAAAATATGCATGGGAAACGGCAAAGAATATGACTCAAAAGGTGACTGAGGCGATAGTGGTTGAGTGTGGCTTATAGGCCGGAATGATGTTAATAAGAACTTTGACGAGAAGTTCTAAGTTCATTAAACAACCATTTTTTTGATTCTGGAAAGATAATAACTATTCATGAAATACTAACAAATCATAGAAATAGTTGTCGAATTTTTGGAAGAAATAGAATTAAAACATTTAAAATAAACATAACGGCATCATCTATTACAAAACTTTAGTAATATACAAAACAACAAAGAAAAACAATATAAGCATATTTTTTAAAATATAGAAATGATGATTAACCGAAACCATAGACCTCCGCTTGCGCGGAGGTATAATACCTAGTGATAAAAATATGAGTTTTTCAAAGTCCCACATTGAAAATAAAGATATGTGGATGGTTCACTAGACTATTATAAGAATAAATGATAAGAAATTATAAGAGTAAGAAAGTTGATTTAATAAGCATCAAAATTTATAATATTTTTGGTTTAATATGATTTTTTAATGGAACCATATAATTAAACCAAATAATATCTATAATATTTAAAATATTTTGATGTGAAAAAGCTGAAAATATTTATAAGATAGTTAAAATAATTAAACCATATGAATTTAGGTTAAAAAATAGATTTAAGCATAACCAGATTATTGATGTCTAAAATTTTGATAAGATCATAATATATTTCCACTCAAGTAACTTTCATGCTAATGTGGTGGTTGCATTAAACTATGGGTCTGATTGGTTGTATTTGTAGCTTTGGATTTTTTTGCTGTAGAATTCAGGCTATAGATTTTTTTGCTAGGGAATATGGTGGTTGCACTAAACTATGGGTCATATTAAAAAAAAATATAGAGAATGAGATTAAGGAATAAGAAGAGAGAGAATTTTCAGAGCCCTTAAATTTGTGCTCGGAAAATCTGCTCTAGCCAAAACATTTCCATATTTAAAATTATGGCTCTGAACTTAAAAAATGAAATCAAAGCATAATTGGTTAACACTAGTGCTCTAGAAATAATTATTGCTCTGCAGACCACTCAGAGCACTTACCAATCACTCCCTATAACTAAACAACACAACAACCACAAGATTGAAATAACGAAAACGGGACCTAAATGACTAAAATCTCCCCAACACATATCGATTTCGTGCCTTGCAAGGCATCATCTGAAAGTCCTCTTTGATGATGCGTCTTGTAATTAACTATGTTCCCTCTTAAAACCCATCACCTTCTTTCCTTTCAATCCCAATAGCTCGTAATGAGTCTCTGGATTCCACTCAGATCGTTAAATTCAACACTAGGTTTGACCTGAAAAAACCAAAATAAAAAAAACACAAAAAAAACTCACATAAGAATCTTTTTCCTGTATATGATATCTCAAGATAGAAATGAAGAATGATTCACAATTCAATACCTGATCAAGCATCGTACGAGTTTCCCTCCTCTCCCTCTCAATATCTCTCTGACTCTGTATCTCATCCTGATTCTCTTGCATCTCCTCAGTATAACCGGATTATCTACTGTACATCTCTTGCATCTCCACGAATTGAAGAAGATGAATCGACGAAGACGGCGAAGTTCGCCGACGCAGCAGGCTCCAAAACAACACCACACAGCCTCAGATCGGACACCAAACACCGAGAATCGCCTCAAGAGATCTCTCCTCTTCACAATCGTTCGCTAGACGACAAAACTGAGGAAGAAGAAAGTGGCTGCGCGTGTTTTTAATCAAGGCTTGAGGGTTTCCAACCCAAACTGGACCCAAACCGGAATCCAATTGACTTAAATCGAATCGGCCGAATTTTTAATAACCGGTGTCGACTGACACAAACTCCTTGTGTCGCTCAACACCAATGAAATTTCACTCTTCTCAGGTTTACGGATGTTATAATTCTCCCCACTAAACTGGATTCGTCCTTAAATCCCAACACAAACGTCACAAAAGACCACAAAACCCGACCTCGCAAAACCGCAATACCGGAGATCCTCACCTGATCCCCGAGACATACGTCAAATCGTATGTCACAAGCACGTTTCAAGAAATTTTCACTCCTAACTCATCATCCAAAACACACGAAACCATTTGCACTGAGGCCCATTTGCACCCAGACAAGTCCGCACTGGTCCGTACTGAGGCCCACTTGCACCCAGACGAACCCGAAACCGCTTATATTGAGGTCCACTTACTCCCAGATGAACTATACTGCTTATATTGAGGCCTACTTGCACCCAGATAAGTTACACTCAACTGAGGCCTACTTGCATCAGAGAGTCTGCCAGAGAAACGAAGTCTCCAAAAATCATGATAAATTATTCAGGACCGCAGCCCTTAGAGTAAAAATTCCGGAAACGACTATGACAATAAAAGTAGACCGTCTCACAACAAAAAAACTAGTAAAAAATTCAATTGTTGTTTCAACTGACACATTTCCTTGTATCGCTTGACACAGCTTTCAAAAGGTCACATATTGGGTTACGAATGTTACAACTTTATTTATTAAATTCATTTGCAAGGATCATCACATTAATTCTTCTAGAATCAATTGATAAAATAATATGTTCACGATCAAAAACGAAAATAGAAGACTAGAATTAAACACATGCTTGTTCAATGGTTCGTTTAAATTAATTTAGAAGGTAAATAATCTAGTCAATCCAATTACCGAACGTATGCATGATTCAATTATTATGAACATACACCCAAATCGATATCTTAAAATAACAAATATCATATGAGATGCAAATAAAAATAAATAAATAAGAATATTAAATATCCAACTGAAATAATGAACAATATAAATCTTTTTAGGATAAAATATTAATCCTTCTGAGATATAAATAATTTTGTGACGGTAATTCTTCGGGGAAATAAATTCTTTTGTGATTGAGATAATAAATACAGATCAACAAAGTAATATAAATTATTCATTGTATTTTGTAAATTCCATCTTTAAAGAGAAAATAAGGAAATTTTATTTCCTCTTATCTCTTAGCTCAGACGGCTAGACTTTTAACCTAATGGTTAGATACTCGTGCTGATAATATATTATAAAAAGAGGAGAAAATAAAAGAATATAAGAATTGGTTGTGTCTTATTCTATCAACAATAAACTCCTTATATAGGATTACAATATAAAGTTTTCATTGGAAAATAATACACTTGAAGAGCAAGCTAGAATATTCTAGAATATGGCCGATAATAGGCTTCCATAAAAACTATTTATAACAATAAATATATTTTTGAAATTATGCTACTAGTTTCTTGAAAATGAATGATATATGGCAGTGGAACTTTCAACAACAAACTACATTATAATAACAATAACAACGACAAGGACAACATGATGTTATGGTTGCAAAATAATGCAAATTAAGCTGCATAATGTTGTAGTTGTAGGTGTAGGTAAGGTTGATTTCCGTTGAGTGTTGACATATGGGTTTGAAAAACAATAGAAACATTGATTTGTATAAACTATGTAACATGTTGATCTGTTTAGTTTTGTAATCGGTGGATAAAGACAAGTTTTTATATTATTCAAAGTTTGGGATTACGATGTGCAATATTTATACGTAGAGCAATTTGTAATTATTAATCATAGACGGAGGTATTACATCATTGCTATTAATCAATGTAACTAATACAAGATGAAAATACCAAGCTCTAGCTGTTCAAAGTCAACACAATATGTTCTTGCATAGAAATCTGTTTCCCTCTTGCTGCCCCAATTTCTTACATCCATTTAGTCTTATTCCAATTTTAGGATTTTTTCTTCTCTTCTTGATTCTCTTTCGCCTTTCTTGAATCCCGAGCTCAATGGCTGACATAGTCTCAGCTTTTTGTGCATGTTTTCAAGGTTTTCAACCAGTTATTAATGACGTGGGTACACGTGCAGGTTACATTTCCAACTTTGATGATAATCTTAGCAAGTTGAGAAGTGCTTTGGAGGATCTTATAGCAAAAAGAGATGATGTGGTATGCAAGGTTAATGCTGAAGAAATCAAGGGTCATAAACAGCTAAATGAGGTGGAAAGGTGGCGTTCAAAAGTCGAAACCGTTGAAACCAACACCAATCTCCTGGTTGCTAAGGCTTCACGGCAGAGGCGGTCAACATGTGGGTATTGCTTCATCAATATCTTTTCAGCCTACAGCAATGGGAAAAAGATTTCCAAGAATTTGGATGAAGTTCAAAAACTATCTTCTGAAAAGGTTTCTGAAGTGGTTACCCGGCAAGCTACGCTTCCTGTGGTAATAGAACAGCCTGTCCAGCAGACATTTGGCCTGGATACAAATCTTCAAAGGACATGGAGCTGTCTTATGGAAGATGGTGTTAGAACCTTGGGTTTACATGGAGTGGCGGGAGTGGGTAAAACGACACTCCTCACCCTGATAGAGAGCGAGTTCGTTGAAGTCAAGGGTAATTTTCATGTTGTGATTTGGGTTACAGTGTCTGAAGATGTAGATATCAAGATGATTCAAGATGATATCGGTAAAAAAATAGGCCTCTATGACGATAAATGGTCCACCAATTCACAAAGGGAGAAAGCCTGTGATATACACAGGGTTCTTAAGACGAAACCCCGATTTGTGCTGTTATTAGATGACTTGAGGAAGGAAGTGAATTTATCAAAAATCGGAATTCCAGTACGGGGGAGTGAATACAAAGTCGTGTTTACTACTCGTTCTAGGGATGTATGTGAAAGCATGCCCGTAAATAAGGTGATAGAAGTGGAACGTTTGGCGGAGGCGGGAGCGTTGGATCTGTTAAAACAAAATGCCGGAAGAGAAACACTAGATGGCGAAATGCTTGAGCATGCAAGATGTATTGTGGAGAAATGCCTTGGCTTGCCTCTTCTACTTAAAGTCATTGGCAAGTCTCTGTCATCCAAAACGACTGCAGATGAGTGGCATCACGTGCTCTGTACCATGTATGAAGCTATGGGGGATGAAGTATTTCCTGTTTTGAAATATGCTTTTGATAACTTAAAAGATGACGCCAAGTTGTGTTTAAAGTATTGTGCTTTATTTCCCGAGGCATATAAGATCAGTGAAGATGAGCTGGTAGAGTATTGGATTGGTGAGGGTATCATAGATGAAGAAGACGGAAGAAAGAGAGCAATGGATCGAGGCTATGATATCATCGACACTCTTGTTAGAGCAGATTTGTTAGTTGAAGTTGACAAGTCTAAACAGAAATTGTATATGCACGGCTTGATCTGTGAGTCAAAACGGAAAGTGTATATGCATGGCTTGATCCGTGAGATGGCACTGTGGATAGTAGTTGGGGATGGAGAAAGATTTGTCGTGAAGACAGGTGCTGGGTTAAGCAAACTACCAAAGGTCAAGAACTGGAGAACCGTGACCAAGATGTCGCTGATGAACAATGAGATCAAGAGTATAACGGAATATTCTCAGTTTCCCAATCCGGATCGTCTTGTAACCTTGTTCCTTCAAAATAACAAGTTGGTAGATATCGTTGGTAAATTCTTTCTGGTCCTGTCAACTCTGGTGGTCTTGGATATGTCTCACAACCCTGGTATCATTGAGTTGCCTGACGATATCTCAAAGTTGGTGTCTTTGCGGTACCTCAACTTGTTCGGGACGAGGATAAAGATTTTACAAGGTTTGAAAGATTTTATCGAACTGATTCACTTGGATTTGGAGTCCACATCCAATCTTCAAAGTACTTTTGATATCCAACTGATATCAAAATTACGAAAGTTGCAAGTTTTGAGATTTTATGGTTCTACAGCTTCTTTAAATCTCTCCTTACTGAAGCAATTGGAGCTTATGGAGGATTTAGAAATTTTGACCATTAGTGTGAGAGAAGAGGATGTTCTGGAAGCTTTCTTTGGAAGCAAATTGTCAGGGAAGACACAGGGTCTATATCTTGAAGGACTTAACGTGTCAGGACAATCATTTGCAGCCACCTATGGCGTATTAGCTAGTCTTTCCAAACTTGGAATGACAGAATGTAATATTATAGAGTCAGAGAGGGAATGGGACGACAGTAGAAGGAACCAGCATTCTCCATCTCCATCATCCAATCAAGTAACTCCATGCATTACACTGTTCAAGAACCTCTCAGCTGTGGAACTACTCTCATGCGAACATCTAATGGATGTGACATGGCTGATATATGCTGAAAATCTTGAGTCCCTAAGCATCAAATTGTCACCTAAGATGGAAGAAGTCATAAGCGGAAAGAAAGCTGCAGGTGATGGGGTGGAGCCTTTTATAAATTTACAAGTTCTTGATTTAGGTTATTTGAATGCACTTGAGAGTATCTATTGGAGTCCACTCTCTTTTCCGAGGCTACAGAAAGTCCGCATAACAAACTGCCAGGAGCTGCGTAAGCTTCCACTAAATTCCACGAGTGTAGATAAAATTGATGATCTTATCATTGAAATGGATCAAGGATGGTTAGATAGAATTGAATGGGAGAGTGGAGCTGAAGATCGATTTCGTCATCTCATCCGCACAGCTTCGGTTTCTCAAACTGATTCGGTAATTTACATATATTTCTTATGTGCCAGTTTCCATTAATATAATCTCTGGTTTTCTATATTTTTATGTCACTCCTCACTTTGTGTAGCTTTTTTTTTTTTTTTTTTTTTTTTTTTTTTTTAATCTTCTATCATCTTCTAGGTGTAGAAATGCAAGACCACAAAAGACCTGGTACGACAAGCTGCCATCAATCGATGCAATTCGAAGTTCCTCTATTTTTCTTTTATTTACGGAAAACTTGATTCAAAGTCTTACAGTCTTACTTTATAATAGACTAGATTAGGCCCCGCGTATACGCGGGTTTATTTTTATTTTTATTTTTAAATCACGGAAGAATATTAAACAAAATTTGATCAATTTTAAAAATAAGAAAATAATATTAAAAACCCGATAACAAATCTCTAAATAAAGATATGTAGTCTTTTACATTTTTATTTTGAATTCATGATATGAAATAGAAAGATTTACATGTGTCTAAATCTAATCGACTCATTATTTTATGAAACTTTGATTATTCCATGATGAAATCTTTATTTTTAATATTTTTTTACCTAACAAAACATGGAAAATTAAACTATTTAATATTAGAAGATCAGTCCATTATAAAATTTTCTTTTTTAATATTATTTAGTTCCTTAATAATTATTTTGTTAGTTTTCTATTTATATTGTTTCTTTTTCAATTTCGTTTTTGCCTCTGACCATTATAAATTTTCATTTTCATTATTAGTTAGTTGTTTTAATATTATTTTGTTAGTTTATTTATTTATGTTACTACATTTTTCCAATTTTCTTGTGTTGACACATGTCATCACTTCATCAAATATTAGACACATGTATCGATCTAAAGTTAAGTATTCTTCATTGATATCTTTAACTTTTAAAGACATGAATTTTATTTCTTAATGAGAAAGAAACTTAAAAAATATAGCTTGTTATATATTTTTTTTTTCATTTTCGTAATGGGAATATGTTTTTTTATTCCTTTTCTTATTGGATGTAACATTTTTTAATTATTTCTTCATGTTTTTCTGATTTTCGTTTTTTTTCCTTTTCGTAATAGAATTATGTTTTTTCTTTACTTCTCATAATGGATGTAATATTTTTTCTTTTTAATTGTTTGTTTCCTGTTTTCTGATTTTTCCTAATGTACTAATAGGATTTTATTCAAATAATTTTAATTTCGATCCAATTGACCTAGAGTCAAATAATCTCCACTGTTCTCTTGAACTTTCAAAGACATGATTTTGAAATTAGAGAAAGAGAATCAAAGAGATTTTCTGAATTTGCTTTGATGAGTTTGTGAATGAGAAAAAGAGACTACAGTAGCTCTCTTTTTATAGGGGTTCATGTAACCAATTTCATATAGTTTTAGGATATTTAGTTTACATACCTATTACATGTACTAATAGGATTTTTTTAAATAGGAGTTTATATAACTATTCCATACAATTTTAGGATATTTAGTTTACATACCTATTCCATATACTAATAGGAATTTTTTATTACATTATTTTCATTTTATTATATAAAATTTCGTTTTTATTATAAGATATTAAAATTTTCTCTTTAAAATAAAAATTTCCTTTTTCCGAAGACATGTGTCACGATCTTAACGGATATAACATTAAAAGTGACACATGTCAATCCTATATTTTATAAAAATCCTACGTGTCGCAACCACATCGCGCGCATCCAGCTTTATATAATAAGATGTTTTGTAAAAAACACTTATGGTTTCTCTTCTTTTTTTTTTATATATAAAGTTTAGGAGAGTTGTAAACCGATTATCTTTGAGTCAAGGATTACAATCAAGAATCCTAATAATATTGGAGATTTGTTTTGAAGAGCTCTTAACTGTCCCAAAAGCCAAAAGGCTCCCAAGTACTACTACTAACCTAATGGTCAAAAGACCCCTAACAAGTTCTTCACCTAACAGGCTCACTCTCAACGGCTCAAGAGATTTGTAAGAAAAGCATCTTTCAGATTGTCTTGATTGTGAACAATTGTGTAAACTATATGAATTAATGATCTGTTCCAATAAGCAACCGATGGGTGTCACGACAAGTTTATATATTATTCAAACTCTTGGATTGTGATATTCAGTGAGTATATCATATACAGAGACCAAGTTGTAATTTTTATTCATAAAAGGAAACATTATTGCAGTGGACTAATTCGGTTAAACCAAGCCAAACGTGTCAAGATCCTGCACAATGATCTGCTTCCCTCTCAAACCCTGAAGCGAAAATGTCTTTTTAAAACGTTTAAATCCAAATTCTTAAAAACGGTTTATTCATGAGAAAAAAAAAACATAACGCTAACATGCAACAATCTCTTCGGAGATATGGAACTCTATAAACACAATAATCTTATCATTTTTGTTTTTTGTTTCTTGTGTTGTAAAGAGGAGTATTTACACGGCCTGGAGAAAAATCTGGATGCTTTGGAGATGGAAGTGGAAACCCTCAATGCAATGATAAATGAGTTGTCCAAAAGGGTGTCTAAAGAAAAGGACAAAGGTCTACAAACGCTACCTGAAGTCGAAGAATGGATTTCATTGGCGGAAGAGACTGAAACGAAGGCCAGTAATCTCCTTGATGAAAGTATCTCAGAATGTTACAATTTATCTACGTACGATGATTGTTTTACAAAGAACCCTCATTACAGCGAGAGGGTATGTATGACATTAAAAGAAGTTGAAGCTCTGAGATCTAAGGGAGTTTTTAAAGTATCAGTTGAGAGAGCTCCCTCGTCTCATTTCAAAAAGATGCTCCCGCTTCAACCAATAGTTTCTCGAGAGATGTTGCTTGACAAGGCATGGCAATGCCTTACGGAAAATGAATGTGGGACTTTGGGTCTTTATGGTATGGCTGGAGTCGGAAAAACAACCCTTCTTACTCGGATTATGAATAAGTTTATAGAAGTTGGCCATCGTTTTCTGATCTCTGTTGTTGTAAAGTCTGAAGACGTCGAGGGTATACAAGATACAATCAGGGAAAAATTAGGCATAGACAGAAGAAAAAGTGAAAAGATTCTAAAAAATCTTATATATGGGTTCCTAAGTAGAAAGAGATTTGTGTTGTTATTAGATGGCGTACACCAGGAAGGAGTGGATTTTGAAGAGATCGGAGTTCCACTGCCGAGTAAAGAGAATGGATGCAAGATTGTATTCACCACTCGTTATCGGGAAGCATGTGTAAGCAAGTGGGTTGATGCTGAAGTCGAAGTTAAATGTTTGAGCCTAGAAGAAGCATGGGAATTTTTTCAAGAGGTAGTTGGAGAAACCACGTTAAAAAGTCATCCGGACATACCCCAACTGGCACGAATAGTTGCTAGGAAATGCGGTGGTTTACCTATTCTTCTCAATATCTTTGGCAAGACCATGTCGCGCAAAAGGACTGTACGCGAATGGTATCATGCAATTCATGGTTTGGTTTCATCTACCACAGAAGTTCCTGTTTTGAAGTTCGCCTACGATAGTCTTCCTGGTGAAAATATCAGGTTGTGCTTCCTGTCTTGTGCTCTGTTTCCGGAAAATTGTCTTATAAGTAAACTAGGTCTTGTAGACTATTGGATAGGCGAGGGAATGATTAACGATGAAGATAGAGAGATAGCTGAGATCAATGGTTATGAGATGATCGGTGATTTGGTTGTATTGGGTTTGTTGATGGAGAATGAATCTGGATATGGTGTGAAGATGCATGACATGGTTCTTGAAATGGCTTTGTGGATAGCATCTCATTGCGGGAGGCCCCAAGAAACCATTGTGGTGAAATGCGGTAAACCTATTCATCAGCTGCCAATGGTGAACGATTGGAGCATGGTTAGAAGGATGTCAGTGACATCTACTCAGATTGAGACTATTTCAGATGCTCCTCATTGTTCCGAGCTTACCACCCTATTCCTCCAAGAGAACGTTAACTTAAAACGGATCTCTGGTGATTTCTTCCGGTGGATGAAAAGTCTTGTAGTCTTGAATCTATCTTTTAATAGAGAGCTTGCTGAGTTGCCGGAGGAAGTTTCAAGCCTGGTGTCACTGCGGTTTCTCAACTTATCACGGACAGGGATAAAAGTGTTGCCCCTTGCTCTTAAAAAGCTTATAAAATTGATACACTTGGATTTGGAGTTTACATATAGACTTAAAGGTATTGATGTGATAGCAAGTTTATTGGACTTGGAAGTACTGAGATTATTCAAATCTGCTGTACCTCTGAATATGGGTTTACTGGAGGATATAAATCTTTTGAAGAGTCTAGGAGAGTTGAGTTTTACCGTGGAAGAAGTTACTGTTTGGCAGCGGTTACAAAGTACTAGCCACCGGTTGGCAAGTTGTATTCGTCGTCTATGTCTCCAAAATATTACAATAACCGAGGGAGAATTACTATCGATGAAGTCTAGTCTTCACCAACTTGATATTTATCAATGTAATATCCAACGGGAGACTGCATATTCCGACAACATTGTGAAAATTCCACAATTTTGGTACATACGCAGAGTGACTCTTAATTCCTGCAAGTATCTAAACGACTTGGCGTGGTTGCTAGTAGCCCCGAGTCTTGGCGAACTAGTTTTGATTGACTGTCCGCAAATGAAAGAAGTAATAAGCAAAGAGAAAGCCACGGCCCAACTGGGTCAGACGAGTCAGCAGCCCTTTCAAAGTCTAAAGGTGCTCTCCCTGTCTAATCTACCTGAGCTGGAGAGCATTTACTGGACTCCTCTACCCTTTCCATTTCTGGAAATTCTCCATATAATGCGTTGTCCAAAGCTGAGAAGACTTCCACTCAACTTCGAGAGCGCCAAAGGAAATCAATTAGATGTAGATTTCGACGAAGAATCTATGCAAGGGGTTGAATGGGAGGATGAAGCTACCAAAGAACGTTTCACTCATCTGAGTAACATCAGGTCCGTCCCTTCTTCCCCTCATCCATCCTTCTCTTTTTTTTTTTTTTTAGGAAACTTTGCTAGAGATGGTTTTGATTGCCAGATTTTGGGGATTCTTGGTGAAGACTTCGAAAACTTGCTTTAGGCTTTTGCCAGAGATGGTTATGATTGCCTTATTTTGGGGATGCTTGGTAAAGACTAAAGACTTTGAAAACTTTAGGCTTTTGCCATAGATGGTTCTTGGTTCTGATTGTCACACATTGTTGGCTTAGAAATATAAAAATCACACATTGTTAGGCCTCAACAATGACGGCCTTAAAAAAAATAAAAAGTCACACATTGTTGGTTTTTGGAAAAACTCAGAAACGTAGTGCAAAATAAAGATATGAGCTGTAAGATATTCTGGGGACTTTGATTTTAGGACAGTTAAAGCATCACCAACAACTCTGACTTGAATTTCAGTATTTCAATGTGATACGATATTTCAGTTTTTGAGTCATTTAAAGTCAATAATGATTATCCGTTTTTTATTTTAATTTTGATCAATGTTTGTATTGGAATAGTGAGGCTGAAAGAATTAATCACCCGGTGGTAAGAGGAGACTCAGGAGAGTAAACGATTGGGACATCAGTGATGTGGTCTCTCTTCTCAACTTCGAAGCCGAACCTTCACACATAGCCGTGAAAACCTCGACTATTTTGCTTCCGTGGTTTGCATTTTACATTGCATTTATTTATGGAGATAATGACGCAAACAACCTTTTATTTAGCTGTAATGATTAGAATAACTCTCTCATTTTGGGAAGCCTAAAAAAGTAGTGAAAAGTCCTTTAATTCTTAAGGGTTCCTTTTATTTACAGATGTGCCATTTTCGTCAGTTAAAAAAAGAAAATAACAAATATCAATTATTCACTTTAATTACGACACTGCCATTACGGTTTCATTTACTTTTCGAAAACAGAATATCGAATTCATTCTCTTCGATCTGAAACCCTAAAATCCCCGGCGGCATTCTCTCTTCGTCGAATCCGAAACGGAACTTGCTAAGGCGACCTCTCTTCGTCGGAATCGTCGACGTATCTTCGTCGGAGATCTTCCTTTCTCGGCGACGACGTCCCTTTCCTTTTCCCAACTCCGAAACCCAGATCTCGCCGACCTTCCTCTTCGTTTACCTTCCTCTTCCTCTTCCGAAACCCAAACTTTCTTTTCTTGGCCGACTCTGAAACCCTAAAATCGCACCGACGCATCCTCTTGGTCTTCACATCTGGCCGAGGATAAAATTTTCCGATCCAGTCCGTTGTTGCTTCTTGTACGGCGTCTCCATTCACCTTCTGGTTAAATCCCGGCAAAGCGGCGGCGATTTTTGACGGTAAGAAAGCTATAGATATTGCTTTTTGTGATGAAATCAAATAGGAGTTTAGCTATAGATATTGCTTTGTGATGAAATCAAGTAGGAGTTTCGTTTTTTATGGTAGGAGGTTTAGGGTTTATATCGATTTGGTGATGGAACACTTGTTATCCTTTGATGGTTGATTTATTTGTTTGTCTTCTCATTGTTTTATTGTTAAATGTGTTGATGGAAGACTTATTTACGATAGAATTATTTGTGATTCATTTTCTCGTAGCTCATGGTAGACTTATTTACGGTAGACTTATTTTAAAATTGGTTTACGTAATGTTATGGTAGACTTATATTAGTTTTGAAATATGTGCAGGGATGGCATCTAGAAAGCCGAGGAGGGACTATCCACAGAGATTGTATCCACCCGGAAAATCTCCTTTGCAAAACCGAAGTATGCATCACAATTGCTCCTTCTCTGGTTTTGGAGAGCTTGAATCGGTTGTTGGGGAGACAGTTTACAATGACGTCATGAATAATTCACAAGTGGGAGTGATTCTTAAGCTTGCTTCAAGGGGCTACGTCTGGTCTGCGAAGACATGCCACAATCTTCTAACCAATCAGTTGGCAGTCCAGCGGAACTATGAGATATGGTCCTTGATTGGGGGTCGTCCTATCCGGTTTAGCCTCCATGAGTTTCATGATATTACACGGCTAAACTGTGAGCCGTTTGAAGATGATGAAGACTTGAATGTTGACCACAAGGAGTTTTGGGATTTGGTCGGCATTAAATCAGGTGAAGGACCTAGCTGGGAAGAGTTGGACACTGCGTTTGCAGTATGCGGTAGTTGGGATTATGAGGAGAAGAGGAAGTTTGCATTGTTGTTTGTGCTGCATGTGGGAATATTTGGTCTTGCTCGAAATTCTAGAATCCCTTTCAAGGCTGCCAGAAGAGTGTTGGTTCCTGAAAAGTTTGAGAGCTATCCTTGGGGTAGAGTTGCATTTCAGCAGTTAGTGCAGGCGATTAAAATAGCGAAATTTGACGGCCCTTCCTACACCATTCCTGGTTTTGTGCATCCGCTGCTTATATGGGCATACGAGGCTGTCGAGATTATCGGAGAAAGATTTGGGAGGAGACGTGATGCTCCAATCCCTCTTCTACAATGGCAATCATCACGTAAGCGATACAATCTGGAGGCCCTGATGGAGGAGGATAAGAAGATGAGCGTCGATAACAAGGTATGCAATGTTCACAATCTACGCAGCAGTATAATTTTTAGAGTATTTTATTGATGTGTTTATAGACTTAAAAGAGACTCTGTTTCACTGGTTTTGACTGTGTGTGAAATTTTAATTGGTGGATGCAGGCTCGTGTTAGGCACTTCGTGGAGAAGCCTCTTGCTGAGATATATCCGAAATGGCCGGATGAAAAACCAGACTGTGACAAGAAGGTTGACAATATGATTCGCGATATTCTTGATGGCTGCTTGGATGAATCTTTTTGGGAATCCGACGAGGGTGCAAAGAACAAGATGAAGAAAAAGATGAAGACTAAGACGGTGGAAGAAGAGGACGATGACTTTATTGAAAAGCCTCCATCAAAGTCTTCCAAGAAAAAACCAAGAGCACAAGCTGAAGAGGAGCATAGACGAAAGAAGGCTTGGGACCAAAGGCGAAAGAAGGCATCTAATGTGGCGAGAAGCGATGACTCAACCGAAACTTCAATGTCTTTGGATGATGACACAACAATGGATGATGCAGCTAGAAAAATGAAACTACCACCGAGAAAAGAGAAGAATATCGAGAAGGAAGAAGAAAATAGGCACTCTGAGCTTACCGCAATGCTACAAATGGTGTTGGAGAAGGTTAATGAGATAGATCAGAGGGTGTCTACAATGGAGGGGTCAAGACAACGTCGTCAGAAAGACCCGAGGCCAGATGTGAACTCCAATGTCGAGGGCGGTGGTCAGCCGAGCGCCGCAGAAGACCGGAGCCCAGATCCGGTACGTAGGGCTCTGTTTCATGGGGACACTTAACGTTCTCTTAAGTTTATGGTTCTGCTTGGGATTTGAAAGTTCTCAAACGCATGTATCTGTAACATTTTGGCTTGGGGTTGTTTGGGTTGTTTTCATGTAACTTCGAAAAGAAAACCATGTCCCATATGTATCTTGTGTGATAGATAATCTTTGCTATCGTAAATAACATTGCAGTAGACTTTTTTAGGTAGACATGATTTGACGGTAGACTTATTGTGGTATACATGATTGGATGGTAGACTTTGTTAGGTAGACATGATTTGATGATAGACTTATTTTGATAGACATGATATGCTGGTAGACTTATTTTGATAGACATGATAGACTTGTTGTGTTTTTGTTGTAGTCTTGGTTACTACAAGACGAGGCAACCTCCGAGCCAGGTGTTACTTTCAAGCGCACTGTTAAGAACCCGAACGTGAAGGGAACGGTTGCCGATAAAGTAAAGACAGTGAAGGAGGAACCAGGCGAGCCGAAAAAGAATAAGGGAGGTAAAGGAAAGAAGGGAACTCAACCAAAAGGGAAGAAGACGAAATTCGTGATCCCACAATTGTCTGATGAGAATGACAACCCAGAGACGGAACCATTTAACAGTGGACTAGATAAGTTTCTGGAATTTATCAATAGGGAGGATTCCCCGCAACATCTCTTTGGCACCTAATCAAGTAGACCCTTACATTGGAAGCTCAGCAGTGAAGCGGATAACAGTTGGTGTAAACCCTTCTCGATCGGTGTACAATCCCTTTGAAAAGGTTACAGAAGCAAAATTGGATGCTTTGGTGGAGTTCGTTAAGAGAGACTTGTAAGTTGTTTTCCCCTTTTTCTCTTTTTTTTTTTATTACAAAATAGATGGAATTGTAATTCACATATGCATTTTCGATTTCAGAGACAATCCGTTGGATGATAGCCTTAAGTTGGTTCAGTTCTACGTTCAACTGATGACACCTAAACAACTTTGGCCACATGATAGATTCGGGTGGCTGCGTGATCCGGTAAAATTACGATAGACCTATTTTGGCAGACTTATTTCAGATGTGTTTAGTTGCTTTATATATTGATAACCGTTTTAATCATGTTGTGACAGCACATGGCTGCTGTTATGGATATGTTCAGACAACGGTCCTTAGCCACCCCAACTCCCTATCGGAGTGATAGGATAGCTTTTCTGGACCCCTCGTTCACAAGCATTTGGTGTTCAGAGTATAGAAATGACTTCAACGGGAAGGAGAAGACATACTTTTTTCGGGAAGGGTTCAAGAAGACCTTTAACGGCGTGGAACCGGAATTTGCTTGTACCAACAAAAAATGGTTTGAGGATGTGGATACGTTATACATCGCCCACAATATCAAGGATGTACATTGGATAGCGGTCGAAGTTGATCTCGTTATCAAAAGGGTGAAGGCATATGATAGCATCAACACTCTATTCAGCAAAGATACGCTCAAGGAGGAATGCAAACCGTACACGAGGATGATTCCTCTGCTGGTCAAACAGATGGCACCCGTGGAAAAGAGGAAGAACATGAGTGAGCGGGCATACAGCTTTTACAGGGTAACAACTTTCCCACAAAATCTCCAACATGGCGACTGTGGAGTTTACGCATTGAAGTTTATCGAGTGTCTTACGCTTGGACATACTACTACTGGCCTAAGCGACTCCAATATTGGTGCCTTGCGTGTCAAATATGCAGCAGAGATGTTGGATGAGCTGCCGCCTGAGGAGGCCTTGCTGTTATCGTGCCCATTTCCTCGGGGAACAATGGATGGTGATAGATTTCCAGTGCAGACTGACTCGTTGTAGCAAACTAAGGATCTTTCATTTGAGAAGACTTGTTTTTGGAAGACTTTTGTAGTCATGATGGTAGACTTTTGTAGGCATGACGGTAGACTTTTGTAGTCATGATGGTAGACTTTTGTAGGCATGACGGTAGACTTTTGTAGGCATGATGGCCGACTTATATTGGACCATTTGGTAGACTTGTGAAGAATGTGTGTGGCAGACTTATTTTGAACAATTTGTTACACTTGTTAAGTCCAATACGATTGGTTGAGTCTTATTTTGGATTACATTTTAGGTGCATGCATGATGAAACCGTGAAATAAATGTATTACAAAAAATAAAATACTAACAAGAAAGCAAATGTATTACAAAACATAAAATACTAACAAGAAATACAAACTCAGCTCAGATTTGCATGTAGCGTGATTGTGGCCAGTTTTTTTACAATTTCCACATGTATTTTCTTTGAGGGGACGCTTACTCTCCATAGTGACCTCCAAAGCACTTTTCATTCTGGAGTTCTTTGGTCTGCCCGGCGGTTGATGAACAGTAGGAGGTTTGCAAACTTTGGCTATCACATTTTCTGGGACAAGAAGTGCCACATCTCTTGGCATTACCGTTTTGGCGTATGAGTTGCACAAAGAAGATCGTCTAAAGTAGGTATGGGCAAGAGAGATATGTGACATACCTACAGCTTCTGCGGCTGCAATCGCATGGACACATGGTAACTTATCCAAATCAAACCTACGACATGTGCATTTCCTCTCTGTTAAATTGACGACATGAAGTATCCCTCCGCATGTCACTTGTGATTGATCACCATCAATCTCCTGCACTGTCCATAGCTTTGCATTGTCCACACGAGACTATTCATCAAATCACAAATTATTGTCAGAAACGCATAAAATGTTGTAATAAGAAGGTGAACATAATTCTTTGCTAAATGTACCTCTAGTAGCTTCTCTACACCTCTGGTCAATGTAGTTTTCATTAGGCTTGCGTTTTTTCTCCTCGCAACAAACCACCTTGTCATCAACGATCTCGCAGGATCAAGAAGTTGCACAATTGGTGAACCTCTAAAAAGAGATAACACGCTATTTAAGGATTCCGCTATGTTGCTCGTCGTGAAGTTGTATCTATTCCCAGAAAAATGTACACGGGTCCATAACCGAACGTCAGCCTCCACTAAATAATTATGCAGCTCCGGATCTAAAGCTTCTATTTGAGCAAAGTGCTGATTAAACTCTAGCAGCGTATATGCACTCGCTGTCTTCTTGACAAGGTCAAAACAGTCTCGGGTTCTAAATCTGAGCAATATATTCTTATGCAAATGGTATGTGCAAATACCCCTAGAGGCCAGCGGATACACCTTCTTTATTGCGTGTTTAATAGATTTGTGTCTATCCGAAATCATGGCTAGACCCTCGTCGTCTGGGATAACCAAGTGTAGCTGCCTGAAGAACCACTCCCAAGATTCATTATTCTCGGTATAGACAACTCCAAATGCAATCGGAAATATGTTGAAATTTCCATCCTGAGTTGTGGCGGTTAGTAGTGTTCCCTTATATTTACCTTGCAAGTATGTGGCATCAACGACTACAACTTTACGCATGTACGGGAATCCGTGAATGCTTGCGGCGAAGGCAAGGAACATGAACTTAAACCTATCCTCCGCGTCCACCTCGAGCTTAATGAGCGTCCCAAGGTTTGCCCTTCTGATCATGTACAAGTACACGGGGAGATCTTCGTATCCACTCTCCGAACTGCCGGAAATCACTTCCCGCGCGAACCGTAATGTGCAATGGGCCTTCCAATAATCCATCTGAAATTGAAATAAGTCTGCCAATGATAAGTCTACCGTTTACATAACAAGTCTACCGTTAAAAATCTACTGCAACAACTCGTGCCAAGGTTTTAACTAACAAATCTATCTGTCAAAATTCATTATCTCTTCTCGGTATCGACAAGAACATGTACCTTGATGCCATATCGTTTATTCAAAGCGTCTGCGACATGGCAAGGCAATACCGTGGGTCCAACGCAGCCTACAAATTCGCTGTACAGCCTTCCCAGAAGTTCAGGTTTTGCTTGCCGAGAACGAGAAGAACGCTCTGTAACAGAACATGAATGCTCTTGTACATAACTCTTGATGTAGAACTCAGGAGCAGAGCCAATTGTTGTTGCCCTCGCCCTCCATGTACACCCTTCGATCCAGCAGCATACCGTTAATAGTGAAGGCGTGCTGTAACCAACACTATAGTCGAACTTCAATGCAACGGAAAGCATCTTCAATCTCAGAACCAACGCCTTTTTCGTCGGATAACGTTGGCCGACGGCCAATTCTACAGAACCTCGTTCCAACTGCAAGAATGCAGGGATCGAATCTTCCTTTGCTGGCAGATAAAACATTTCCTCCTCTTCTTTCGCGAATCTTCCTTTGGTGGTACCGTATTCTTCATCGCCAGAGCTTGCACCGTCGGGATCGTCACAACAGTCAAATCTCATCTCTTCATCATCTTCCTCGTCAGAATCGCTATCAACGAACAGATCTTGTCTTCTATCTCGTACACCTTGATGACATGGCGTTTTCTTCACGATCTCCACACAGAGACGAGCTTTATGGTTTCTGAATAATTTGAGAAATGACCAGAATTGCAAAGAATTCGTAACTCGCAATGGAGGTGTATTCACGACACTTTTTGTTATCATGTAGCTCAACTGCACCTCATCAATCCGCCGATCGACCCCAATCTCTTCCATAACTCTGCCCCGAAAATCGTTGTAAGAGGTTTCAAGGTCAGCCCCAACAATTGCCGATCTTCTGCACTTGTCTGCAATGAAAAACCATTGATTTTGTTGTGCTTTCCATGTCCCACACACGAGAATCACCTGATCCATTGTAAGAGATCGATAATGTTTGTGGATATCAATTTGATAAACATAGATCTAAGGTACGCCTCTCATGGCAGACGGCAACCCTAATTCTCGAGGAGGATGACTGGTTTTCGTGATAATTTTGTGAAGTTAAAGGGCAAAATCGTCTTTCAACTGAACTCCATGACAAGTCTACCATCATTACCATTGGTTTTGAATAAGTCTACTATAAAGTGCAATCTCTAAACCGGAAACGCCTTAACCCTTAACCGAGTCAAACCGGAGGCGCCTACAAAACCTAAAAACTAAAAAAACAGCCACATTCTCTCATCTCAGGATTTCTTCGACGGCGCAATCAACTGAGAGGCCACTTTCTCTCATCTCTTCAAATCGCATTTCGGAGAAGGTAAGATCCAACACACATCTCTCTATGGCTTATGATTTCGCATGGGTCACTGATTTAGTCCGGTTCCCTTAGTTTCTGGTCGCTTGATTATGACAAATTTCTTGATTCCACAGAAACCCTAATTTTTTTTTTTTTTTAAAAGCTCATAGGAGAGATTTCTGGTAATTCTCCGGTGCTCTCTAGTTATTTCCGGCGATGTTCTTTGCGAAATAGACTGTCGTAGATGCTGCATTTGTTTTCCTGTGTTGGTAGATTTATTAATATGTTGTGGTAGATTTGTTTGTCACTATTCGACGGTATAGTTATTAACATTTGGTGGTAGAGTTATTGATATTTGGTGGTAGAGTTATTAACATATTCAATGTTCGTAGGTCTCATGGATCCTAACGATCCGAACGTTTACGAATGGAAGAAAGCGAAGAACCACATCCAGATGCTTGGATATTGGGCCGATGGTAACTGCGGCATAATGACATGGTGTCCTTGTGGTGAGGATTTGATCCAAGAAGTTGTTGATGGGACAAGATACTACACATGCGAGCAGTACAAGGTATGGTTGTACATTGTTTCTTTGTTTGTTTCTTTTAAATGCTTATGTAGTATTGGAATTGATGATATCATGTGGTGAATCATGTAGTACGACAGCGTCCTTCACGTTCGGAAGAGGTGGGATACGGCTATTGAAGAGGAAGTTCTTAGGCTAAAGGATGAGAATGAAGCGCATACCAAGAAGATTTGTGAACTTGGTGCTGAGCTTCACCTCGCTAAAAGAAAGGCTGAAAGGGAGGCTATTGGAGAGGAGGTTGAGAAGCTGAAGGAGGAGAATGCGGAGCAGGCCAAGAAGCTTCATGAGCTCGGTGTTCAACATGAAAAAACAATCAACGATGTAAGAGAGCTGTGGGACTCGATTCTCAATCTCAGTTGTGGGTGTTCAAACTGCAAGGATGAAGTCAAGAAGACGGTGGGTGTGTTTGGTCTCTAAGTAGACAACTAATTACGTTCTTTGAAGTGTTTGTTCCTTGTGTCGCAGAAAACTATTTTGCTTTATGTGGACAAATATGTGTGTGTTATGTTATGTTTGCAACTCTATGTGATAAAACCCTTCTGAATTCATCTCACTTTATGTCTTCATGGTAGAAATGTAACTCCATCGTTTCCAAAAATATGGATTTTGCTTCATCTAAACCCTAAACCGTATATACCCTAAACTGAAAATAGTTAGAGAACCCCATATAGTTAATCTTGTTTAATTGTTATTTGGACATTGCCTCATAATAGTATTCAAACACTAAACCCTAAAGAACATAATGCTTTGATGCCAAAAAAAAACCTAAACCCCATATAGTTTAATTGTTTTTTGGACATTGCCTCATAATAGTATTCAAACACTAAATCCTAACGAACAACACTAAATCCTAACGAACATAATGCTTTGATGCAAAAGAAAAAAACCTAAACCCTAAATCGTATACCCTAAACTACAAAAATAGTTGGAGAACCCTAGATAGTTAATCTTGTTTAATTGTTATTTCGATTTTGCCTCATAATAGCATTCAAGTCCCTAATAGTATTCAAACCCTCAACCCTAAAGAACATATTGCTTTGATGCCCAAAATATGCCTTTTACTAGTACTCACAGAGTATTGAAACCCTAAACCATAAATACCCTAATCAAATTTGATTACACGAATATGATTTACAAAGATTCCTAAACCGTAAATATCAAAGTATACGAAATTGATTTGCAAATAACATGTAATTCCTAAACCGGTTTAATACATTTGAAAATGAGATTGACAAGAATAAATCTACCGCTTATAACAAGTCTACCAAATTGAGCATTACTCTACCATCATTAGTCATAGAAAAACTCTATGAAATTATGTTCACTAAGTGCCAAATCTACCGGCATTATCAATAACTCTACCAGATAAATCGATAATCTACCGTCAAAATGAATAACTCTATTGAACCAACATTTATCTACCGTCATTGCCGGAATATCTACCATGACTAAATGTCTATCATCAATAAAAATAACTCTGCCACTGTAAACTAAATCTACCATCAAGTTTAATAAATCTACCAACTCCCAAAGATAACTCTATCACGCGGTACGTAACTCTACCAAAAATACGTATCTCTACCGCAACATGAAAATAACTCTATCGTCGATAAATAACTCTACCAGCAGTTGACGCAACATAACTTTACCGATCCGCTAAAAACTCTACCGCCCGAACAATAACTCTACCAATGGACACTAAATCTACCATGTCGACTAATATATATACCGCTGGCTAATAAATCTATCATCACTCATTTGGTAGAGTTTTTATTTCGCGAATGCTGACGTGGCAAACTTTCATTAATGGCAGTCTCGTAAATATCGTTTTTCGGATACAAAGAAAAGAGGGTAAAATAGGTACAAAACTATTTTCACTTTGATAAAATGGGAGGAGGTTGTTCTAGTCAATAAGGCTAAATAAAAGGTTGTTCCCGTCAATGCCCCTTTATTTATGTGCTATTTGTTTCAAATGTGGTGTCACCTTTTGAAACCACAGTGGTGATACAAAACTACAAATCAAATGCTTCATAGTTTACATAATCCCTTTAGTTTATCTATGTACTAATGTATTTTGCTACGAATTGAACATGACGAAATCTTCAAAAGAAAATTATCACTTCAATGGATCATATCCATATGGTGCACCGTGCACACAAACTGATTGATATTATGTCTCACGAGACTGAGCAGATTAAAAGTAGAGTAATTGTGGTTAGTTCAATGCCAAAAATCTTCATTCTGATTCATTTTAGTAATGCAATGCTTAAGTTTGAGAAGAAAAAAAATAGAGCTTTCTATTATTCTTCTCTCTATGGCTGGAAATCAAATCAAAGCACCTCTTAGGATTTTCAGCGCGAAACCGTTACCGCGTATTTCTTTATTTTTTATATATTTTGTTTTAATCTTCAGCAGCTATTATATCTCTTTTGTCTAAATTCTTTATAAAACTATTTAAAAAACAAAATTGTTGTTGTAATACGTTTTATTCAGTCTCTTCTAACTTTTCAACGTCGTAAAAGTAAAACGTATGTTTTTCTCTTACGTAAGAACTTAGATATAAGAAAATTATATTTGAGCATAACCAGATAATTGATGCGTAAAATTTAGATATGATCATAATATATTTCCACTCAAGTAACTCTCATACTAATGTGGTTAACGTAACCTTTAAAGGTGTATTTCATCAACCGAACTAAACAACACAACAATCACAAGACTGAAATAACGAAAACGTGACCTAAATGACTAAATCTCCCCAACACATATCGGTTTCGTGCCTTGCAAGGCATCGTCTGACTCTTGTAATTAACTCTGTTCTCTCTTAAAACCCATCGCCTTCTTTTCTTTCAATCCCAATAACTCGCAATGAGTCTCTGATTCCACTCAGATCGTTAAATTCAACACTAGGTTTGACCTGAAGAAAATCAAAATAAAAAACACAGAAAAAAACTCACATGAGAATCTTTTTCCTGTGTATGAAGAATGATTCACAATTCAATACCTGATCAAGCATCCTACGAGTTTCCCTCCTCTCCCTCTCAATATCTCTCTGACTCTGTATCTCATCCTGATTCTCTTGCATCTCCTGAGCATAACCATATTGAAACAATACATCAAATGAGAATTTACAGTAAGTCCTGCTCTCTTCTCTCCTGGACTCTCTGTTTCATCATACTATCAACCAGATTAAAGAAGTGAAATCAGTTTCTTTACCCTCAATCTCTGTTGTTGCAGATTCTCTTCTTGCAGATTGTCACGGGCCTCTCTACTCCTCTGCTCCTCAATATGGTCCTGCATAATATCTTTAGCGTTAATGCTGTGATTCTCTTGAATGTACTACGACATTGAAAAAGATAACAAGCCAAGGACAACTCAGGATCATTAAGTGACTGAAATCAGCAAAAAGAAACAAGAACAAAGTCAGGTTTTATTCAATTTCTTCACTTACCCTCCTCTTTGCTCTGTTTCTTGACTCTGTTTCGTATTCACTCGCTCTCCGATCCGTAGTTCCAGCCTAAAGGTAAAATAAAAAAGGAAACTTTGAATCAAACCAATACAAGAAATGCACCTTAACAATCCTCATAGCAGTCTTCTCTGCAAAGATCCTATTAAGAATGTTTCAAAGAAGTAAGCAAGGAGGAAACTTTGGATTTCTCACCCGAAGAATATGAGAAGGATGATTGAAACGGCAAATTTCTCCAAAGCGACACTGACCACTTACAAAATACCGACAATCTTTTACTCTGCCATGATTTGGATACGCACTCGACTGTCTCTCATCAAGTACTCGTTTGGATTCACTGTTCCCTCTCCGATCCGCAGATCTATCCTGAAGAAACAAAATTGAAAAAAAAAGAAAGATTAAAAAAGCAAACAAATCAGATTCTGTTAGGAAGTTAGTTTCGTTACCCTCTGCTGACGCCAGAATCTCGACTCTGTTTCGTGGCTTCTCCTCGGGATATCAACATCTCTCACCCTCTCTTGCTGCAGATTCTCTTCGTTTATTCTTGAACCTGAATCTTCGTTTCCCTGAGAAATCGTATCCACTCTTGTGATCATAATATTCCACAGTAAAGAACAGAGTGAGTTCTTGTTCAGTTTCTTTACCCTCCTCTGATTCCAGAGTCTCGACTCTGTTTCGTGGCTTCTCCTCTGTTGTTGCAGATTCTCTCCCATGTCTGCGTTGGAATCTCGGTGAACAGGAACCCGATTCGCTCCGTTTATTGTTAATCCTGAGTCTTGGTTTCCCTGAGAAATTCGTATCTGACTCTTGTTTAGTTTAACACTCCACAGTAAGGAACAGAGTAGTGTGTTCTTGTTCAGTTTCTTTACCCTATTCGCTGCCCAGGATCTTGAATCTGTTTCGCGTCTCCAACTAAATCTCTCAATAGACCTCCTCGCTGGTGTGATCGGCCTCGAATCCCGAATTTGTCCCTGAGAATCAAGATTAAACGATGCCTTATAGGTAACTTTCTCTAACTCTGTTTCATGTCGTCTATGACTTGTCACACCAAAAATCTAAGTGAAACCGAAACGCCAGATCAAATGATAATTGAGAACGAATGTCGCTGGAATTTGGATCAACAGAGTAAGTTCTTGTTTTACCTTGTTTTCTTCCATGGATCTCGACTCTGTTCGTGAGGAGCAAGTTGCTCCGATTTCTTTCTTCAATCGCTCTCTTTTCTTTCTCTGTTCGCTGCTCCGGAAATCAAATTAATGCATGGTTTCGTTCTTTAAATCCAAAACCCAAAGGTACGATGTTTCCATGATACTTAAAATAACTACTTGAACCACTTTCTTCTCTGGGTCTTTCTTTTGGCAGTAAATAGTTTTGGCGGGTAAATTTATGGATTATTTTGTCCTCAACGCTTGTTTATAACGTTATATATAACTTTCAACCAATAACTGAATTCCAAATAATACTTTTAACACAAATATATGACTGTCATAAGTTTCCAATAGTCAACACTCATTCACAAAACACATTTCTGAAATGGAAAAAAAAAAAGAAAAGTTAATTCAATTGCCTAAGGCATTGAGATCACTCATATAGTTGACCATAACTTAAAAGTAAAAAAAAAACATTGAATAAAATTTCCGGCTTATTTCTGGCTTATAAGCTCGAATTTTATCCTAGACTCATATATATTTAGAAGTAATCAAGTCAACAAAACACTGAAAATTACAAAAGTTTTCCCAACACATCAGTTTCTTGTGTTGCAAGGAATCTGAGAGTTCTCTATGGTGTTTTCATAGCTCTTAAAACCCATCAATCTCTCTAATTTTTAATCCGAGTTTTGCTATTGTCTCTCTGACTTCAATCGCTTCATCGAAATAAACAGTTTGTGTTATCTGAAGAAAACCAATTAGAAAAAAAACTCTCATGTGATAAATCCAAAACAAAACAAAAATGAGAGAAAAATTAGATGTGATTCAGTTCAACACCTGCTCAATTCTCAAACGAGCTTCCCTCCTCTGCTTTTCAATATCTCTCTTTCTCTCTTCCTACAGCACTACATGAGTTTTTTCTTATTCTTTCAAATTTTGAATTCTCTTATAAGCTTATATTGTAAAAATGATTGCCCACCGATAAACCTTCATTTTTTTTTTTTAAACTCCGACAAACCCATCATATATCAATCAAATTGAAGGTTTGCATGAATTTATTTTAAATTTCACACGTAAACGCTAACGAAAAAATATTGTAATTGGAAAAGAAATCAAAACATATAATAAGTATTTGCTTATGTCTATATTGGTCACAACTGTATACCTTGGACCTTTATGTGAAAGTGTTAAGTGCGAATATTGGTACTGGACCTACTGGTCTAATCTAATCATGGGGAGATTGAATTGGCCTTAAATGTTTGTTGCATGCTTTTCTCGTATAGCTTCGTTTCATTTACGTATAATGCTGCATGTGGTGGCTATGTGGATCTTTTCTGTTTCATCCCTTACTAATATTTTACTTCTGGAAAAGCCTTTTCACTTTTCAAAAATAACATATACGCCCTCTTCTTTTCTTGTCGCTATTATTGCGTGGCAAATTGGCAATGTGGTGAGATTTCTGATTTATATGGCTCTAATAATCAGTATTAACACACTGTTATTTTTTTTTTGGTAGCGATTGAAAAACTTTAAAGGAAAAGTCTACACTCGTATGGTTACGACTAAGATTGTTGTTTGCCTTTTAAGTTTGAGAACATTCATCTTATCACAGCAACTAACAATTTAATATGACACTTTTCAGACATGATCAAACCTTGTTACCTTAAATCTGAAAAGTTATGTAAACAAATTCAATCCCATAATTAAACAAAACAATTAAAAATTTACGTAAAAATCAATTGTATATATAAAAAGTAAAACTTTGACATCTGCGCTAAACTTGGACAGTTTGACTTCATTGTTACAATTAAAAAAGAAAAAAAAGGGAAAATATTATCTTGTTCTAACCCTGTTTTTGTTTTCACAGTTTCTCATCTTATCAACGTCGACTTACTAATCACATTGGTTAATCTTCCCTCTTATGTTATGATCCTGTAGGGCACAGACTACAAGTTTGTACATATATTATCGAATAGCGTGGTGTCTTTTTTTAATTGATAACTCTTCTTTTCAGTCTTGTTAATTTCTTTATGTGTGGGTGGTGTATCGCAAGCTCACGTGTTGGTCCACTTGTTTTTGCCTAATTAGTGATTACAAACTAGTATGCGTTCAAACTTCAAACTTCAAACTAGTATGCGTTCAAACTTCAAACTTCAACAAAAGCTAAAGAAATGTGTTCAAACTTCAAACTAAAACCCTATAAATCATAAGAAAATATTTTGAGATTGAGATGTTTTATAGAGAAAGCAAAGCTGATAATAAAAGAAACCTTACATGGAAGTTGTTAAAAAAGAAGAAAACGTACATGAAATACATAAAAGATTGAAAGAAAATTACACAAAAAGGACAACAACTGATGGAAAACTGATCTTAATATCTTAAGATCACGTTAGGTGATTTGTGATTATTTTCTTTGAGTGTATATAGCTTTTCTTCTTCACGTTTTGAACTTTTTTAGATCATTTACCCGTCTTTGATATTGCTTCAAACTTTTTTGATGATTCATAAGCTCCTTCTTTATGTCATCATTTTGTGAGTTATTTTGAAAATGAGAGTGTAAAGGTGAAGATAAACGTGCAATGCGAGAATTCCAAGTCTCACTACCCTATGGTTTCAAAATAACTCACATCATTTATATAAGCTCCTTCTTTATGTCATCATGTTGTGAGTTACTGACATTCTTTAGATCATTTATCTGTATTTTTTATCAACGGAATTCACTATGATTTATTATAGATTCTATCACGATTTTACTTGAATATTATTGCATCAGTGGAGTTCCTATAAATGAGACAGTGCATCACTTTTAGCCAGGCATCCTGCAGCCAACAAAAAAAAGATACGAAGTAAAGAACTTACGAGGAAATATTATGTTACTCAAACTTACTTTGTCTTATATGCAACAATCTCATCTATGTTTCCAGTTTCTTACTTGTCAACTTGACTTCTCTGTTACTTTAGTCGTGTATTTGAAATCTGTAGGTTCTAAAAAACGAAACTTGGATACAAAAAGTATTCGGATGATTTGTTTTCTAGAGATTATACAAATGGTAAAAAAAGAAAAATTACATGAAATATAAAATGACTCAAAGTAGAAAACATGTTATCAAGAAAAATGGTAAAGTGATAAAATCCTACCATGGAGAGCGAGAGCGAAACTAGGGTTTCGAGTGCGGCTGAGAAGGATGCGACCATGACTGACGCTGGTGAGCAGGGGCGACCTCCAGGAGATCCTCCGGACGGGAGAGGGACTTGGGCTATGAAAGTGAGAGGCACAAACGCAGGAGGGATGCCGATACCGGAGGATATCCTGGACGATGACTTTGTGACGGCGCGACTGAACATGGAATACCCCAAAGGTGAGGATGGTGAACCAGTGATCACGATTGGGACTGAGGTGATGGAAGCGATGAACGGTATGTGGAAGAGATGCATGATTGTAAGGGTGTTAGGGAGGAATATCGCCATCAGTGCCTTGAGCAGGAAGTTAAGGGAATTGTGGAAACCAAAAGAGGCGATGTATGTCATCTATCTGTCGCCAGTTCTTCATAATTTTCTTTGAGATGGAAGAGGAATACCTATCAGCACTAACTGGAGGCCCGTGGAAAGCGTTCGGGAGTTATCTCATGGTCCAAGCGTGGACCCCAGATTTTGATTCGCTTAGGCACGATATCACGACTACTCCAGTATGGGTGAGACTCACCAACATCCCGGTTACGTTCTATCACAAAGCTATCCTTATGGGTATAGCCAAGGGGCTAGGAAAACCGGTAAAGGTGGATCTGACGACAATGAATTTCGAGAGAGCACGGTTCGCAAGAGTTTGCGTGGAGGTAAATCTCGCGAAACCGTTGAAGGGGACGATTCTGATAAATGGTGATCGATACTTTGTGGCGTATGAAGGGTTAAACGTGATCTGCTCGGGATGTGGTTTGTATGGGCACTTAGTTCACAATTGTCCGAAAGCAGCGGCTCCTATGGTCACAGCCCCTGTGAGAACGACTGGTGTGGCATCGGCTTCAATGAGTCAAAACATGGTGGAGGAAAGGAGAGAAACATCTCAGGCTGAGATGGAGTTTCAAACAGTAAGAGGATCGAGACGTAAATCGGCGGGATCAACAGTGAGTCCGGCGGCGGAGCCGGTAGCGTTCACCGCATGGTCGTCTGGGGGAGTGGAAGCGCGTAAATCGCGGAATATCTTGGCGAATATTCCCAAGACGAATATTCCAAATTCGAATAGATTTGATAGCTTGGCGGTGGATACGGAGCTAACAGAATCAAGGGAAGATGGGGTTTTGGTGGAGGTGGATAAGGAAAATGTGAATGATGGGAATATCCACGGGATTGAGAAGAGTACGGGACACGGTAATCAACTTTCGCTGGGAGGGAAAATGAATAAGAGGACAGATACAAACAAACTTGGGCCGAGGGGTAAACGGGCCGGGAAGGCGAGCTCTAGTTTGGCCCAGAAGAAGAATGTCCCGAATGGACAAAATAGGCCCATGAGGGGTTTGGTCTTTGGCCCAACAACAGGAGAGGTCGAGAGATCGGATTCGGGGAAGAGGCTTCGTACGGAGAGTGGAAACATCGGGAGAGTGGGAGGAACGTTTCCGATTGCCGAGGATGAAGCATATGTCGAACAGGGCACGCCGCTTGACCTCATGTGTGTGCAGAGCGACTTACCGAGTAACCCGATACATGGAGAGCCGTCAGAAGGGGAGATGCGTGAAGCAACATCGCCGCAGGAGGCGACGGCGCTGACGAAGTGCTGACAGGGAGCCATGGTGTTCCGATTGTTTTTACAAGAGATCCGAGTAATGAATTGCTTGCTATTGAATTGTCGGGGGGCGAATAAACCCAATTTCCGTCGATCGTTTCGATACAATTTGAAGAAATGGAAAACTGATATTTTGGCGCTTTTTGAGACACATGCTGGAGGAGATAGGGCAGGGCGAATCTGTCAGGGTTTGGGGTTTGCGAAATTGTTTCGAGTTGATGCCATCGGACAAAGTGGTGGCTTGTGGCTGCTACGGAGGGAAGAAATAGGGGAGGTGAGTGTGGTGAGCTCCGCGGAGCAGTATATCCATGTCGAGATTGAAAAAGATGGTGAGACAATGAATCTGATTGTGGTTTATGCGGCACCAACAGTCAGCAGAAGAAGTGGGCTTTGGGAACAGGGAACAGCTGAAGGATGTTATACAAAGTGTGGAGGGACCGCTCATAGTGGGCGGTGATTTCAACACCATTCTTCGTTTAGACGAACGAACATGAGGCAATGGGAGGTTATCGCCGGACTCATTGGCCTTTGCAGATTGGATCAACGAGCAATCTCTGATAGATATGGGATTTACGGGACCGAGATTTACTTGGAAAAGGGGAAGGGAGGAGAGATACTTTGTGGCAAAACGTTTAGACAGGATTCTCTGCAATGCCCAAGCAAGACTACGGTGGCAGGGAGCAATAGTCAAACATCTACCGTACTTGTCTTCAGATCACACGCCGCTATATCTTCAGCTTGAACCTGGAGATACAGGGGACCCACGAAGACGTCCATTCCGGTTTGAGGCGGCATGGCTTAAGCACTCTGGGTTCAAGGAGCTACTACTTAACTCCTGGAATGGAGCGCTTGCAACACCAAATGCATTGGAAGACCTGAAAGTCAAACTCAGGAAATGGAACAAAGAAGTTTTCGGCGATATTCAGACACGGAAGGAGAAGCTCCTCACGGAGATCAAAGCGATCCAGGCTCTACTAGAGTCCACACAGACAGATGCTCTATTACAGAGGGAGGGAGAGCTACTCAGAGAGTTTTACATAGTACTTGAGCAAGAGGAGGTCCTCTGGTATCAGAAATCTCGTGAGAAAGGGATTACCTTAGGTGACCGGAATACAAAGTATTATCATCTAACGACAGTGGTGCGGCGACGGAGGAACAAGATTGAGTCCTTAAAGGATGATGAGGGGCACTTAGTAACACAGCCACGAGAACTAGAGAAGCTAGCTACGGATTACTATCGCAAGTTGTACTCACTGGATGACGTGGATGCAGTGGTGGAACGTTTAAACCCGGATGGTTTTATGCGTCTAACATGGGCAGAGCGGAACGAGCTGAATAAAGCTTTCTCAGCGAGAGATGTGGAGAGCTCAATTCGAAGTATGAGAGGTTTTAAAGCTCCAGGACCCGATGGATACCAGCCGGTCTTTTACCAGGATAGCTGGGATGTAGTGGGAGAATCAGTGGCTCGGTTTGCGTTGGAGTTCTTTAGAACCGGGGTCTTGCCACCAGGAACGAACGATGCCATAGTTGTTCTTATTGCCAAGGTAATGAAGCCAGAGAAGATCACGCAATTCAGACCCATCAGCCTCTGCAATGTCTTATTCAAGACTATTACGAAGATGATGGTGATGCGGCTTAAACGGATCATGCCAAAGCTCATCGGTCCGGCTCAATCAAGTTTCATCCCAGGGAGGTTGAGTACAGACAACATTGTACTCGTGCAAGAGGCAGTGCATTCAATGAGGCGAAAGAAGGGAAGAATAGGCTGGATGTTGTTAAAACTAGACTTGGAGAAGGCATATGACCGGATTAGATGGGACTTTTTGGAGGATACTTTGAAAGCGTCGAGGCTCCCGGAGAGTTGGGTAACATGGATAATGCATGTGTTACAGGGCCAGCTATGACGATCCTGTGGAATGGAGAGCAAACAGAACCATTTGCGCCTAGGAGAGGGCTGAGGCAAGGAGACCCCCTGTCCCCATACTTATTCGTCTTATGCCTGGAACGCTTGTGCCACCTAATAGAGGAAGCCATTGATCTCAAGAAGTGGAAACCTATTCAACTGTCTCGTGGGGGACCGAAGATATCTCACGTGTGCTTTGCATATGACCTCATCCTATTTGCGGAAGCCTCAGTTACTCAGGTACAAGTCATCCGTCAGGTGCTTGAGAAGTTTTGCGTCGCATCTGGTCAGAAGGTGAGCCTCGAGAAGTCTAAAATCTTCTTCTCGGAGAATGTGAGTAGGGAGTTGGGGAAACTAATAAGTGATGAGAGCGGGATTTGAGCTACTCGAGACCTCGGCAAATACCTTGGCATGCCGATTCTCCAGAAGCGGATCAACAAGGAAACGTTTGGAGAGGTGTTGGAAAAGGTGTCGTCAAGACTAGCCGGTTGGAAAGGGTAGATGTTGAGCTTTGCCAGCCGCATCACGATGACGAAAGCGGTACTATCCTCCTTCCCAGTTCATACAATGAGCTCGATAGTACTCCCACAGTCGACATTGGCCAGATTAGACAAGATATCGAGATCATTTGTGTGGGGAGATACTACGAAACAGAAGAGACAACACTTGATCTCATGGGAGAGAGTGTGCTTACCCAAAAGAGAAGGAGGCTTGGGAATCAGAAAAGCACAAGACATGAATAAGGCTCTAATCGCCAAACTGAGCTGGAGAGTTTTGCAGGACACCAACTCTCTGTGGTCACGAGTGTTGAGGCATAAGTACAAGGTGACGAATATAAAAGATGGGCTGTGGTCTAAACGGAGTGGTAACTGGTCGTCAATATGGCGGAGTGTGAGGAAAGGAATGAGTGAAGTGGTGATTCCAGGAATTCACTGGGTGATAGAAATGGACGAGAGGTTCGCTTTTGGCATGATAAAGTGGCTCCTCGACACACCACTTTATGACTTACGCACAACAGAGATACCTGAAAATCTGTTGGAGATGCCAGTACGGGAACTATGGCAGAACGGAGCAGGATGGATAATGCATCAGATTACTCCTTACCTCACCGAAAACATACGGATGCAAATTTTGATTCGATTTTCAGTTGTTCGACCACACTAGACTTTTTGGTCTCCAACACAAAACCTAACACGTGGCTATGAAAACCAATAAGATTTTCAATGTCCTTTGTTATTTCTAAATGATGTTTTTTTAATAATTTTTATTAAATACGCGGATTATATTCCAGGTTAATTCGAACTTAATGGGTTGATATATTTTTCTAGAATTGAGAGTAAATTTGCAAACAAAACCACTTGAAGGGTTAATTTGCAGAAAACCCAATACAAAAAAAATACAGTTATTTTTGCAACAACCCCGCAAGCGTTTCATTCCCTAGTATCTTAAATTACTAATTTACCACTTCCAAGAAAGTTGTTATCCTATTTTGGAAACTTGTTTTTGCCTAATTAGTAATTACAAATTCGATTCGCTTCGCTTTTGGTTCTCTCTCTCTCTCTCAAATTCCATTTCTTTCTTCTCCCTGAAAACCAGATCGAATTTAGGGCTTTCTAATTCACGAAGAAGATGGCGATGCAGAAGGCTAAAGAGATCGTTTCCAGCAATTCGGTCGTTGTTTTCAGGTCTCTCTGTCTCCCTCCTCGATTCTCCATTTTCTCGCGTTTCTCTCGATTTATGTATGTTTTGTTTGTTTGCGAATTGTTGGTATCTTCGAATCAGTATCTCTGCTTCTTTTATGTGGTTTTGATTGTCTGGCGTAACGATTAAGCAGCCATAAATGTATCTAGACGCTTTTCTGTACCAAGGGGGGTTTGTGTTCTGTGTTGTGCGTATGTTAGCAGTTTGAGTGATCTGAATCGGTTTTGTGATTTTTCTATGGAATTGCAGCAAGTCGTATTGTCCATACTGTGTGGAAATAAAGGATCTTTTGAACAAATTGGGAGCTAAATTCATCGCCATTGAGCTCGACAAAGAAAGTAAGATGACCAATTTTTCATTTTCATTTACTTTCTTTAATGGTTTCGGAAAGTTTCAGTTTTTCTCTTGCTTGTGTATATCGAAAGATTCGAGTTTAGGCTTTTGTTCATGGATCCATTTGTTCATAGGTTTTGGACTTTTGGTTATGAACGCTCTGCTTTGTCTGAGTATAGGTATTGTTAACGAGCCCATCATAGAAAATGTCTATGTTTTCTCTTGTGATTCGAGTTTAGGTTTTGTTGTTAATTTCTCTTGGATCATTGCCCTCGATGAGCTATGTTATATCACTCTGAGTCAGATTTGTGTGTACTCATCAGACAATTCAGACTCAAGCTTTGTTCATTGTTCTTGTATAATGCAGGTGATGGTAGCCAAGTTCAATCAGCTCTTGCAGAATGGACAGGACAACGCACTGTGCCCAATGTGTTCATAGGAGGGAAACACATCGGTGGCTGCGATTGTAAGTAAAAACAGAGCAATTCTCTGTTTTCTTCTTTTCGTTTTCTCTAAACTTAATCTTGTGGTTTTCTTGTTTTTTGTAGCAACAACTGGCTTGCATAGTGGCGGTAAGTTGGTTCCACTGTTAACTGAAGCTGGAGCTATCGCTGCAACGACATCCGCTTAAGAGCACATTCCTTTTGTGATTTGCTTCTTTTAAGGTTTGAGTCCGAAATAACAACTTGTTTCTTGTCAAGTTTAAAACAATTATCTGAAATGTTTTGAGTTGTGTCAATGTCAAGTCGGTTTCCGAACTTCTTATATATTATGGTCAGAATTGTATTATGGGTTTATGTTGGGCTGTAATTCTCGTAGAATTTTGAGGTAAAGCGAAACTCGAGCCTCAGGCTCTAAGGTAAAACCGTAAAAGTAATTGGATAAGAAGGAAACTGACATAGTCTGGTAGATGACAAATATCCGGACACATCCGAAAAATAAGAGAATCAATTAAGTCTTCATTGCATTCAGCATAAAGAATCTCTCTATCACAAATTATAAAGACCACTTTTAAGAGAATACGTGCTGCTTGGTACTAACTTTCAATGCCGGTGGGGTTAGCATTTGGAGGCATCCTTGTGACGCAAGGTTTCTCTAGGAATGTGCATGTTAAGGGAGTTTGTGAAAGTGAATAAACATCCCTAGCAGAGACATCACCTAGATTTAAACAAAAATAAGCTTTAACATGATAACAAATATAAAATACCAAAACAAAATGAAAACAAAATTGCGCGTAGCCGGAATATACTCTAGTAATCATAAAATGAACTTCTCTATATATATGGTATGACACGTACCTGCAAATACATTTTTACTTGTTTTGGTATTGATCTAACGGTTAGTGTTTTATATAATTTTGAATGAACAATTTGTGTTTTATGTAATTTTATCATGAATCATTAGATAGGTATCACCCGAGAACTGAATCCAAAAAGACACAAATTCCTACAGTAAAATCCCTACAAGCCGGAGACGAATCATGTCTTTGTCTCCAATGCCGAATTGGAACGAAAGAATCATGTTGCTAATCAAGAAGACGATGAAGCTGAAGAAGCCGTCACCCCAGGAATCAGACATGATATCATCACTTCCTGATGATATACTATTGATCTGCTTTGCACGCAACTCTAGATTGTACTACCTGGCTATCTCCTGGCTATCTCCCACAGCTCCAAGAGACTTCAATCTCTCATTGCTTCCCCTGAGCTTTACTAGACTTGTTCCCGCTTAGGCCTCACCGAGAGCTGCCTCTATGTGTGCTTGCGATTCCACTCTCTCCTGGAAACCTGACCACACCTATAAAAAGAAGAAAAATATGGAGGATGAGGAGGAGGAGGAGTCAAGTGGCAGGCTTCTGCTTCCAGTTTCAATTCAAAACTCTCCTCCTTTCGAGTGGTCAACTCTCGTCGCTGTTGGTCCTTACATCTACGCCATCAGCGGATCCATTGAGGAAGCTCCTTTCTCTAAATTCCCATTTCCTGACGTTCGAACTCGCACTTGGCTCGAAGCTCCAAGATTGCGTGTTGCCCACGACACCAACATCGAGTATCATGGTAAGATGTATCTACCCGGAAAGGGCGAGAATCCAGAGTCTTTAAACGGTATTGAAGTGTTCGACACAAAGACACAGACTTGGAAGCCCATGCCGCCAAATACAAATGAAAGGGATTGAATATATAGAAGGGAAGATTATCGTGGAGAGGGATTGAATATATAGGATCAAATACAAATAGAATATATTCCAAAGGAAAAGAAAATAGAATATATAGGATCAAATACAAATTTTGAAAGGGATTGCGATTAGTATCGAGAACGTAGGATACTTGTATACGTCCAGTACTGGGGAGTTTAAATGGCCAGCGAATATGGACGATGGTTTCTTCAGTGTGATAGTACAAGCTACAAGGTTTAGAAGGGCTACCAAAGCTTCCGGGTGATTGCAAGAATGTTTTACTTGCAGAACACGGTGGAAATTTAGTAGTTTTGTGGGACGCGTTTGCTGGGAAAAAGGAGAAGATAATATGGTTTAAGATTGCCTTCAGCTCTGTAATATGAATTTCTGCACTCATTCACTTGTAGATTAGTATTAAGCTTGTTTTGTGTCTTGTCTCCTTGAAAAACCTTTTTGATACCTAAAACAGAGCAACTCTGTTTCAATTTTGTTGTAAAGATTTCTGATTTTTTTTGTTTCGTTTTCTCTGAACCGAATCTTGTGATTTTCATTGTTTTGTAGCAACTGCCAACTTGCATAGAGACGGTAAATTGGTTCCTCTGTTAACTGAAGATGGAGCTATCTCTTTGCCATTGCTTTATTTCTCGTAACATTTTGAGGTAAAGTAAAACTTGAAACCTAGACTTTCAGGTAAAAACGTAAAAGTAACTGAATAATGCAAAGAGATCGTAATTAGGTAGATTCATTACTGCTATGATCATATGATTTGCGACATAAAATGAATCCGACTAAATGCGATTGTTTCATACATAGTGTGTATGTGTTAAGCTTGCATTTATATGAATTCAGACTCGTAAAATATTTGCTTAATATTCAGGTTTTGCAAATCAGTAATGCCTAGTTCATAAACAAAAAGAGTGGTGAGATAGAAGAACAAAATGTAATTTACTTTGATACAAACAAATCTTAATCGATATATATATATATATATAGACCACGAGTCGATCTCGAGAGTTAAATAAAATATGCCCACAATTCACAAAACGGTTCCTTACTTCCATTAGAACGTTTAATAACGGACCATGTAAGAAAATATTCTCATTCTCATAACATATTATTTGAAAAGTGAGTTTCCAACATAAAATAATCTTAAAAAATGCTTAAAAATAAATGCGTAATAATTTAGCATAACCCTAACATTATTTTAGTTTTTTTTTAAAACGTAGCGTCCCTGTGGTATTCCTTGAGTACGGCTACCAGATCTAATCAAGAGAAAAAATTAAACATGGATCTAAGGATTAAATTCCAGCGCTTGCTCACAATTGTCATATGCCACAGATCCACTGGTTCTCGTATCCTTCTGAGAATTTAAATCTTCCCTCGAAGTTTCATCGGGAAGATCCATAATTGTGGTTCTCTTCTCACTCGCCAAGCCTCCTACGCCAACCGTCCTTTTCATCTTCCTCTTCTCTTTCTTAATATTTTTCTTCTCATTCTTCATCATCACCTTCATCTTCTTCTTCTCTTTCATCATATCCAGCCTCATCTTCCACTTCTCATACGTCTTCTTGTTCATATCTTCTTCTTTTTCTTCACCGTCACCTTCACCCCCTCCTTCTTATGCTGAACAGTCTCTCCCAATCTCTCTTTATATATTTATTTTATTTCATTTATTTGTCCCTCTATGAACAACGCAACTTGTGGCGCAAGAAATCAACAATTGTGTCTTTTCCCGTTTTCCTGTTGAATTTCCAAATTAAAGCACTACACTTCCTTTTCTATCGCTACTCTTTTAGTTAACTTTCCAAAATATCTAATTTTATTTCATTTCTTTGTCCTTCTATGAACAAGGAAGCTTGTGGCGCAAGAAAATTATAATTATATAAGGATCTCTCTTGATGAACACATAGATGGATCGGTGCATTTTCATTTTCCACCTGCAACAGCAAGGATTGAACCCACATAGCATGTAAAACGAATATGTTAGCCCTTAGAAGCAGAGCATAATTCTGAAGAATGGTGTTGAAATCATGTAAAACCAGCTTCGAGGAATCCAAAAGCTCCACTGAAATTCAATAATATGTGGCAAGAATCTGAGTCTTATCAGGTTTGAGATTTGTTAAAGGCAAAACGACAACAACAAAAGTGAATAAATCATACAAAAGGGAGTGGTATGCAGATATTGAATTAAGGGAAGTTAATCACAACAAATTCATGACGGAGAGTATCTGAAAATTATCAAACAAGAAGGCAATATACAGTATATGTTCGACCAAATCTTATAAGTCTAGGAATTTAACTGTGTTCTTTTTCGGAAAATAGTAGAAGAAAAACTCTAACCTAAACAACTCCGATGATTTGTGCATCCATCGAAATGTTTGACGAGAGATAGCTTTTTTTTTTTTTTTTTGTTGCTAAAATTATTAGAGACGATGAGAGATAGCTAGCGCAATACATGATATAGGGAGAATTTTAATTTTACGTCTACAAGTGCCTTGTTTGAATTTTACGTTTACGTTGCATCCATAAACTTGAATTTTATGTATTAATTTGTGAGAAAACAACAAATTTGAATTCAGATTTAAACGAAAGTAGCTATTAACATTGCTGTTTAGACCTACTTTTCATTTTTCAAAGTAATTAAGAAAGAGGTGAGTGCGTGCTAGAAATCCGATATAGAACACATGCATGAATCTCCCATCCACCACCATCGATCCTACGGTCACTATTTTAACTCCAAATTCACATTAGTTATTGATAACAACGATTTCAATTCATGATCAAGAGTATACACTGACCGCTCATACAAAATTTTCAATCTACAAAAAATTCAAAAAATAATGGTATTTGGTTTAATAAGTTCCGGGTGTCATCCAAAAAGATTTAGATATTTGTAGGAGAGAGAAGAGAGAAGAGGGAAGAGAGAATCGATCAAAAGTACGATCTTGACAACTGACAAGACACCTAAACAAAGTCTTCTCATTAAAAAAAAAAATGATTATTCTCACAATTTTGTTTGTCACAATGCATAAATTTTCCGTCACAAAACTCTTATTGTGACAAAATTGTTACTAGTTGTAAAAGGTTAGAGTAGAATCATCACAAATCACGTTATGTCACAAAAATTGTCACAATGTGTTATGACGTTAATTTTTAGTAACAAATCGTCACCAATTGTTACACTATTAAAATAGTCACAAAGCCGACACAATTTATGACAGATAATATTGTAACAATTATGTCACAAATGGTGACACTAAATTCGTTAGATGTTTGTCACAATTTGTTACCATATTTTAGTTATTAATGTGTTACAAATTGTGACAAAATAATGTTAGAAACCACGTCACATTTCATGACAAATTTATTGTCACAAACACGTAACAATTTGTGATGGAAAATAATGTCATAATTCTGTTACATTTAGTGACAAAGTAATAGTCACATATTCGTCACAATATGAGGTTTGTTTGTGACGTTTTTAGCTACGGAGCTCGTTAGAAATTGTTACAAATTTGAAAATAAAAAACCATATAAACTTTGTCACACTACTCCCGTTTTTGTTTTTATTGAAAAAAATTATAAATTAAAGTACTAAACATAAAATAAACAGATGATGATATTACTTAACAAAATATCTTACAAACGTAATCAAAGAAACATGGAAGCAAATAGTATTTCACAAAATATAAACTAAACAAACTAAACAAAACAAAGGATAATTAAGTAGAATCTAGAAAATCTAGATTATGCGGACGATGTTCATGGTGGAGTTGGATCTACTGACTTGCAAAGGACTCAACCATTTTCTCCATAGCTTCAAGTCTTTTCTGAATCTCCTGATTTTCTTCACGGCTCTGTTGCAGTTCAGTTTCCATTACTTGCATCCGATTTGTTATCATCTCTACTTCAGAAGGTTGGGGTTCACTTGGAGAAGCATCGACAAAAAAATGTTATTTTTATTTCTGTCATAATATTATAACGAAATGCTTACGCTTTTATAACCAATTAATTTCGTCACATTATGGTATATAAATGGTCATAATAACATTATGGTATATAAATGGTCATAATATTATGACTAAACGATTGGTCACAAATTTTTTGTCACAATAATTACTTTTTTTTTGTAGTGTCTACCCTTAACTATTTAACAAACCAATAGTTCTCTTCAAGTAGATTATGGACATCACATGAGAAAAATGAAGTCATATGAGTGAAGCCTGAGATCTCACTCCTTAGTTTGGCCGTGCACCCTATTGAAAAGAACTTAGCAAGAAAGATTTTCTTGCACTCATCCCATGTAGTGATTGTACCATGGGGTAGGCTCTTCTCCCATTGGTGAGCCTTGTCATCAAGAGACATAGGGAAGAGTCTCAACTTGATTGCATCTTCAGAGACACCATTGATCTTGGTTAGATCACACAACCTATCAAACTCATCAAGGTGATCGATTGGGTCTTCACTTGATAGCCCATGGAACATCTTGTTCTGCACTAGATTGATCATACCCAGCTTGATCTCAAAATTGTGGTTCTGGACAAGAGGTGGGACAATCCCTTGTCTTTGGTGATGGCGGTTTGGTGCATCTCCAAGCCCAATCGGTCGAGTCTGCCTAGCTCGACCGAGTCCATTGCCCAAAGGGTTTCCATTACCCTCTGGATCATTCATTGTATCAGTAACAACCACCTCTGGTGCAGCTTGTTGCCTCTGGCTCTTCTTTCTCTGTCGTTTGCCTATGTCGTCCCAATACCCAACCAAGTCTTCAGTAGAGGAGCTCGATCGAGTTCGCATACACCTGCAAAACAGTCAAAAACTCAACAGTACAAGCAACAAAGGTGGGATAGTACTTGATCGTCCAAGTGAATTGGAAACTCAAATGCAACGAGAATCAAACCCAAATGGCAACGGCGCCAAATTGATGACAGGATTTTTATGGTGTGATGGAATGAAAGTATGTAATGATATGGATGCAAGCAAAGGTGGAATGAGAATGAGATAGTATGATCCAGTCATAGTCAATCAATTCCTCTTTATCATCATAGTCAATGCAGCATAAAAGGTTATCAATCCATATGGGTTTGTTGTCACTATATGAGAATATGCAAACACAAGAAAGTCAAGCAAATATGGTAAGGGTGGATTGGATGTAACTCTAACAACCTAAAATGAAATGAAAGTGCAATGCGAATATGAAACAAGCTATAGATGCATGAAATAAACAAGAAACAAGCAACTGTAAAGCAGCTCGACCTAGGACTCGATCGAGTAGAAACAGAGCATTACAGCTCGATCGAGTTGGGGGTCGAGTTAGTGTAAAAACAGAGGAATGCGAATGCAAAACAATAAAGGTGCAAACTTTAAGCTATTAAGATGAAGGTTAGGGTCTAAGACAGGGTTTTGCGACAGGGGAAGGCTATACTTAATCAATCTTGCTCTTAAACCACTTGTACTCAAGCTATCTCTTGGTATTGAGCTTCTTAGCCTAGCTAACCCTTTCCCAAGGTGGAAGCTATCATCAAAGGCAAGATCTCAGAAACAGGGGGTCAGCCAGTGAGATCAAGCCTTAGAGGCATTAGAAACTTTGCTCAAACTCACCCATTCAACACCTATAAACTCCATTTCGTGAGGCAAGCATGTTGAAGCTCTTAGTGGACTTGTTCAAGCGATTTCCCATTCATTCCCATGAGGAAAATCGCTCAAGATCAAACACACCATGGATAGTGGTTGTGTTGCCTTAGGCTTGTCCAAAAGAGAGAGATTTTAGATTAAGAACATCAAGCAAGAAGATATTATCTAATCTAACCCATCTTAAACCCTAAAGAGAACTACTCACTACACATTGCGAAATACATAACTAAATGCAATGAATGAGACATTAAAAGATAGAAAGATGAAACTAAACAACTTTTATTGAAATAGACAAGTGCAGAAATACAAAGATAAAGCCTAGATCTAAGGTTCAAGAGCAAGAGCTCAAGAACACAAAAGAGAGGCTAAGGTTTTTGAAAGAAAAGCAAATTACAAGATTAAAAGAAAGCTAAAAGAGAGTTGTCTTTTTCGTGGTCACAGCCTTTAAATAGAAAGAGATTAGGTTTAGGGTCAAAGGGGAGTCAAAGGGAAGCAACATTTTTCGGGTTTGACTTTGACTCCTCAGCTCGATCGAGTTGGTCTTGGCCGGTCGAGCTAGTGGACTCGACCGGTTGGTCGCGCAGATGGGTCGAGCTGGCTTCAAAGGCGGCTTCCTTCTTCATTCCAAGCATGCGCGGTCAAGCTGAGTTCCATGCACAATGTCCTTCCTTGCTCCTCACGTCCCAATTGCTCCATAGTGCTCCAAATAGACCTGTTTAAGGATCAAACATGCACATGTATGCAAATGCAACCTAAAACTACAATGTATGCATAAGAAAGGAAAAGGAACAAGATATGATGCTAATGATGCTAAAACTATGCAAAAGATGCATAAAAGATGTACTAAAACTATGTAAAATGCAAGTTTATCAACAGTGGTCCTTTGGGTTCTGGACAGGCTTTCCTGGTAGTTGTCCTTGTTTAAAAGCAGCAGAAGAAGTGTGGTTCTCCAAGGTATGAACTCTTGTGTTCAATGACTCAATCTTTGAATTTATATCAGCCAGCTTCTTGCTTGTCTCCATTACACCATCATCTTAACCTTGTAACAACTGTTTAAACATGGCTCTCAACTCAGGCTCTTGATTAGGCGCATGCTGAGGTGGCTGGTGAGGAAAGCCAGGTGGTATATGCATTTTCTGCCCAGGGAAAGTCCCTTGGAGGCTGTGGTAGTTGCCTTCCAGACCATACCCTTGTTGTGGAGGCTGACTCGATCGAGTTTGCTGCTGTGGAAGGTAAACTTGATCCTGAAGGTTAGCTACGTCTGTGTTTCTGTAAGACATGGCTGGATTGGACTTATAGTTGTAATAACCCTTCTGGTATCCACCTTGTCCATTGCTCATGTAGCAAATTTCAGCAAATTGTGTATCCTCCCCTTCTTGAACTGGAACCATCTCTTCAGAAGATACAAAGTTGACCTTTTTCATTGTGGATTGAGCTAGGATAAACTTATCCAACTTCTCATTCAAAGCTTTCACATCCTTTATGAGTTTGTCATCAGACTCGATCGAGTGGTGGGTCGAGCTTCAGTTTCTGCGATCATACTCCTCTCCATAGCTTTCATTTGAGTTAGCAATGTTCTCCACAAGCTGCCAGCCATCATCTACATCTTGATTTAGGAAGTTTCCATTACTGGCTGTGTCCAACATCTCTCTGTATCTAGCCAAACATCCTCTATAGTGTATAGAAAGCAAAGACTCATTGTTGAAGCCATGATGAGGGCATTGACTGGTGTAACCCTCGAATCTTTCCCAAGCTTCAGCAAATGTCTCATTGTTTTCTTTGAGTATAGCCTGATATCTCACTTCTTAGCTTGGCTGTGCAACCAGTTGAGAAAAAATTAGCAAGAAAGGCCTTCTTGCACTCATCCCATGTAGTGATCGAACCATGGAGCAGGCTCTCCTCCCATTGGTGAGCCTTGTCAGCAAGGGACATAGGGAAGAGTCTCAGCTTGATGGCATCTTCAGAGACATCATTGATCTTGGTCAGATCACACAACCTATCAAACTCATTAAGATGGTCTATTGGGTCTTCACTAGACAGCTCATGGAACATCTTGTTCTGCACAAGATTGAACATTCCCAGCTTGATTTTGAAATTGTGGTTCTGAACAGGAGGAGGGACAATCCCTTGTCTTTGCTGATGGCGGCTTGGGGCATCTCCAAGTCTAGTCGGTCGAGTCTGCCTAGCTCGACCCTGCCCATTACCCAAAGGATTTCCATTACCCTCTGGATCAGCCATTGTATCTGTAACAAACACCTCTGTCTCAGCTTGTTGCCTCTGACTCTTCTTTCTCTGTCTTTTGCCTATGTTGTTGTCTAACTCGACCAAGTCTTCTGTAGAGGAGCTCGATCTAGTTCGCGTACACCTGCAAAACAGCCAAAAACCCAGCAGTACAAGCAACAAAGGTGGGATAGTACTTGATCGTTCAAGTGAATTGGAAACTCAAATGCAACAAAGTTAAAACCAAATGGCAACATCGCCAAATTGTTGACAGAATATTGGTGTGATATGGATGCTATAAATGATATGTGATGGATGCAATCAAATGTGGAATGAAAATGAGATGGTATGGTGAATAGGTGCAATCACAGTCAATCAATTCCTCTTTTACATCATAGTCAGAGTAGTATAAGAGGTTATCAATCCAATTGGGTAGGTTGATGCTCTAGAATATGCAAACACAAGAAAGTCAAGCCAAATAGTAAATGATGATGGAAGTAACTCTAACAACCTAAAATGAAGTGAATGCAATGGAACAGTAGATGCGAATCGAAACAAGGATGTAAATGCAAGAAATAATCAAGAAACAAACAAGTGCAATGCAGCTCGACCAAGAACTCGATCGAGTAGAAACAGAGTATTATAGCTCGATCGAGTTGGGGGTCGAGTTAGTGTAAAAACAAAGGAATGCGAATGCAAAAAGATAAAGATGCAAACTTTAAGCTATTAAGATGAAGATTATGGTCAAAGACAGGGTTTTGCAGCTAGAGGGAGCCTATACTTAATCAGCCTTGCTCTTAAACAACTTGTACTCATGCTGTCTCTTGGTATTTAACTTCTCAAGCCTAGCTAACCCTTTCTCAAGGTGGAAGCTATCAGCCAAGACAAGATTTCAGAAACAGGGGGTTAGCCAGTGAGATCAACTCTTGAAGGCCTTAAAACCCTTGTTCAAACTCACCCATTCAACACCTATAAACCCCATTTCGTGAGGCAAGCGTGTTGAAGCTCTTAGTGGACTTGTTCAAGCGATTTCCCATTCATTTCCATGAGGAAAGTCGCCTAGACTCATACACACCATGGATTGTGGTTGTGCAACCTTAAGATTAGCCCAAAATAGAGAGATTTTAGATTAAGAACATAAAGCAAGAGAGATTAAGCATAAACAACCTCTAGCCTTCATTCAGAGGAGTATGCGAAAGTAAAGAGGGAGAAGAGAGTTATTCGAGGCTACTCGACTCGATGGGGAAGGGTGAAAGCTTCCCCATCTTAAACCCTAAAGAGAAGCTACTCACTACACATGATAGAAAAAAACAATGAAATGCAATGAAATAGACATCAAATGAAAGAGGAGATAAAGATAAACAAATCATATATATGAAAAGAGGTCAATCCTCTCCATATTGTTGACACATGGACAAAGGAGAAAATAACACATGTCATATAATTTTCACTAAAAAAACAAAAATTCAAAAGTTTAATATAACATTAATGCAACTTTTGGTCTTCTCTGCTTATTGTAACTTACAAAATACATTTTTATATAATTTTCAGTTTAAAAAAACATATCCAAAAGTTTAATGGAACTTCAATGCAATTTTAGTTTTTTTTTTTGTGCCTAAATAAATAAAACTATTATATCAGTTTAAAATTATTATCCTTGGCCATTAATCTTGAATCACTATTAAACATTTAAGTTCTCTTAATATACAGAAAATTGGATTCAGAAAAAAAGCAATGGCAGAGAAGCAGAGTGTGTTCCACGTAATCGTGAATAAATAAAGAGTGTCAAGGGTATAAAAACATGTGGTATTATGCAAAACTATATATTTGAAAGTCTAAGGAAGCAAATAAGAATTAAAATACATGTGTTATTTGGGTTAAAAGATTAATCACAAATCTATAAATTTTTTATACTCCAAGCAAATAAGAATTAAAATACGGGTGTTATTTGGATTATTTAGGGTAACATTTTTCTTAAACTATAATAATAAGAAAACCCGCGCGTATGCGTGGGCATTGGTCTAGTTTTATTGAAATAGCAAGGTTCTGAAACACAATAACAAAGCCTAGATCTAAGATTCAATGAGCATAAGCTCAAGAATACTAAGAAGAGGCTAAAAGCTAAAAGAAGAAATACAAATTACAAAATTAGGCAAAAGTTGGTGTTTGTTCGTGGCTCAAGCCTTTAAATAGCAAAAGAAACTAGGTTTAGAGTCAAAGAGGAGTCAAAGGGAAGGCATAACTCGGGTTGGACTCACGTCCTTGCTCCTCATAATCCTTCCTTGCTCCTAACTCGGGCATAACTCGGGTTGGACTCCGTCGCGCTGAGTCCCATGCACAATCCTTCCTTGCTCCTCACGTCCCAAGTGCTCCATAATGCTCCAAATGGACCTGTTTAAGGATCAAACATGCATATGTGTGCAAATGCAACCTAAAACTACAATGCATGCAAAGGAAGAGAAAAGGAACAGAATATGATGCTATTGATGAGTAAGACTATGCAAAAGATACAGATGTATTAAAACCATGCAAAATACAAGTACATCACTTGCTTATTTGCACTTTGGTATTTCAATAAAAGTTATTTATTTCTTCATGCTCTTTCATTTGATGTTTATTTCATTGCATTTTGTTGGTTAATTCATCATGTGTAGCGAGTAGTTCCCCTTTAGGATAGACGATGGGATAGAGTAAGGGTTGTTTTTGCTTAATCCCTCTTGCTTTAGGTTCTTAATCATAAATCTCTCTTGTTTGGACCAAGTTTAAGGCAACACAACCACTATCCATGGTGTGTTTGATTGTGTGTTTGATTCTAGACGATTATCTTGATGAGAATGCATAGATAATCGCTTGAACAAGTCCAGTAAGAGCTTTAACATGCTTGTCTCACAAAAATGAGGTTCATAGGTGTTAAAAGGTTGATTTGAGCATAGTTTATATAGCCTTTAAGGATCAATCTCACTGGCTAACCCCATGTTTCTGAGATTGATCCTTGATTGATGATCTTCACCTTGGGAAAGAGTTGATCAGCCTTAAGAAGCTCAAAACCAAGAGATTAACTTGAGTATTAGTAGTTAAAGGCAAGATTGATTAAGTATAAGCTTCCTTTAGTTGCAAAACCATGTCTTTAGCCCTAATCCTTATCATAGTAGTCTAAAAACCGCACATTTCTTGCTTTACATTTGCATTTGCTCTGTTTTACTCTGTTTTAAGCCTAACTCGATCACCAACTTGATATACCTCTATTTTACATGCTTTTTATACTATTTTAGTATGGTTTTCTAATGTTTTTTAGCAGGTTTTCTATTTAAAAAGGTAGTTTTATTAAATTTATAGTACTAAGAGTCTAAACAGGTGAAATGATTCATTTTGGAGCAAAACCATAGGATTTGCACTTCAACTTGCTCCATACCGAATTATCTACTTTGAGAAGGCCTGAATAATAATCTACTCAACGGATATCATCAAGACCACTTCGCCGCGTGCCCTGACTGAGTTAACTTTCCAACACAAGTGGATTCACATCATTTGGATGAGTAGAAACGGAGTTATGATCAAATTAATGAAGACTGGTCCAGACGGCTCTACCGAGTAACAGCGTCCGAACCGCGCATACCGGCCGACCGAGGAACTATCGTTCCGCGATCGACCCACGTCTGGACACTTCATCCGTCCTGCCTAGTGCAAGGCCGAGCTCGCGTACCGACCCGGGAAGCAACAACCCACGGTCGTCCCGTCCGAGTCTCGCCACCATAAAGCCGTGCACGACCACACCGCGCGAACCGGGAGGCATCGCCTCACGAACGTGCAACACAACCCGTGCCACACACACGAGCATACCGTCCGACCAGAAAGTCATCGTCCCGCGTCCGGCCGAAACCTTCGACCAATATCATCCGTCTGGCCGAACCCGACGAACGAACGAAGAATCTCTCGGCCACGATCGACCCGACCGTGCCGATAGCTGATCATGACCCGATAGCCGGCCTACCGTCCCGACCATCCGTCCAAACGTTCCGGTCGACCCGAAGCCCGTTTTGAAGCCCGTTTCACACGTTTTCACGGCCCGACTTAACCTAATTCCGCCGCTGAAGACCTAATACATTAAATAGAACTTTTTAGCCTCTTGAGAAGGAGAGTTGCATTGTATCACGTTTTTACACTTAGAGTTTTGTTCTAGATATTTCAAGGAGAAGATCTCTCCTCCTCACTTCAATTTGGAGAAGTTTTCTAAACCTTTATTTATCTATAATGTTTTCATCATCTCTTTGTGTTGTTGCTTTGATCATGTCTGAGTAATTCACTAGTTAGGCTGTGGGATCTATCAACGAGTTCATGGTTCGATAGGTTGATAGAAATTGTTTAGGGTTCATTATATTAGATCTTCATCTTCACTTGAACTCATTGCTGCTTGCTTTCCTAGGCGTAGGGTAGATCGGAGCAAGAGGGAACGCCTAGACGACGTTTTTCTTCCTGGGCTGCGTCTTCCTGGAAGAAGAACTCCAGGTTGGCTCGAAGATGCCAACAGCATTCCGTTCACTTTCGTGTCCCCGCCTACGTCTTACTCGGTACTCCATCTAGAAGCTTTCTATACGATTGAATAGGATCAAAACAGGGCAATAGCTAGGTTAGAGACATTCATCCTCATACCGAGGATACCATAGATAGCTGGCCTCCCCCTAGAGAAGCTCAAGGCTTAGGTCAACCTACTCAAAGAAAATCCTATAGTGAACCTTGTGAAACTGAGAATCAGAAGGGCAAGACCCTATTCTTGAACCCTCTGCCGATCAACAACATCAGATCTTAAGTTTCATATACTCTCCAAAAGCTTGTTATATAACCGGAACTAAGTGTTTGGTGAGCAACACTTCATAGACTGCAAAAGTTGATCTTTGCGGGGTTGTGAACAATTGGGTCTTGAACGAACTAATGCTTGATTTAATCACGTAGAGACATACCAAAAGTTTAGCAACTAGATAGATTAACAAAGGGATCGGAGCCTCGAAAGTGGAAAGATCATTCCTTCGTGACCTGAGTTCTAGATAGCGCGCAAAACCCTAGTGAACCTTTCTATCATCTTGTTAACCTTGAATCTCTGCTAGTTTCTCACTGCCTAGCGTTTCGTCCTTATTAATTTCCTTAAACCACTTAAACTGCTGCTTAGTCCTTTAGTTATTAAAACCATCAAAACCCCCAAAATCATACTTTGATTTCTAGCTAAATTAGACTTGCAATACTCATAGTGTACTTATCTGCTTCTTGTGTTCGATAACCCGTTACTACCTCTGACCTGTGCATTTGAAGAATCAGGGATAGGAATAGGTAAAACTTGATCCTGCATCAAGTTTTTGGCGCTGTTGCCGGGGAGCAATACAGCTACCTTCGAGTTCCCAACTATAGTCTAGTCTAGAATTTTGTTTTTCCCTTTTTAGTTTTTGCAAATTTTCGTTTTTAGTTTTCTGTTGATTGTTTTCTATTTAAAAGATTCTTGTCTTTGCCTCTTTCAGGTATTAACTTGAAGACGAGACTTGAGTATGAGTGATTCGGACGATCAAGAAGCAAGAGACAACACGGCCGCGAGAGACATCGCGCTGGCCGAACAACACGAGCACCCTCCGGATCCGAACGCCGTGCATGACCGGATCAAGAACGAGATGCCGAGAGGTTTAGAACAAACCAATAAAGAAGTCATGGGAGATTTTGATTCCAACCCAACTCTATTAGTCAACCAAAATCCTATTCGACCACCATTTCCCGGAGGAAGAAGTTACGAGATTTCACTAGAAATCATTGCTTTGGTGAAGCAGAACCAGTTTCAAAGAAAACCTCAAGAGAACCCCTTGGAGCATATTGATGCATTTGAAGAAATCTGTGAGACCATCAGTGCGGATGGAGCGCCCAAAGAGTACTTGAAGTGCAAACTCTTTTCTTTTACATTGACAGGAAAGGCTTTAAGATGGGTGAAGTCTCTTCCTGCTCAATCCATAACCACTTGGAAAGAGTACAAAGGGGCATTCTTAGGCCACTTTTTCACGAAGCAAAGAGCAAACCTACTGAGAGAAAAGATCTATAGCTTTCAGCAAGGGCCGGTGGAACCTTTTCATGAAGCTTTGGAGCGTTTCAAGGATTATACTAGGGAGTGTCCTAATCATGGACTATCTGATGGAAGCTTATGGAAAAATTTCTACAGAGGAATAAGTGGGAAATGTCGTTTTTCTCTTGATACGGCCAGCAATGGAAATTTCATGACCAAGACAGTTACTGAAGCAAAGATTCTAATTGAGAATTTAGCCTCAAGCGACAGTGACAACTTCATGGGTCATGAAAGAGCAGTCAAGGCTATAATTTCTGATCCACACAGAGAAGAATATAGTGAGATCAAAGCAATGATGGCCGAGATCTTAAGAAATCAAGAGAAGGAAGTGATGAGGCAAAGGGAAGCTTATAGGACCGAACCTACAAGCATTCAAAACTACTTCGGAGATTTGATTCCAAACTTGCAAGAAGAAGTAAACTTCGTTGGAGTAGATGGTTTGGCATCTGAGGAAGAAGCTTGGAATAATACACATAATAATTTCCCAAGCCAAGAATCACCCAATGAAAAGAGGAATGCCTATGAAGGAAGAAATCATCAACGATTTCCCTACAAGAGAAGAATGGAACCAATGAGTGGTTTTGACGATTTGATAACCTTCATCATGGACTCTTGATGCGGAGTCAGGTTTTACCAAACTCCTAGACCTCTGCAAGTGCACAGATCGCGGAAGTATGGGTATCGAACACAAGGACTGGCTATTGAGTACACTTTGAAACTATGGATTTTGGATCAAGCTAAAACAAAAGTATGATTGAGGTTGTAATGGTGAACCGAACTAGCAAGTATAACGAGGTTGTAAATCAATAAAGGAAAAGCGCTAGGTCATAGGGGCTATCGCAGAGAAGCAAGCAATGATCAATGAAACAATGATAGATTAATTGATTAGGGATATTGGGATATTAAGAACCATCTAGAACACAGATCACGAATATAAAACCATTCCACTTTCGAGGCTCCGGCTCCTTTGCTAATCTACCTAGTCGCTAAACTTTTGGTATGTCCCTAGGTGATTAGATCAAGCATTAGAATGAATAGGTTCTGATACAGTTCACTAGATATAGATAGATCAACTTTCGCAGTCTAAGAAACCTAGCTTGTCAAAGAATATGTCCGGCGAATGATACAGCACTGTCGAGGCTCAAATCAACCTAAGATCGGATTACTAGATGCGCGGTAAAGCAATCAGCATTAGTTAAGTGCACAAGACGAGACAAAGACTCTAATATAATCCCTAGCTAATCATTGAAATCAAAGATCATGCAAGCAACTCATTGAATAGTAACCCTAGCAACCTAACTAGTGGATTACTCAGACATGATCAAAGCAAACACACATAGAGATGAAGAAAACATGATTGCAATAAAACTTAGAGTAGGAAATCGAAATACAAGGGCGGCTCTCTTTCTCAAGAGGCTAAAAATCCATATATATAGTGCTAGGTCTTTCTAGAGGCGGCTTAGGGTTAAGCCGGGCTTGAAAACATAAGTTTGGGCTTCAAAAAGGGCTTCGGGTCGACCGCGGCGTTGGGACGGTCGGTCGGGACGATCGGCCGGACATCGGGTCGTGGCCGAGTCGGAACGGTCGGGGTCGGATGGATTCACGGTCGGCCGGCGTGGTCGGCGGATGAAGATTTGGCCGATGTTTCTCGGCCGGACGTGGGACGTTTTTCCCGGCTCGGACGGATGCATCGGCCGTGGTACGCGAACGGTTGCGCGGCCGCGAGGCTTGTTTCCCGGCTCGCGCGCTTTGGTCGTGCGCGGCGTGGCGTGACGTTGGCTTGGCCGACCGCGGGACAATGTTTCCCGGGTCGTGTTGCGTGATCGGCCGGTTTTGGACTTTGGCCGAGACTTCAGACGGACGGATGTGTTTGGCCGAGCGCGGAAACAATGTTTCTCGATAGAGCCGTCTGGACAGTCTTCACTCTTTTGGTTATAACTCCTTTTCTACTCATCCAAATTAGGCCATTCCAGTTGCGTTGGAAAGTTAACTCAATCAGAGCACGCAGGGAACTGGTCTTGATGAAATCCATTGAGTAGATCTTTTTCTGGGCCCTCTTAAAGTTGGTGCTTGTGCATGGAGCGGCTTGAAGTGCAAATCCTATGGTTTTGCTCCAAAATGCATCATTTCACCTGTTTAGACTCTAGACACTATAAACACAGTAAAACTACCTTTTTAGATAGAAAACCTGCCAAAAACCATTAGAAAACAATGCTAAAACAGTATAAAAAGTGGGTAAATTAGAGGTATATCAACTCTCAAAGAGATCACACAGCGAAGATGGACGAAAAGTTGGAGTCGGTTTTCACAAGAATGAATGAGAAGTTGGATTCATTTCCTCTTTCACAAGAGACTTGGATCTTAGAGTTGCCAACATAGCCAGCTCTATTAAGAGAGAAGAAGGCATGCTACCAGGAAAAGTGGAAATCAATCCAAGGAGAGCAGCTGTAGCAGCTATCACTCTTAGGAATGGAAAAGGGTATGACCACCAGCATACCCAGATCAAGAAGGAAGCAAACCGCCAAAGAAGAAACCAATGGAGTATGTCATCATTGGAGATGGACTGAACCACCTAAGGAAGTCCATGTCAGAATAGAACCAGGAACTCAGGAGGAAGTGGAGAAGCCACCTGAAGAACCAAGAGTGTATGAGCCAAAGATCCCATACAGAAATGTTCTTTCTCAACCCAAGAAGGAGAAGGAGCAAGCAAAGCTCAAGGATCTTGTTAGCCAACTTTCAGTAAGGTTACCTTTCATTGATGCTTGCCAAATAATTCCATCTCTCAGGAAGTATATGAAGGCCATACTCACAAGCAATGTGAGTCTTGAAGAAGGAGCAATGATGATTACAAAGGAGTGTAGTGCCATACTTCAGAATCGCATGCCAGAGAAGCTGAACGACCCAGGAGTTTTGTTTTGTCTTGCAAGATCGGTTCTACACACTTCCATAGAGCACTTTGTGATTTGGGTTCTAGTGTGAACCTAATGCCTTACTCAGTGGCCAAGCTATTGGGCATCACTGACTTCAAACCTACAAAGATATCTCTAGTCTTTGCAGACAGATCTGTTCGCCGCCCTGTTGGTGTTATTATGGATGTTCCAATCATGGTTGGAGATTGCTACATCCCTGCTGATTTTGTAGTTCTTGAGCTGGAACACCAACCTAAAGACCCTCTTATCTTGGGAAGGCCATTCCTAGCTACTGCAGGAGCTATAATAGATGTCAAGAATGGAAAGATTGACTTGCATCTTGGAGATATAGTGATGAATTTCGAAGTAAACAAGTCTATGGAGAAACCAACTGTAGATGGTCAAGCTTTTTGGATTGGAGAGCTCGCAGAGACAAGAGAAGAAGTGCTGGATGAACTCCTTCTTATTGATCCCTTGGAGCTAGCTTTGACAAAGGCTGAGAATGAGTATGGATACATGGAAAGAGAAGCTCAATGCTTAGTCAAGTTCATGGATTCAAAGGAAGCTTATAAAGAGCTGATAGCTTATATGGACTTAGAGAGAGAAGAGGAAGAGCCAGACATTGACAAGAAGAAATCACAAACCAAGTTAAGTTCGACCCATGGTGCCCACTTAGAGCTCCAAAAGCCGAGCTCAAACAACTCCCAGTTGGTCTAAGGTATGAATATCTTGGTCCTAATGAAACATATCCTGTTATTGTTAATGCTGCACTAACAAAAGAAGAGACCGCTTTACTTGTTCGCGAACTGAGAAAGCATAGAAAGGCTCTTGGTTACTCTTTGGATGATTTAACAGGAATCTCACCTGAACTATGCACACATCGCATCATCCTGGAGGATGAGTCTAGTTCTTCAATTGAACACCAAAGGAGGCTAAACCCAAACCTAAAGGAAGTTGTCAAGAAGGAGATAATGAAGCTATTGAAAGCTGGAGTGATTTATCCAATATCAGATAGTGCATGGGTCAGCCCTGTACATGTCGTGCCAAAGAAAGGAGGGATCACAGTCATCAAGAATGAACATGATGAGCTCATTCCAACAAGAACAATCACTGGACACAGAATGTGTGTCGACTACACAAACTGAACTCCTCTACACGCAAGGACCACTACCCCTTGCCATTCATAGATCAGATGCTTGAGCGCCTTGCCAATCATCAATACTACTGTTTCTTGGATGGATACTCAGGATTTTTCCAAATTCCAATCCACCCAGATGATCAGGAGAAGACTACATTCACTTGTCCCTATGGCACATATGCTTATAGGAGAATGCCTTTTGGATTGTGCAATGCTCCAGCTACATTCCAAAGGTGTATGATGTCCATATTCACAGATCTATAGAAGAGATTATGGAGGTTTTCATGGATGATTTCTCAGTATATGGTTCTTCCTTTGAATCATGTTTGGGGAATCTTGGAAGAGTGCTACAGAGATGTGAAGACAAGCACCTAGTTCTAAATTGGGAGAAGTGCATTTATGGTTAGAGATGGAATAGTGCTTGGACATAGAATCTCAGAGAGAGGCATAGAAGTTGATAAGGCCAAGATTGAAGTCATGACAAACCTTCAGCCGCCCAAGACAGTAAAGATATCAGAAGCTTCCTAGGACATGCTGGATTCTACAGGAGGTTCATTAAAGATTTCTCACAGATAGCAAGGCCGCTAACACGCCTACTATGCAAGGATATTAACTTTGAGTTCACAGAGGAGTGTCACAAGGCTTTCACTAAGATCAAAGATGCATTGGTCAGTGCGCCAGTGGTTCAACCTCCAAACTGGGAACTACCTTTTGAGATAATGTGTGATGCAAGTGATTATGCAGTAGGAGCAGTGCTTGGACAAAGAAAGGACAAGAAGCTACATGTGATCTACTATGCCAGCAGAACACTTGATGAGGCACAATGCAAGTATGCCACAACAGAAAAGGAGCTTCTAGCTATTGTCTTTGCATTTGAGAAATTTCGATCATACTTGGTGGGATCGAAAGTTATAGTTCATTCTGATCATGCAGCATTAAGGTATCTCTTATCAAGAAAGATGCCAAGCCAAGATTGTTGAGATGGATACTACTATTGCAAGAATTTGATCTTGAGATCAAGAAGAAGGAGCAGATAATGGAGTAGCTGATCACCTTTCAAGGATGAGAGTTGAAGAAAATCTACCCTTGATGATAGGCTACCTGAAGAAACAGTTTATGCAGCTGAAGCTAGCAATAAGCATGGACAACTAGGCCATCACAGCCAGGAACAAAGATCTCATCATCAAACACACCATGGTTTCGCCACATAGCAAACTTCCTTGCAGCTGAATACCCACCACCAAACTTCTTTGGCTACAGAAAGAAGAAATTTCTGCGTGATGTAAGAAGGTATTACTGGGATGAACCTTACTTATACAAGAAATGTTCAGATGGAATGTTTAGAAGATGCATCCCTGAGGAAGAAGTAGAAGGAATATTGTTTGCTTGTCATAGTTCTAGCTATGCAGGCACTTTGCCACTTACAAGACAGTATCCAAGGTCTACAAGCTGGATTTTGGTGGCCAACTATGTTTAAGGATGCTCATGCATTCATATCAAGATGTGATGCTTGTAGAACAGATGAGGAATTCCGTCTTCATAATCTCCAAGGAGACCTGGATCTAAAGACTATGGGGACGCCACGAAGGAGGAAGACGTCTCTACCCAACTGTGAGGACCCATTCCCTTGTAAGAAGAAACAGTGATTCAGATAGAAACGAAAATAATGAAAAATATTAAATGACCTAATAGTGAAAATTAATTTTTGAATTGTCCTCAAAACTGTACTACATCTACGCATGAATCTAGGGATTCGAAGATATCGAACCTTATTTTGAACCTGGAAGACTGGAATCGGCACCTGCTTCGAGTGGAAATGGAACGAAGAAGAGTCTCTCTCTATATTCTCTCTCTATATTCTCTCTCTCTAGATATCAAAACCCGAAAGCTCTATCTCTCTCTTCTCTCTGCTCTTCCAGATCGAATCCCTAGGCCTATACTAAAGAAAAATCGAAAATGGAAAAAAAAAAGAAATTAAATGAAAACGAAAAAAAACAAAAATTTCTCCAAAATTTCCGGCCGGCGGCAACCTTGAAATTGCGAGCAAATATGAGCGTAGTTGTACTCAAGATAAAGGTTGAACCAAATTGGATAATAGTTACGTTGAACATTAACCGTTTTCGTATATTTCTAGTTGAACTGTGTAATAAAACTTTAATTTGTAGTTGACCAAATGTATTTAGGCCGTATAATACCCATATAAACATTCTCATACAATTAAATGTTAAGAAATTGACATTTTGGTATATTCTCGTCAAAATAACATAACAATACATATGTTTTCCTTATGTTATAAGGGTTACTTCATGGTTACTTGATGTCTAAACATTATATTTTTTCATAAAATTATAAATTGCATCATATTATCATTACTAATGTCTTACTATTTGTTAAACATGTGTTTATTGTAATTGTTAGGCTGATCTTCACATTAGACATAGTGTTTTCACGTTATTTGATTTTAAAAACAAACAACAATTCATAGTTGAACCAAGAGGAAACAGTTGTACCGATCGAAAGAGATCGAAAGAGAACACGTGGAGCATCCAGATTTATCACATTATACATCATGTCTTCTCTGTGCTGTTCCAGAATTCCTAGGCCTATACTAAAGGAGAATCGAAAATGGACACAAAGAAAAAGAAATTAAATGAAAACGAAAAAACCAAATAATTTAAAATTGAAAATCCTTCCAAAATTTCCCGTCGGCGGCGTGGTGAAATTTCGTCAAATATGAGCGTAGTTGTACTCAAGAAAAAGTTGAACCAAACTAGACAATAGTTGAACATTAGCCGTTTTCGTATATTTCTAGTTGAACCGTGAAATAAAACTTTAATTTGTAGTTGAACAAATGTATTTAGGCCTTATAATACCCATATAAACATTCTCATACAATAAGATATTAAGAAACTGACATTTTGATGTATTTTCGTCAAAATAACAAAACAATACCTATGTTTTCCTTATGTTATAAGAGTTAGTTCATGGTTACTTGACGTCTAAACATTTATTTTTTCATACAACTATAAATTACATCATATTATCATTATTATTGTCTTAATATATGTTAAACATGTGTTTATTGTAATTGTTAGGCTTATTTCACATTATACATCATGTTTTCTCGTTGTTCTATTTAAAAAACAAACAAAAAAATATAGTTGAACCGAAAGGAAACAGTTGTACCGAATGAAAGAGAACATAAATACCTCCAGATTTATACTCTCACATAGCAGCTCATATAAACTTTTGTGAGCATATGGCACAACAGACTTGTGCTCTTCCTTTCTTCTACACCCAAGATGTAGTCGAAATTTTAAATTTTTCATTTTCTTTTTAACTGTAATTTCGTGGACGGTTTACAGATACAATCAAAGTGGCAATCCCGGTCTGCAATTTGACGACTCATCTGCCAGGGTGGTTTATGGTAACACTTCCCATTACATATTCCGCAAAAACACGTTAAGAGCAACAAATTGCCTTCCTCTCAACCAAAAATTTAACGAACCCATATAAGTCATATAGTGAGTTGGTTCTCCGAAAATATAGTTATCATTACAACCGTCTACATATATGCCGGCGCCTAAACTCCATACTACACAAACATACCATAAACACTACACCAAATTACTTAATTCAATGACTCCGTCAACTCCTAAACCATTACACTCTTCCTAAACGATGGTTTCATTACAACGAATCCAACAAATCCGTCTGCAGCCCCGACCGATCATCATCAGATGTACCGCGCGGGTATGGGCTTGTGATTTGCAAGAAGTCAGACAAGTCCAACTCATCCATCATCTCAGCAGCGTACTTGAGACGGATGTCATCAACATTTGTGTCGTTGATACCGGTCAAACTACGACCAAGAGCTAAACACTCGATGCACTTCAAGGTGTATACACCGCAGTCCCCACTTTGCTCATTCTGCGGAACCTACTTTATCAGGTAGAAGTTGTAGGCGCACCTGCCCATTTTTTCGCTCTCCTCTTTTGGTGTGAGGTGCTTCAAAAGCAGCGGAATTATCTTCATATACGGCCTCACAGAATCTTTTACGGCATTCTCCTCATTTGCCTAGTAGATGGAATCGAAAACTTTTACCCTCTTCTTTGGCAAATCAACCTCAACTGCCACCCAATGACAATTGGGAATATTATGGGCGATGTACAAAGTGTCAACATCTTGAACCCATTTCTGGTTGGTTACGGCACAGTCTGGGGCAATACCGTTGTATGGTTCTCGAACCCAATAGGGAATTCAAACGTCTTCTCGTGGCCGAGATAGTCATTTTTGTACTGCATTGATATACCTCTAATTTACCCACTTTTTATACTGTTTTAGCATTGTTTTCTAATGGTTTTTGGCAGGTTTTCTATCTAAAAAGGTAGTTTTACTGTGTTTATAGTGTCTAGAGTCTAAACAGGTGAAATGATGCATTTTGGAGCAAAACCATAGGATTTGCACTTCAAGCAGCTCCATGCACAAGCACCAACTTTAAGAGGGCCCAGAAAAAGATCTACTCAATGGATTTCATCAAGACCAGTTCCCTGCGTGCTCTGATTGAGTTAACTTTCCAACGCAACTGGAATGGCCTCATTTGGATGAGTAGAAAAGGAGTTACAACCAAAAGAGTGAGACTGTCCAGACGGCTCTATCGAGAACAGCGCCCAAACCGCGCAGTCCGGCTGGCCGAGAAACATTGTTCCGCGCTCGGCCAAATCACATCCGTCCGACTGAAGTCTCGGCCAAAGTTCCAAACCGACCGGCCGATCACACACGACCCGGGAAACATTGTCCCGCGGTCGGCCAAGCTTCAACGCTCCACGCCACACCGCGCACGACCAAAGCGCGCGAGCCGGGAAACAAGGCCTCGCGGCCGCGCAACCGTTCCGCGTACCACGGCCGATGCATCCGTCCGAGCCGGGAAAGAACGTCCCACGTCCGGCCGAGAATTCTCATCGGCCAAATCTCAATCCGCTCGACCACGCCGGCCGACCGCGAATCCGATCCGACCCCGACCGTTCGTGACTCCGCCCTTTTTGAAGCCCAAACTTATGTTTTCAAGCCCGGCTTAACCCTAAGCCGCCTCTAAAAGACCTAGCACTATATATATGGATTTTTAGCCTCTTGAGAAAGAGAGCCGCCCTGTATTTCGATTTCCTACTCTAAGTTTTATTGCAATCATGTTTTCTTCATCTCTATGTGTGTTTGCTTTGATCATGTCTGAGTAATCCACTAGTTAGGTTGCTAGGGTTACTATTCAATGAGTTGCTTGCATGATCTTTGATTTCAATGATTAGCTAGGGATTATATTAGAGTCTTTGTCTCGTCTTGTGCACTTAACTAATGCTGATTGCTTTACCGCGCATCTAGTAATCCGATCTTAGGTTGATTTGAGCCTCGACAGTGCTGTATCATTCGCCGGACATATTCTTTGACAAGCTAGGTTTCTTAGACTGCGAAAGTTGATCTATCTATATCTAGTGAACTGTATCAGAACCTATTCATTCTAATGCTTGATCTAATCACCTAGGGACATACCAAAAGTTTAGCGACTAGGTAGATTAGCAAAGGAGCCGGAGCCTCGAAAGTGGAATGGTTTTATATTCGTGATCTGTGTTCTAGATGGTTCTTAATATCCCAATATCCCTAATCAATTCAATCTATCATTGTTTCATTGATCATTGCTTGCTTCTCTGCGATAGCCCCTATGACCTAGCGCTTTTCCTTTATTGCTTACAACCTCGTTATACTTGCTAGTTCGGTTCACCATTACAACCTCAATCATACTTTTGTTTTAGCTTGATCCAAAATCCATAGTTACAAAGTGTACTCAATAGCCAGTCCTTGTGTTCGATACCCATACTTCCGCGATCTGTGCACTTGCAGAGGTCTAGGAGTTTGGTAAAACCTGACTCCGCATCATGCATACACCACAAAGACGTGAACTGAGGGTCGAGGAAAGCAATCCTCTCATTTCTATATGGACACGGCCTACGCAATGACCTTTGGCAGAACATGTTCATACCCGCGACCATATGATGCAACAGAAAAACATTAAATTTGCTCACATATTTCATATTGTACATATCATCACATATCTCATACATACATAAACATGACTCTCAATTTCACGCATTTACTATATTGGAAAGCCAGCCGTATTCATCTATGGCCCACTATTCTTTGGGTGTCATTAAGGTTATGTAGAAAGCTACCTCTGGACTGCTACTTTCGAAATGGTTATCCCTACAACAAAGGCGGCGCTTGCATCAACATCATGTGTGAAATGACACATATGTATCCACTATAATCTACATGGCTTCTAGATAGTGGTGACTTACATATCTGTCTTCACATATTCGACGAGCGCAACTTGCTTCTTTCTATCGACCTTCTCTAAAGGATCATATCTCGCCTCAGGACTGTTACTGGCTTTCATTTTCCGTTTCACGGCAGAACTAGGATGACTTTGTTTCGGTGACAAATGGATGTCTCGCGTAGGCGTAGCCTTTGCATTGTCATACGTCACCTGAGGACTGTTACCGGCTTTCATTTTCCGTTTCACGGTAGAACTAGGATGAATTTGGTTCGGTGACAAATGGATGTCTCGCGTAGGCGTAGCCTTTGCATTGTCTTGTTTTCCCTGCCTTCCCAGCTTTTGTGAGTTGGCCACAAATTCTTTCATCAGAAAATCAGAGTCTTCATCACGTAGTTGTGAAATAATAAATGGCACCTTCCCCTCCGTCGAAACACCTCCTAAAATTTCAGTGGGATCATTCTGGTCCAACTTCCTTTGCATGGGTCTCTTAAATTTGTATAACGGGTTTCTTATGGTTCAAGTTATTGTAATCCCTTCCTGCGATGTTTCAACCTCTGCTGCAATCCACAACTGCAAATATGAAAAACAAAACCACTGCATTAAAACAAATACCAACTAACCGGCTCCGGATTCGCTTCACAACCCTTCTTATCCTCGTTCTCCCCAACAGTGTCAGACTCTGCATCATCCACCTTCTCCTTGGCTACTTCATCGGTCCTTCATTCCCTTTTTTCATCGACCCCTCCTCCATAGTATTTTTTGTTCTGTCTCCAATAGTTCAAACTTCGTTCCCAGGTCATTCAATTTCTGAAAAATAGTGTTAAGCACATTCGCTAGTGCTTCATCAGCAAGGCCTTCGATTGGTTTTCTTATATCTCTTCCAACCCAACCTAACCCATCTTCCGTTTTTATCTGAGATTCAGAATCACTATAGTCTCTCGCCTCCATCTTTTTCGTCTTCTCCTCTTCCTTCTTCTTACTTGAAATCTTTCGCAAAGGCTTCTCTACAAAATCATCATCACTATCTACCACCACTTCTAACTTTTTCTTCCTCTTCTTTTTGTTGAACAGTTGCTTGATGCGGAGTCAGGTTTTACCAAACTCCTAGACCTCTGCAAGTGCACAGATCGCGGAAGTATGGGTATCGAACACAAGGACTGGCTATTGAGTACACTTTGAAACTATGGATTTTGGATCAAGCTAAAACAAAAGTATGATTGAGGTTGTAATGGTGAACCGAACTAGCAAGTATAACGAGGTTGTAAACAATAAAGGAAAAGCGCTAGGTCATAGGGGCTATCGCAGAGAAGCAAGCAATGATCAATGAAACAATGATAGATGAATTGATTAGGGATATTGGGATATTAAGAACCGTCTAGAACACAGATCACGAATATAAAACCATTCCACTTTCGAGGCTCCGGCTCCTTTGTTAATCTACCTAGTCGCTAAACTTTTGGTATGTCCCTAGGTGATTAAATCAAGCTTTAGAATGAATAGGTTCTGATACAGTTCACTAGATATAGATAGATCAACTTTCGCAGTCTAAGAAACCTAGCTTGTCAAAGAATATGTCCGGCGAATGATACAGCACTGTCGAGGCTCAAATCAACCTAAGATCGGATTACTAGATGCGCGGTAAAGCAATCAGCATTAGTTAAGTGCACAAGACGAGACAAAGACTCTAATATAATCCCTAGCTAATCATTGAAATCAAAGATCATGCAAGCAACTCATTGAATAGTAACCCTAGCAACCTAACTAGTGGATTACTCAGACATGATCAAAGCAAACACACATAGAGATGAAGAAAACATGATTGCAATAAAACTTAGAGTAGGAAATCGAAATACAAGGGCGGCTCTCTTTTCACAAGAGGCTAAAAAGCTATATATATAGTGCTAGGTCTTTTGAGGCGGCTTAGGGTTAAGCCGGGCTTGAAAATATGAAATCGGGCTTCAAAACGGGCTTCGGGTCGACCGCGGCGTTGGGACGGTCGGTCGGGACGATCGGCCGGACATCGGGTCGTGGCCGAGTCGGAACGGTCGTGGTCGGACGGATTCACGGTCGGCCGGCGTGGTCGGACGGATAGATTGGCCGATGAAATCTCTCGGCCGGACGCGGGATAGTTCCCCGGGTCGGACGGAGCGTTCGGCCGGTACGTGAGCGAGTTGCGCGGCCGCGAGTTACTTCCCGGCTCGCGCGCTTTGGTCGTGCGCGGTTGTGGCGTGGCGGTTGTGGCGTGGCCGACCGCGGGCTTAAGTTTCCCGGGTCGTGATGCGTGATCGGCCGAGCGGTTTGGACTTTGGCCGAGACTTCAGACGGACGGACAGTTTTGGCCGAGCGCGGAACATGCGTTCCTCGGCCAGCCGGACTGCGCGGTTGGGCGCTGTTTCTCGATAGAGCCGTCTGGACAGTCTCCACTCTTTTGGTATAACTCCTTTTCTACTCATCCAAATTAGCCATTCCAGTTGCGTTGGAAAGTTAACTCAATCAGAGCACGCAGGGAACTGGTCTTGATGAAATCCATTGAGTAGATCTTTTTCTGGGCCCTCTTAAAGTTGGTGCTTGTGCATGGAGCGGCTTGAAGTGCAAATCCTATGGTTTTGCTCCAAAATGCATCATTTCACCTGTTTAGACTCTAGACACTATAAACACAGTAAAACTACCTTTTTAGATAGAAAACCTGCCAAAAACCATTAGAAAACAATGCTAAAACAGTATAAAAAGTGGGTAAATTAGAGGTATATCATTGCTCTTCTGTTTCGCAGCAACTTTCATCCAGACAGCCTCCAACAATATCACGAATCATGTTATCAAGCTTGATATCACCTCCTGCCTCTTCGCCTGTCCAAACGGGATATATCTCTTCCAGAGGTTTCAACACTAACTGCCTAACTCGAACCTGCAAGGGCATTACAAAATAATCTTAGTAAACAAATACATTCTTCTATATTGATCATCATAACAATCGTGTCTTTACGAATCATAAGAAACAACACGACTGGCAAACGACTAATACCTTATCCAGACCGGTTTTTTTCTTCTCTTCTTCCACTATTGCTTCCAGATTGTATCTGTTGCGACATGATTCCCACCGAAGTAATGGGATTTCAATGTTTGCTCGTCTCTTACTAAATTTCTCACCTATTATTGGAATAGCCTCATATGCCCATATCAACAGCGCATGTACACATCCGTGTACGACGTACATCTTCCCATCAAGTTTAGCTACTTTTAAGGACTCCATCAACTCCTTAAATCCCACTCTGCCCCAAGGAGAACTCTCAAATGACTCCGTTCAACTCATGCCAAGAAGGTCCTTGCCCATCTTTCATGCCGAGTAGGTCCTAAAACAAAGTGTGTTCTACTTGCAAATCATCTTTACGTTCAAACTCTTTACAGTTTAGCTGTGTGATTTCCCTAAACTCGTGGAGAGAAAACCTAATTGGCCGACCTCCAAATAGTGACCATATCTCAATATTCGACTCAATAGCCAGTTGATGTGTTAGGAGGTTATGGCATGTCTTCACACACCACATGTAACTCCTTGAGGCAAGCTTTAGAATAATTCCCACTTGAGATGTACTCATAATGTCATTGAAAACTTCTTCTCCTACAGAGTCCTTCAGATGCCCAAACTCGGTCAACTTGCAGTTGTGATGCAAGATTCGATTTTGCAAAGGAGATTTTCAGGCTGGGAACAATCTCCCTGTATATTCTCTCCCCAATGTAAAAGAACCCATCTCTGCGAAAAAATTAACAATGAGATGTCCATTTAAAACTAACCGGAACTCATATATCTACGACAAGATCAAGTATCTGTTAATACTAAGAGATAGATCTATACATATTAATAAATCTACCGCCCTTCCTTCTTCAATTAGAACACAAAAATCTATCATAATTGCTCGCCCAATATTAAAAAATCTTTTACTTTTACATTACCTTTCATTTCCGCTCACGCAGATGTCCCTCCCGCCGTTACGAATTCGACCTCTTACGCTTCGCTTCCGAGAGACCTGTCAAGAACTCAGTGGTTCAAGTTTGATACTGTCCGACTCTGATACCTCTAATAAAGAAAATTGGTCTACAATTTCGCTTACCCAAAACTACACCACCTAAGATTATATTTTGCTCCGACACTCAGCTAACACCCATTCCACCTGCAGAACCTGCAAAATTCACCAACATTATTTTAACGAAAATTCACCAACATATAACTCATCGTATCATTCAAAATTAAATGTCAAACACCTACATTATCTCTTTGTTGCCTCCGTAAAACCGTTCTTCTCAGTCGTCACCGTAATCTGAGCAAGTTAAGTCTCCGGATTTTTGGCCGCCGATTATCGACCTTTCTCGACACAAAGATGGTAAATATTTTTCTTTTACATCTTTACATATTACCATTTACTATGTTACCTTTTTTTTCTTAGTAGCAAAGTCGTTATTAAAAATTGTAAGAAAGAGTGTTATGTCTTTTCTATTTCTGTTACAAGACATGGCTTTCAAAACAATTATGTGAGTCATTACCACACTTTCAAAGATTGTGTGAGTCATTATCCCATACAAAAATCAGATCTTCTTAAAGTTTCAGTTTCTTTACCTCAATATTCTGTTGAGAATAAATATATGAAATGAGAAAAGAACAAAGTCTCTTACGAGAGTCTCTTATGTTGTAGACTTGTAGTGAATCACTCATATAGTTGACCATAACTTAAAATACAAAAACATTGAACAAACATTGACCATAGCTTATAAGGCATAATTATATCTGAGACTCAATATTAAGAAGTAATCAAGACAACAAAACAACAACCACAAGACTGAAAATTATAAAAGTTGACCCAACACAAATCAGTTTCTTGTGTTGCAAGTAATCTGAGAGTTATCTTTGGTGTTTTCAAAGCTTTTAAACCCCATCGCTCTCTTTAATTTCTAATCCGATTTCTGCTATTGTCACTCTGACTCGAATCCCTTCATCGAAGAAAACAGTTTGTTTCATCTGAAGAAAAGCCAATTAACAAAAAAAGCTCTCATGTGATACCTAAAAAAGAAAAAAGAAAAAAACAATTGAGAGAAATGTTAGATGAGTCAATTCAACACCTGCTCAGTTCTCAAACGAGCGTCCCTCCTCTGCTTCTCAATATCTCTCTTTCTCTTTTCCTCCCGATTCTGTTGATTATTATGATTCTCCTGAGACTGAAAATTTAGTAAAAATGATAATTTACAGTAAAAGACAGAATACACACTGTTTTAGTTTCCTTACCCTTAATCTTTCTTTCTGTAGATTGTCTTGAGACTCTCTCCTCTGCTTCTCAACTCTCGGACTAGCCTCGTTCCTCTCCTCCTCAATATCACTCTTTCTCCGTTCCTCCAGATTCTGTTGATCATCTTGATTCTCTTGCATATCCTGAGATGCAAAATAAAAAGTAAATAAAATGATGATTAATAATAAAGAATAGAGGAAACTCTGTTTCCGTTTCTTTACCTTCAATTTCCTCTGCTTCTCAATACTTTCCCGTCTCTGTTGCTGAATAGTTTTTGACTGAGAATTCACATATAAGTAACTTAATTAAAAAATAGTAAACAGAAAAATACAAAGATGACATTTTGTTATAGTTACCCTCTTCTCTGGCTTTGAACTTGACTCTTTTTCGTATCTCCTCTCAGTCTAAATAAAGACTCGAACTTCTAAGTATTTCACATTTTGATGATAAGAATAGTATATAAAAACCACGATGAAAATGAAATTACCTGCAAAATCATAGGTTCTGTAACATCTTTTTCTGTTGAATGATCATATATACATTTTGAGCCGAACTTACAATATCCAGTCATAATATTCTGCAACGGATAAACAAGTCATATGCATCACGCTCACACAAAACATCTTTTATTCACTTTATAATGTAGTCTGGGAAAATTATCCGCTACATTTGATTTGATCCATTATTCGTTTCGATTCTATTCAAAAATCCGGATAACCGTAAATCTACTAAGCAAATCAAATACTAAAATGCAATATCTGTTGAAAACAGAGCAAATCACAAATACTAAAAGTTTAAAGTAGGGATATCCGCTATGTTGCACATATATTATGTGTATGTATATAGCATTTTATAGATTAAACTATATAATTATTATATTTCTATTTAAATTTTCATAAGTTTATATTCAACAAATTAATTATTAATATAATAATATAAATTAAAAATTAAGAATAAATCTATTTTTAGAAACTTTGTAATTTTTTGTTTTAAAATATGATATTTTCTATTTTTATTTTTTTACAAAACATATTGAATCTCAGGTAAATATTTGATTTTTAACAAATATATGGTTCATGAGGAGCGGATACGGATCAGATCACGAATACCAAATTCCCAAATATCCGCTTTGTGCCTAGGCTAAGTAAAATGCACTTGTACCTTGCATTTTGGCAGCTTGACCTTCACAACTGGAATATCCTATTAAGATGTTTCAAAGCAGTAAACCATATATTTTAGGAACATTGCAAATTGGAATAAGCTAAATATATTGTTTTGTTTTGTGTTAAAAAAAAAGATCATTTTGTTTCTCACCTTTGGATGATTGTAACAGCAACTTTCTCCGAAGCCACAGTGACCAGTTCTCACATAAAACTGACAGTTTGGTTCATTGGGACGAACTGGAAGCTCACTTGATTGTTCCATCTGGCTTTCGTTTTCTTTCATCCTCCTAAAGGAATCTAAATATCATACCAAACATCACATGATTATTCATATTATACAAAATTAGATCACTAGATACAAAAGCAATATTAAAAAGCAAAGCATTGATTCTTCAGGTTTCGAAATGATAAAAAACAAAAAAGTATGTGCCAATTCTGAAATACCATAAAACAGACAATCAACTAAAACAGAAAACCGTCGAATCGATTTCAATGCATAAAGTACCCTAAAACAAACAATCAACTAAATAACAAGTAACAAACTTACACTTACATGAGAAATCGTCGAATCACTTTCAGAAAAACAAAATTATTTATCACGGCAGTAAAGAACCCAAACTCTTCTCTAAATTATCATTTATATGTAATTTATGGTCTACAAAACACATTTATGTTGTTACCTAATATTTCCACATAGAATTTATGACATAATATATGATAAAACTACGCGTTTTATGAAGTCAAAGCTATTTGAGTAAATTAAAAGGTTCCATATAACTAATTAATTTAGCATAATCTATAAAACCATTACATTAATATGTTTTTATGTAAAGTTAGTAAAAACTTATAAACACAAATTTGAAAGGCTCCAAAATTGTTTTTGACCTAGGACCCATAAAAATGAGACGGCCTTGGTTGTATGGGGCGAAAACATATCCACGATTCCACATCTCCGATCTTTGTTGGATGTAGACAGTGGCGGAGCTACATTCAGAGGAGGGGGGAGGGTGGCAACTGCCTACTATGAAATTTTGTTTTTCTGGTGTTATTTGGCCCGGAAATTTTTTGCCCCTGTTGTAAATAATTTTTTACATGGTCTGGGAGGGGGGGGGGGGGGGGGGGGGGGGGGGGGCGCGGGAATTAATGCAACAGCTTAGTTTTCGAAAATGTGGCTGTTCAGAGTGATCTGATGACCATTAATACATAATAAAAGCCATTATAAAGATCCAGCAGTGTGGCCATGGTTGAGGAACTACACAAGTGAGATACTAGGACCGAGACAACACAACCTTTGACCAAGATTTAAGTTAAAACCATCGATGGAAAGGGAGAACCTATTGTAAATGGATCTTAGTAATTTTAATTGAATGCAGTTTGTTTGAGTTGAAATAAAATTTAAAATAAGATTCTTTAGAAGCAAGTTTAATTAACTTAAATAAACAAACAAGTCAACAACAATCACATGAGTTTAAAATACATAGCTTGTACAACACATATCGTTTTCTTGTGTCCCAAGGAGTCCGAGACTCGTCAAGTCTCTTCAAAACCCATCACCCTCTTTTCTCTTAATCCCGAGCTCAAGTAATGCCTCTCTGGTTCGAATAGCTTCATCGAATTCAACTGTAGGTTTCATCTGAGAAATTTATCCCAAAAAAAAAAGATCCCATGAGAATTTATCCCAAAAAAAAAAAAACATCCAACATCCAATAACAATCTTCTTCAAGAACCAGACTGAGAGAAATGTTGCTGATTCTGTTTACCACCTGCGCAAGTCTCTTACGAGAGTCACTCCTCCGTCTTTCAATACCTTTACGTCTCTCTTCTTCAGCTTCTCTCTCTTTATTTTCAATGTCTCTCTTTCTCTGTTCCTCAATATTCTGTTGAGAATAAGTAAATCAAATGAGAAAAAAAAAAAGAAACAGAGTAAGGTTCTCTACTCTTTTCTTCTTGCAAGTTACAGTAAAATACAAAAATCAGAGCTTCTTTCAGTTTCTTTAACTTCAATTTATGTTCCCCAAGATTCTGTTGAGAATAAATATATCAAATGAGGAAAAAACAGAGTAAATTTCTCTTCTTTTTTCTCCTTGCAAATCACAATAAAGAAGAAAATAAGATCTTGTTTCAGTTTCTTTTACCTTCAATCTCTGTTTCTGCAGATTTTCTTGAACCTCTGCTCTCTGCCACCCGATGGGTTCTCTAAATCCGATTTCTCCCATCAGTACTCTGGTTCGAATCCCTTCATCTACTACAACAGTGGCTTTGATCTGAACAAAACGAAAAAAAAAAAGAGACACCACATGAGAATTCGACATCTCAGACAACAACAACAACAGTGGATGGATAAATTCAAGACCTGTTCAAGTCTCAGCATAGCCTCCCTCCTCTGCCTCTGAATATCTCTTTGCCTCTCTTCCTCTAAATTCTCAAGAACATAAGCATGCATCTCCTGTGAATAAGTAAAAGCGAAAACAGAGTAAGGTTCTCGTCTCTGTTCTCATCGCAAGACTCTGTTTTCATCAACACTAAATAATAGAATCAGGTCTTGCTTCAATTTATTTACCCTCAATCTTCGTTCCTCCACACTCTCTTCAGTCTCTTGAGCTAGTCTCCTCTGCATCCTCGAGATTATAACTATCATACCAAACATGCATCACATGATTATTCATATAATATCCAAACTTGGATCACTAGATACATAAGCAATATCAGAAACAATACTACTCCACTATGTTATTGAAAATATGATGTTTTTAAAAAAACATCATATATCAAAGAACGGAGGAAGTAAGATCTTAGCAAAAAAAAATAATAATAATAATAAAAAAATAAAATAAAAAAAATAAAGACGATTCTACCGGTGTGGAAATACTATAAAAGTTAAATCGACTGCCAATTCTGAAATACCCCATTGAGAGATCACAATAAGACCACCCATAATTGCACAATGGAGCAGGATTTGATATGTGGTCTAGATTAATATGGCAAGTTCTTAACAAGGTGGAACTCTTAGCCTACTTTGACTTTTAAAAGTTTACTAATTCAAAACTCTAAAGTTTCATGTTTGCGAATAAGAGTATTTGTAATCAATCAGACGTCCTAGGATGCATATACCCATATTTGTAATTAGTCAAATTACGATTTGTGAAAAGCGGTTGTATTGGATTTTCATTTCTTCACAATCTTAGTTAGCCTTTTGGAAACAATGCATAAAACCCCCTAAAACATTAATCAATTACATAACAAGTAGCAAACTTACTCTCACCGCAGATGTCACGGCCCAATCCCGATTTTTCCAAAAACCTAATTAAAAGCCCGTGACGTAAGGCCCACGTCCTAAAACCCTAACCTAAACCCCCTGCCTCCTCCTATTTATACACCACGTCAAGAGATTCAAGAGAAATCTAAAGCGAAGCTCTGCCAAAATCTCTCCAGCCTTAGCAACCAAAGCAGTTCCGAGCCGTCAACTTACGGGACCATTTGCCGTCTATATAGAGGGAATCAGAGTGTGATATTGGTCTCTTTGGAAAGGTCTATCTCTCAGCTTTCTATAGAATTCAGAATCGTGAATTCAGAGGTATATCGAGAGAGTTATGATCGTTTCTTTGGAAGGTTTCAGATCTGTAAAAAATAGAATTCTAATCCGAACAGTTTTCTTTGTGCTGTTTTGCGGGCTGGATTTCGGACGATCCAGAAGGACCCAGAAGCCAACTTGGTGTCGTTGGAAAGAGGAGACTCTCATCTTTCCAGATCTGTCGAGATCGCGCCGATCGGACATGTAACCAGTAAGTTATCGGCGGTTCTTTGTGGATCAGAATTTCTGTGTTTCTGGAAAATTTCAGAAAAACCCTAATCCGTTTTGGAAACGCAAACGCAGTTTTGGATCGCGAATCTGCCAAACGCAATTTCTCAGAACGCAAACGCAGATAGTCAGAAATCGCGTTTCAACCGCAACCGCTTTAACCGCTATTTTCCCAACCGCTTCAACCGCTATTTTGCTGCGACTCCGAAGCGCAATCGCTATTTTTCCGGGGTTAATTTTCAAAGTGGCTAAGGTGAGGATATGTGACTTGTGGACTCGCATTGCGTAGTAATTCTCTTCCATATCCGTTATATGCTGGGTTAAGAGATGGATTGTTTGAGGTAGGCATGCATTGTGAATGTGAAAGTAGAATGATGGTATATTAGCATGTTGAATAGTGTAAGATTGTTTGTACGCATTCGGTCTGAGGGCGAGGACATGGCGATCCCGTCGAAGCCGTTTGTTTTGGTGAAGTCGGACTGAGGACGAGGACATGGCGATCCCGTCGAAGCCCGTTAACGGCTGACGAGCCAGAAGGTGGTGGAAGACCTTTCGAGGTGCCCGACCAGCCTAGTTGTCATGTGAAAGTGTGATGAGTAATGATATGTGATGTGATGAGTATGTGAAGTATGGTTAAGATGTTTATGTGAATAGACAGTAGGTTGATTGTTTTTTTTTGCTAAATTGTAAATATCATATAAAATGAAGGTTTAGGATTTACAAGGAGCAGAGCCTAACATAATTGATACCTTGGCAAAAATTAAATAAAAAACAAGGTAGCAAGAGAGATGAGTAAGAATTGAAAACTACTTCATCGTAGCCAGAGCTGCATCAGAATTTCGCAGCCCTTACGTCGTCGTCTCGAGTTGATGATGTTTCGTATGTCTCTATCGAGCATGTTGAAGATGAGGTCAGGTGGAATGAGGCGCTGATTATGGAGAATATTGTTCCGTTGCCTCCAAAGGTGAAAGATCGTTGCTTGTACCACAAACTTCCTCAAGATTTGTGGGGCAATAACTGAAGAAGCAGTCATCCAGACCATCAAGTCTTCCCATGTTTGGAACAAGATTTGCAGCCTATCGAGTCTGGACAGAACTCTTTTCCAGACCTGAGAGCTAAAAACACAAGACAGCAATAAATGATCTCTAGTTTCCTCCCGCATTGAACAAAGACAGCAGAATGTTGGGATGTTTAAACCCCAAGATGCAAGCCTTATTCTTGTTGGTAGCCTGTCCATATTGGCAATCCACATTGTAAAAGCATGATTTGGAATTGAAAACCTAAACCAAATCAAAGGAGCCCAAGTCTGATTTGCCGCTCTTGGCCTGAGCACATTCCAGGTCTTTGAGGCTGAGAAACCCTTGCATATCTTCCCTTCCACTACCCACTTCACGCTATCTGAAGAAGAAGATTAACTGGGCAGTGTAACAGTGGTGAGATGAGTGTGGAGGGCAAGCCCTGAATCTGATCTAGGAGGTGGTAGTAAGCAGCCTCAATCATTGCAGGCCTCAGACACTTTAGCATTCCAAGGTATTCTGAAGCTACGTGGCCCTGCTATCCCCACGTAATTGATTAGAGCTCCGAAAGGGGTCCACGAGTCGTACCAAAAACTTGTTGAAGCACCGTTTCCCACCATCACGTGAATAAAATTCTGTGCTGAAGCTCTCAGATGAAGTAAGGACCTCCAATTCCAAGAATCTCGCACATTTTCCTTGATAGACCAAAAGCTTTGATCTCGTAGATGGTGTTGTCTGTGCCAAGCCACCCATAGAGAGCTCGTATTAGAGAACAAGAGCCAGATTAGCCTAAGAAAAAGCGTTCTGTTCCAGGATGAGAACCGTCTTAGACCAAGACCTCCCTCTTTCTTAGGGAGACAGCATACTTCCCAAGAAACTTTAACTCCTTTTGCCGTCTCAATACTTCCGGACCAGAGAAATCGGCAACAAAGAGATTCAATTTGCTTAATACAGCCTTTGGGAAGGATAAAAGTAGAGATCCAAAATGCCACTATACCCGAGATGACTGATTTGATTAGCTGAACCCTTCCTGCAAAAGAAAGAGTTTTGACTGACCACGACCTGAATTTGCTCTTAACCGTATCGATTAGCGGGGCACACTCAGGGATTCTGAGCTTGCGATGAATCAACGGCAGTCCAAGGTAGCGTATGGGAAGTGAGCCGACTTTGAACCGGTACGTAGTTATAGCTGAGGTTTCAGATTGGCTTAGCCCTGCATGGTACAAGCTGGTTTTGTCTTTGTTCATCTCTAAACCAGACAAAGAAGCAAAATCGTTTAGCGCCTCATTAATACCATGCAAGGAGGAGCAACCACCATCAAAAAATATCATGACATCATCAGCAAACATAAGGTGGGATATGCTTAGGTCCTCCGTGTTCGGGTGGTAGCGAATATACCCAGCATCAAAACGAGATTTGAGAAGGCTAGAGAAGATTTCCATTGCTAGAACAAATAAGTACGGTGAAAGCGGGTCACCTTGACGCAGACCTGTTGTACTTCTGAAATAACCTCCGGTGATACCATTTACTGAAACAGAGAAGCTAGCGGTCGAGATACACTGTTCTATCCAGTTGATGAACCTTTTTGGGACGTTTATTGCTTGTAGAGCCGAGAGGATGAAGTCCCATCTCACTGAGTCAAAAGCCTTCCTCAAATCCACTTATAACATTGCTCTCCGATCTATATTCCTTCTATTGTACCCATGAACAATCTCGGAAGCCAATAACACGTTTTCTGTTAACAATCTTCCCGGCATGAATGCTGACTGAGCGTGACAGATTACATGCGAGAGAACCTTCTGTAGCCTGTTAGCAAGAAGTTTTGAAATTACCATGTAAACCGTGTTTAGACAGGAGATAGGCCTAAAATCAGAGGTCTTTGAAGCATTGGTAATTTTTGGGATGAGAACCAGTGTTGTCGCATTCCATTGCTTCAAGATCGAACCCGATCGAAAGAATTCACCCACTGCCTCTGTTACTTCTGGACCAACAACATTCCAGAAGCTAGTAAAGAACTCATCGGAGAACCCGTCGGGACCACACATTTTATTTCTCGGTAGAGAGACGAAAGCATCTCTGATTTCCTGAGCTGAGAACTCTTTTTCGAGGGAAGCACTTTGCTCTGGGGAACAATTGAAAGGTAGAAGTAAGTTTAAATCGCCCTGAGTAAACATTTGAGGATCAGTCTCAGCTCCCAACAGCTCTTGAAAGTAGTCAACACAATGACTTAGGATCTCCTCCTGACCTTCAATCTTTGATCCACTATCATCAATCAGGTAGTGTATATGGTTGAAGGTGTTACGAGACTTTTGTCATACGGTGAAAGTACGCTGTGTTTGCATCACCTTCACTGAGCCAAGCAATACGAGATCTTTGACAAAAGAAGCTTTCCTCTGCCTTTGATAAGATTTGCCAAGCTTTATGCGCTTCTAACTCTTTAGCTGCATGAAAGTGAGTAGAGTTTGCTAGCATCTTACTCTGGCAAACTAGCATGACATCATGTGCTTCTGCGACCCTTTTTTCTATCCCAGAATAATTTGCTTTGCTAAACTCTCTGATCTACTTCTTCATTGATTGCAGCTTCTTTGAAACTCTATACATAGCTGACCCCACCACATTTGAAGTGTACCAATGCCTTTCGACGATATCAAGAAACTCATTGTTCTTTAGGAGGAAGTTAAAGAACTTGAAAGGGCGATTATGCCTCTGAGACGATGCGTCTAAGACAATGCCACAAGATGCATGATCCGAGAAATCAGGCTCACCAAAGATAGCAAAGGAGGAAGGGAATTGAATATTCCAAAGATCAATAACCAAAGCTCTATCAAGCTTTTTTGCGATGGGATCAGCCTTTTATTCCACCATGTGAATAAGTTTCCCTTGTAAATCAAGTCGTCCATATCAACATCATCTAGGCAAGTACGAAAATCTCTTGCTCTTTGATCCACTACTGGATTCACCACCGTTGAGTGCTCCGAAGGGTTTAACGTTTGATTAAAATCACCCAAAATTAGCCAAGCTTTACCTTGAACACGCTGGTGGGAATGCATATTTCTCAACTCTTGCCATAACTCTTGCCTAGTATCCACGTCATTGGATGCGTAGACCACTGAGATCACTATCCAACTCTGAGTGTCGGGGAGCAAGACCTCACACGTTATCATTTGCAGCGATTTACTGATGACTACAACTTTGACAGTAGGATGCCACAAAACCCAAATCTTACCCAACTCTGAAAAACCGTAGTTCTCCTCAAAAGACCAGCCCGGAAGAAGCTTATTTATAAACTTTACATTCTTCGGCTGCTTAACATGTGTTTCAATAATACCTCCAAAAATAGCTTTACTGCTTCTAAACCATTTCTTAAATCCGCTTCGGTGATTGAAAATATTGAATCCGCGGACGTTCCACCCAAAAAGTTTTGTACACATAAATTATTGGGGTTTGGGGCCCTTGCCCCTCATCCCTTTCTTATCTTTCATTGTTTGCACCTTCACATAGGCTCCCGGCGAATCGTAGTCATATTCCTCCAGCGTTCCAGCAGATGAAACATCAGAGGAATCCTCCTCAGCCTCTGAGACTTGTGAGGAATTTCCAGACTTCACCAAACTTTCAACCGGCTTCTCGGCCTTTTGGTGATCCTTTATACTTGCAGAGGGAGAGCCGATGGTGATTCCCGTGGGCGGCTTAGCTTTCACCTTATCCCGAAGTGAAATTTCTATCCATATTTCTTTACCTTCTCGCTGCCCTTTTCCGGGATCATCGGGTCGGTTTCTACGATTCTGTATATCTTTTCCTTTCCTAGGACACTTTTCAGTTGTATGTGCTGTTGATTTGCAGTCCAAACATAATATCGGTGCCGCTTTGCACCTCTTTATGTTATGGCCAATCTCCTTACAGTGCTCACAAATTGGAGGCATCCATGGGCTTGAAACCCGGACCCTACAGATTTCACCTGAGTCAAACTGGGCGTTCACAACTTCTGGCAGTGGCTTCCTCGGGTCGATAAGTGTAAAAACCTTTGCCACCTCCAAATTGGTCTTGTTTGCAGTTTGATGGTGGAGGAATTTGGGATTGCCAACGAGACTGGCGATGCGTTCTAAGCCATCGTCATTGAAGAATTGTAATGGCACATCCCTCAGTTCAAGCCATATCGGAGCAGAGGTTAGCTCTGGTTTAGCAGGAGTCAGGCCTGGTTCCCACTTAGCCACAAACATAGTTTGCCCCTCAATTTGCCACAAACGCTGGTTTATGACACGATGTCTGGTGGAAGCATTTGGAATCCGGAATAGAAAGGCGTATCCATCCATCTTGGACACCGAAATATCCCTGTAATGCTTGCTCCAAATACCATTAACAATATTGTGCAACAGACCTTGTGTTGGAGGATCGGAGTAAAACTGCCCCAGGACAAAACAATCCCATGATTTCCTGTTTTTCTCTATGACACTGTTTGGGATCTTGACACAAGCTTCACCGGAAGGAAGAATGAAAGCTTCACCTTTCTTCTCCAAGCGCTTTGAAGTTCCTTTGACTAGATCACACCACGAATCTGGGTCAGCCGTAGTCACAGCTTTCGCAGGAGGGGTTGTATGTGTGTTAGTCTCCAGGGGGCCTTCACAAACGACGGACGATGTTTCCGGTCCTGATACTGCCGTTTTCACGGCATCCACAGAAGCGGCATTTTGAGCTAGATCTGGGACTTCTTTGGTGGAAGCTAGATTTAGGTTAGATTTGATGGGCTTGTCTGTCTTTGAAACAGAGATTTGGGCATCAATTGCAGGCGGAGATGATGGAGTTTCATTTCCGGCAGCTGGGATCGACAACGGAAGGAGAATCTTAGATTCAACATGGGGGTTTGATGGAGGTGGGATTTTAGATTTGGCTGGTTTAGGCGAAGGGAGCTTCTTTGGGGGAGAGGATTTTTTGGGTGGCTTTTTCTGCCCCATGAGAGGCGGGCCTAGAGAAGGGGAATTTGGGGAATTCCGACGTCGGGTGCGACGCCGGAGCGCGATCGAGAAGGCACTCAGATTTCGCTCTTTTCGGGGAGAAGAGAGAGAAAGCCGATTTATAGTAGGTTGATTGTTATTAGGCATACTAGGTTGAATGATGCTTGTGCCTTATCTTAGTTTAGTATATGCGTATATTGTTGTGAATTATTATTATAATGTGTTTCATGTGGGCAGGGATGATCATTCCTCACTGAGTAATCCATTACTCACCCCTCTTTTTCTCCCTTTTTAGTGTGCAGGTGTGTTGCTTGTGTTTCAAGTTAGGGCGCGAGACCTAGGGCACAAGTTGAACGGAGAATGGGTATTACAGCAGAAATCGTCGAATTGCTCTCAAGATTGTCACAGCAATGAAGAACCCAAAATTTTATCTATGTCATTTTATGCTATGTAAAAGACCCCGTGTAAAAGCTCCTCATTTATGTTGTTTCCCAAAAGATGAATAACATAAGCTAAACAATGCGTTTTGTTTTGTATCACTTAACTGCAGTATAGTTTCATGGTTTATGATCATTTTGCATTCATTTAGTTTTGTATATATGCATCTTATCATTTCTTTTGCATTCTAGAGTCCTAGGTTAATCATATTGCCTTTTAGGAGTTCTAAAGTGTATTTGCTCGTCTTTTTGGTAATTTTTGGGTCAAAATAACGAATTTAAGTTCCATCATTCACTTAACTAAAATACATTTTGCATTTTCAAAACGAGTCAATAGTTCCATTATTTTATTAGTTTACCTAAAATTACATATTGTTATAAAATGTCTCTCATCAAATGAATTTACACGGAATAATTAATTATTCGTATATGTTTTTTTTCTCTCTTAGTAAAAAAAAAAATAATTTTGAGCATACCAGTATATATCATTGATGTGAAATTTGTGTATGATGAGAATATATATATATATATTAAGTTTCATACTAATGTGATTGCAATTGTCTACAATAGTTTTCTCCAAAATTTAATCCAAACTACAGAAGAATTCAATTAACCCGAACTAAAAACAAGAAACACAATATCGAGAATTACGAAAGCTTGAGCAACACGTATTGGTTTCTTGTGCTCCAAGCCGTCAAGTACCTCTCCGTTTCCTCTTTAAATCCCATTGCCCTCTTTAAAACCCATCAGCTCTCCGATATCAATCGCTTCATTGAACTTAACAGTGGGTGTCATCTGAAGAAAACCAATCAAAATAGATGAGAATCTTCCTTCCTGTATTTGATATTTCAATAACCAACTTGATAGAAATGTTGTTTATCACAGTTTATCACCTGCTCAAGTTTCATACGAAACTCCCTCCTCTGTCTCTCAATATCTTTCCGTCTCTCTTCAGCCTCTCTCTGTCTCCGTTCCTCAATATCCTGTTGACAATAAGTAAAGTTCTCATCTTTTTTTCTCCTTGCAAATCACAGTAAAGAAAATAAACAAGATCTTGTCTCCGTTTCTTTAACTTCAATTTTTGTTTATGCAGAGCCGCTTTCGATTCCCTCTCGTAGTCGGGTTTTCTAAATCCGACTTCTTTCATCGATACTCCATTAAACTGAACAGTGGCTTTCATCTGATGAAAAAACCACAAGAGAATTTGATATCTAAAACAACAAAAAGCAGTTGAGTAAAATGTTGACGAATCAAAATTCAAGACCTGGTCTAGTCTCAGTTTAGCCTCATTTCTCTGCCTCTGAATATCTCTCCGTCTCTCTTCCTCTGCATTCTCCAGAACTTGAGGGTGCATCTCCTGCCATTAAGTAAATCGAAACAGAGTAAAAAAACAAACAAAACAGAGACTCTGTTTTTTTTCTCGCAAATTCTTCTGGACTCTGTTTTTATCAACAGTAAATAACAGAATCAGATATTGTTTCAATTTTTTTTACCCTCAATCTTCGTTCCTCCACAGTCTCTTTTTCAGCCTCTCTCCTTTGCAACAACTCAATGTTCTCTCTCTGCACATTATCTTGAGCTAGTCTCCTCTGCAACAAAATGCTCTGTCTCTCTCTCTGTTCCTCCACAATCTCTTCAGCTTCCATCCTCTGCCACCCAATATTCTCTTCTCCCTCCACAAACCTCACTGGCTTGTATCCCGCAAATGCATCATCACCTACATATTCTGGAGAATCCGGAATAGTTCTCGCCTGAGAAGTAACATATCCACATAAGTAGCTTAACACAGAAAACATATAAAAGATCACATTTTCTCTACTTTACCCTCTTCTTTGCCATAGAACCTGACTCTGTTTCGTCTATCCTCTCATCAGCTCTCAACTCCAAAGGTGTGGCCTTGGCCGGACTATCAATGTTAATCCTCTCTGGAAGCTCCTGTTAACATGTTTCAAAGCAGCAAAGTAACATGAGGAAAAATTGCAACTTTGACTCAACCCAAAAAGTACAAATATATTTGTTCCCTCTTTCTTTCTCACCGGTGCAAGACGAGGAGGAGGAGGATGATTGTAGTAGCAAGTACTTCCATAGCCGCACTGGCCAGTTCTTAGATAATGCTTACAATCTACTGCACCGGGACGAACTGGATACTGCACCGTTTCATGAGTTTTCTCATGAAGCTGTTTCAAAGCCAATAAACGCATGAGGAAACTTGCAGCTTAAAGACTCAAGCCAAAATAGATAGCTTAATTCTCTGTGGAAGCTCCTATTAAGATGTTTTAAAGCAGAAAGCTATCAACTTTACCCTCTTCTTTGCCATAGAAATTGGCTCTGTTTCGTCTCTCCTCTCATCAGCTCTCAATTCCAAAGGTGTGGCCTTTGCCTGAATATCAATGTTAATTCTCTCTGGAAGCTCCTAATAAGATGTTTCAAAGCAGCAAGCTATCAACTTTGAATCAACCCAAAAAAGTTACATATTATATTTGTATTCCCTCTTTCTTTCTCACCGGTGCAAGAAGAGGAGGAGGATGATTGTAGTAGCAGTTACTTCCATAGCCACACTGACCAGTTCTTAGATAATGCTTACAATCTGCGGCACCGGGACGAACTGGATGCTGCACCTTTTCAAGTCTTATCTGAATTATCTCCTGAAGCTGTTTCAAAGCCAATAAACCCATGAGGAAACTTGCAACTTTAAGACTCAAGCCAAAAGAGATTATGTAGTTTTTTTCTTTTTGTTTCTCACCGGTGGATGATTGAAAATGCAACTTCCTCCATAGGCACATTGACCAGTTATCATATAATGCTTACAATTTGTCCCACCGGGACGTATCGGATACTCACTCGCTTGACCAAAATTCGGATTTGTAGCCTGATACAATCAAAACAAAGAAGAAGACGCTAATTCAAACACAGAGCAAGAAGTTAGTTTCTTTACAAAACGCTTTAATCAAAAAAGCATCACCCTTTGGCAAGAACAGAGTTTTGACTCTGTTTCATGGCGTCTTTGACTTCTCTCATCAAAATCTTTCTCTAGATACTAAGGCCCTGTTCGTTTGTGCATCTGGATGCAATTTTCAGATTCAGCATCTAGATACACTTCCAGATGCAGCATTTAGATATTGTTCGTTTTTAAAATCAGCTTTTGCATTCAGAAGTTGCATTTGAATGTGAATTTATTCGTTCGTGAATTTGTTAAAAAATCTAGATGCAAAATATATTAAATGACCAAACAAACATTTGGGATATTATTGATTTTGCATCCTATCTAGATTTCAATTTTTTCTGACAAAAGAACAACATTTCAGCGTTTGCCTGCCGACTGCAGCATCCAGATGCATAAAGGAACATGCCCAAATATGTTAAGGAGTTAAACCGAAATGCCAAATCAAATGAGTAATCAGAGCAAAAATGAGAGTAAATTCTAGCTTGTTTCTTCGTTTTACCTTGGTTTCTTCCATTGATGCCGACTCTGTTCTTGAAGCATATGTTCCCGTATCAGTTTCTTTATCCTTTTCGATCGTCTTCTATGAGTTCTCTCTTCAATTTTCTCGATTGTTTTCCCTGTTTTCCGGCAGTCAAAGAATGGTTTGATTCTTTAAATCCAGTACAGGATATGACTGGTTGTGTCTGTAAGCTGTAGAATTTAGGCTGTAGATATTTTTGTTCTGGCTGTAAATTTTAGTGTCGTAAGATTTATAACTCTAAATATTATTTTATTAAAATAAAATAAATAAAATATAGAAAACAAATTAGAAAATGAATGTACTAAAAGAGAATAACTGAATATGGAATGTCATTTGATTTGTACGTACTATGAAAAATCTGCTATGTAGAGCCAAAATATTTCCTTGTGTAAAATTGTGTCTTTGAATGTTTCTTCCATTGATGCCGACTCTGTTCTTGAAGCATATGTCCTGTATCAGTTTCTTTATCATTTTCGATCGTCTTCTATGAGTTCTCTTTTCAATTTTCTCAATTGTTTTCTCTGTTTTCCGGCAGTCAAAGAATGGTTTATACTTTAAATCCAGTACAGGATATGACTGGTTGTGTCTGTAAGCTGTAGAATTTAGACTGTAGATATTTTTGTTCTGGCTGTAAATTTTAGTGCCATAAGATTTATAATTCTAAATATTATTTTATTAAAATAAAATAAATAAAATATAGAAAACAAATTAGAAAATGAATGTACTAAAAGAGAATAACTGAATTTGGAATGTCATTTGATTTGTATGTACCATGAAAAATCTGCTATGTAGAGCCAAAATATTTCCTTATGTAAAATTGTGTCTTTGAATTTTAAAATCAAATCCAAAGTATGATTGGTATAATATTAGCGCTTTAGAAAGATATATAACTTTGTGTTGTTCTTAGAAGCACTTACCAATCACCTCCTAAAATTTATTGTTTGATAAAATAGTTTCCATAACAGTATTCAATGACTTCCCAAGTTTCACTTTCACACGAAAAAAGGAAAGAAAATATCTTGCAAACCACTTGACTTCATTTGTTTTTTTTTGCTTTGTATGAATATTAAGAGGTTTGTGTTTTTGAGAAATTTTAAGAAATACATTTTTGGAATATCAATTTTCAAAACTATACCTCTATGGTCTTAATTTTCATAATTACACATTTTTCTAAATTTAATATCTAAGTTTGGGTTCATTATTCCTTAAGTTAGTGTTTAAATTTTGGAATTTAAGGTTTAGTTTTAAGGGTTTAAAATTACTTTTTAGGGTTTATGTTTTAGACTACAGTTTGGTTTTACCAAATTGAACAGCTTTTTTTCTTTGGCGGCAAAATATTTATGGGTATTAATTTTGAAGAGATTTCGTTTCTTCAAGAGCTATTATGTTATGGGTATTGAAATGTTGATTTTGATATGATGAGAATATATTTCTACTTAAATACTTTCATACTGTAGTTTTGCACAACCTTAATCTTTATAAGTAATTTTAATCAAACGCACTAAACAACAACAAAAAAAATAAAAATAAAAAAAATCAAACTGAGAACAGGTATCGGTTTCTTGTGTTCCAAGGGATCTGAGAGTTTCTCCTTTGGTGTGTGTTCAAGCGAGAGAATGGTCCAATGGATCCGAATGTTGATGATTCAATTCAAACACCTGATCAAGTCTAAAATAAGCCTCCCTCCTTTTCCTCTAAATATCTCTCTCTCTGTTCCTCGTGATTCGGTTGATCATCAGCATGCTTCTCCTGAGAATTAGTAAATCAAAACAGAGTAAGGTTTTGCTCTTTTTTCTTCTCTTAAATTCTTCTGGAGTGAGTCTGTTTCATCATTATCATCAACTAGTAAAGAACATAATCAGAGCTTTGCTTTTTGTTTCTGTTTCTTTACCTTCAATGTTTGCTCCTCAACACTCTCAACGCTGCGATTCTGCTACGATAAATTGTTTCAAGAGTTAATCAAAAATCAGTAAAACAAAAATAAGGACAAATTCAGGTCTTCTTCAATTTCTTTACCATCTTCGTTCGTATGTATCCCTCCATAATTTCATCAATGATTTGACTTCTATCGTTGAATATTTCAAGCCCTACGTTATCCGGAATAGGTTTTGCCTGATAGTGAACAACACATCCATATAAGTGACTGAAATCAGTAAAATAAGATAAGAACAAAGTCAGTTTTTTTTAGGCTTGGGTAAATTATCTGTTATATTTGCTTCGATCCGCTATCCGTTCCGATTCGATCCGAAAAATCCGGATAACCGTAGTTTTATGAAGCAAAGCAAATACTAAAAACTAGTAGAGTACCCGCACGTTTGTGCGGTGTGACGTTGTTGTTTTGTGTAGAAAATTTAAACCCTAAATCCGAACCCGACAAAAAACCCTAATCAAAAAATTTAAAAACCCAAACTTTTTTAATAGGTCTAAACATGAAAATCCGAAATCAAAAAAATCCCGAAAACCCTGACTGAACAAAAAAAATCTGGAAACTTTTTCACCCGGAACCCGACCCCAATACCTAATCAAAATTTTAAAATACTCAATTTTTTTAATATATCTAAACCCGAAAACCAGAAATCTAAAAAATCCGGAAAACCCTAAACTGAAAAAAAAAATTGAACCTAACCCGAACAGAAATTTTCAAAGAAACCCGAACAATTTCTATATCTCTATATATATCTCTATAAAATTATGTCTCAGATTTTCACCCAAACCCGAACTTGTCTATAAAAACCCGAAAATCCAAAAAGCATATTCTATTGATTTGGAATTATCGTTAGATTATGTTAAGTTTTTTTTTTGCAGATTTTTAAGAGATGGAAAACGGAAGTTTTCTAAACCATCGGTTTATTTTAAGTTATTATTCTTGTATCCAAACAATTTTTTCCATTTATTCTTCTATCCAAATAGATTTTTCTCTTATTCTTATATCCAAACAACTTTTGTTTCCATTTATTCTTCTATCCAAATAGATGTTTCTCTAATTCTTGTATCCAAACATTAGAATGTACTTCTCAATTAATAATATAAAGATTAATATCCGTTAAAACCGGAGCAAATCACAAATACTGAAAATTTTAAAAGCCGGATATCCGATCCGCTCCGTTATACATATAGATATATCTATATATATATAATTACATATATAAATTGGATAATTGTTATATCTATATCTAAATTTTATAAATTTATATTCATCAAATTGTTTATTTAAACACAATGTTTTCTAAATAAAAATAAATAGTTAATATTTTCAATTAAAAATATTTTTTTGTGTTAAAAATTGATTTTTCTGAATATTTTAAATAAAAGTATATTTTTTTAATATTTACGGATCGGATAATCCGCGGATAGTAAACAAAATTATGGATATTCGGATCAAACGGGTCGGAGCGGATAATCCGCGGATCGTAAACAAAATTACGGATATCCGGATTTTCGGATCGGATCGGATCAGAAAATCAAATATCCGGGTGGAGCGGATCGGATCACGGATACATGTTTTTCCCCGGATATTTGCTCCGTGCCCAGGGCTAGTTTTTTTTACCATTCTCTCTCGCTTGAATCCCTCAACTATTTCATCAATCATTTGACTTCTTTTTATTTCTTCCTGAGCATGAAAATATCCAAATAAGTAGCTGAAAAAAACAGTAAAAAGAACAGAGTAACACTGTTCTCTTTTTTCTCCCTTGCAATCACAATCAAGAAGAGAATCAGATCTTATTTCAGTTTCTTTACCTTGAGTCTTTGTTCCTCCAAACTGTCTTTGCCTCTCACTATCTCTCTGTCTCTGTTCCTCAATATTCTGTTGAGAACAAGTAAATTAAATGAGAAAAAAAAAAAAAAAAAAAAAAAAAAAAAAAACAGACTTAACTTCTCTTCTTCTTTCTCCTTGCAAATCACACTAAAGAAGAGAATCAGATCTTTCTTTACCTTCAATATTGTTTCCTCCACACTCTCTTCAGCCTCTCTCCTTTCCATCTCAGTATCTGTCTGTGTCTTTTCCTGCACATTGTCTTGATCCTCTCTCCTCTGCCACTCAATGTTCTCTATTTGTCCATGTTCCTGCAGATTGCCTTGAACCTGTCCATGTTCCTGCTCATTTTCTTGAGCTTCTCTCCTCTGCCACTCAATGTTCTCTATTTGTCCATGTTCTTGCCCATTGTCATGAGCTTCTCTCCTCTGCCACTCAGTGTCCTCTCTCTGTGTATCTTCCTGAAGATTTTCTTGAACATGTCCCTGTTCCTTCTCCTAGGATTAGTTGTTTGAAGAAAAAGCAATGAGCTAAGCCAAGGAGTGACTGAAAATGAGAAAAAAACAAAAACAAGAACAAAAGTTTCTTTACCATCCTCTCTCGCATGTATCCGGCCACTATATCATCACAGATTTCACTTAGGCTTTTATTAAACCTCTTCTCTAGTCTGTATGCCCCCCTCATCTTCATGAGATCATTTTCTTGGAGAATCCGGAATAGTTCTCGCCTGAGAATGAACAAATCTATACATGTAAGTAACTTATAACAACAGTACATAAAATCTTTGAAACATAGATCAAGTTTTTCAATTTTCACATTTGGCTGATAAGAAGAATAGTATAGTAGCCATTATGAAATATTACCTGACGCTTATGTTCTGCGACTTCTCTCCTCTCTCTCTCAATTTTATCCTGCATAAAGTCTCTCCTCTGTCTCTCATTTGGTTCCTCTTGAGCATAATCACTGCGATTCTCTGGAATCCACTCTCCCTCCTCTACTTGACTTGAATAACGCTCTCTGTAATCCGGAGTAGTTTGTGTCTGTGAATGAAAATCCAAATAAGTAAAAGTGGAAACTTTAAAAGAAGAAAGATCAAATTTTTAGCTTTGTAAAATTTGTATTTGTATTTGTATTTCCCTGTATTGGCTTTCTAGCCTTTGTGGCTTTGTAATGGTGTTTCTCGTTTGAGAAGCATTCTATAAATAAAGTATGTTTTAAAAAAAAAAAAGATCAAATTTTTAGTTTACACTCACCTTCCTCTCTGCTCTGTATCTTGACTCTGTTTCGTGTCTTCTCGGAGTTCTCTCATCAAATCTCCGTTTGGTTTCACTCGCTCTCTGATCCGTATTCATAGCCTAAAAATAAAATAAAAAACGGAACTTTGATGAATCAAACTAATACAATAAATGCAGTCTTCTCTGCAAGATACTATTAGAATGAATAAATTTGGAATTCCCACCTGAGGAATATGAGAAGGATGATTGTAACGGCATCTTGTTCCAAAGCCACACCGACCAGTTCTTAGAAAATACGGACAGTCTTTTACTCTGTCATGATTTGGATACGCACTCGATTGTCTCTCATCAAATCTTCCTCTGGATTCAATTATTTCTCCCCAGTCCGTAGATCTTTCCTGAAGAATCAAAATGTTAATGAAAAAGTTAAGATCAAACAAAGCATACTGTGTTAAGAAGTTAGTCTCTTTATAACAAAAAAGGTTAGTTTCTTTACCCTCCTCTGATTCCAGAACCTCGACTCTGTTTCGTGGCTTCTCCTCTGTTGCCTCTCATCACCTCTCAGCCAATATCGCATGTCTGCGTCGGAATCTCTGTGATCACGAATCCGACCCGCTTCGTTTCCCTGAAAAAATCGTATTTTTTTATCTTGTTCACAATAAAAATAGCTTAGTATCTTTAGATTCTTTACCCTACTCTCTGCCCAGGATCTTGACTCTGCTTCGTATCTTCTATCACTTCTCTCATAAGACATCCTTCCTGATTCACTCGGCCTCAAATCCGTAGTTCGTCCCTTGAGAATCAAAATGGAACGAAGCGTTAAGTCAAAACATCACATTACGCAAGAACAGAGCCGTGAGCTCTTTACCTTCTTCTCTGACTCTACCCAGGATCTTGAATCTGTTTCGTGTCTCCAACTACTTCTCTCATTATTCCTCCTCTCTGGTTTACTCGGCCTCAAAATCCGGAGCTCGTCCCTGAGATTTAAAATTCAACGAAGTTAAGGTCTTTCTCGACTCTGTTTCTTGGCGTCTTTGACTTGTCTAAGTGAAACCGAAACGCCAAATCAAATGTGAAGTCAATAAGAACATTTTTACGTTCTTGTTCAGTTGTTTTTTTTTTTAACTTTTTACCTTCGTTTCTTCCATGGATCTCGACTCTGTTCTCTGAGCTTCTTTCAGATTCTCTCGTGGGTCTGCCATTAAGTTGAGAGTATGTTCTCCGTTCTCGTATCAGTTTCTTCGACTTCTTTTCTAATCTTCTCTTTTGTTCCTTTTTCTTTTCTCTCTTCCTTCTTTGTTCGCTGCAAATCAAATCAAAGATTATTTCGATTCTTTAAATCCAAAACTCTAAACTGGATGTTTAAAAAGATTGTTTCCGTAACAGAATATGTACTCCATCCAACGTCCCAAGAAATATTCGTGTTTAAAGACTTGTCTGTTTTCACACGAAACAAAATATAAAGGTTTATCTTTTGGCGGGAAATGTTTTTGGGTAAATTTTATGAATCTTTTATTTTTCTTAAACAGTTATTCTGTTATGGGTAACCAATAACTGAGTTCCAAATGAATTGACGCTTAACAAAATGTCTTCTTCTTTACGAAAATCATGTAAATTTGATTAAAACCCATTTCACAAACTATATACTAGTTTGATAGTGACAGAAACGCTCATCGCTTGAAACCACAAAATGTGCAATCATTTTTTACAGTAGAAGATAGAACCAGAAGCAAGTAAAAGGTCATATCGTACTATGACTTCCCTTCTGAGTCTCTTCTTCTTCTTCTTTCCGGGAAGCTGAAGTCAAACGTGGATCTCATACAGTATACCGAGGTTTAGCATTACGATCAAGCGTCTTTGCATCCTCCTGAAAAGAAAATTCGAACAAGCTAGTCACAAATCCAATAGCACAAACCAATGTAGTTTTAAGAGAAACATTAACAAAGACGTTGAAGAAATCTTTACATGAAATATGAATCCGATTGTCTCATTGTAACCAACAAGTTCCTTCCACTGCTTCCCAATGCTCAGCTGCAGCAACACCGCAAACAAGATATCAATCCAAAACGTAAAGCCTCACATGAACAGCAGAACATTTGATTAAATTGCCCCAAACTTAACCCAATGTATGTGTTTCTAGTCCATAGATATATTAACATCAATGATTATACCTGAGCCTCTTCATTTGCAGCGTTCTTAGTCCATAGAGAAACCTTGTCCCCTCTCGTTCTGAAATTCAAGACTGCACCGCAAATCTCATCTCCGTTCTCAAATTGCTCACCAACCAACGCAAGTAGCTAAAACAAGAAAATAACATCACAAGATGCATCCAACAAGCACAGCATATGAGCCTAAGGGAGGAAACCACAATGAAATGTTACAATATACCGTGTTGAGCCAATTGGATTCCAGTTTAGCCTTAGGGAACATCATAGTCCACTTTCCTCCATTAGCACAGATAGGATCTTCCCATTTCGGTTCGATTTTGTCTTTGAAGCAGTAAAGATCTGCCCCTGGAACCCACTTCGTTGGAGGATGCATGTTATTGTATACACTGCATAAAGCAGCGATAAATCACATCAGTCAATCACACACGATACGTTACAGATAGAGGAAACTTTAAACGCAGAATGACGAACAAACTAGCTTCTTAGATGGAAACAATCAATGAGCAGATTTCTGATGCAAGACTACAATTCATGCATAGATGCGATAACAATATTCTCCAATACAAAGATTGAGGCAATCCAAGAGAGAATTGGGGCAAAAATGCAGCCGTAAACCATTAGAACAAAAGAGATCGTAAGCAAAAATCACCGAATCCAAGGATTTCAAATTCGCTCTAGCTTACATTTTTCTACCGAATCCAAAGAAATTACCAGCGAGACAACAAGAACGAGATGCAATTCAACGTGAATCTCACCTCCAGAACTCTTCGATAGTAGCGAATGTATACAGTGATCTCAACGAGCTTCCCCAAGTGGCTTGATACGATTTCGAGCAAGGATTGTCGAACCAGAAGGTCCATGAATTCTGGAATGAGTGCGAATTTCGGATTACGGTGGTTGATTTCTTCGACGCATACTCATTTCCACCGCGCACGATCTTTTTCTCCTTCGTCGGACCTTCTTCGTCGCCGCCGCTTACGGCTCTAATCGCCGGGACGTGCTTCTCTTTGCGGCTAGAGTTCGCGGTGTTAGGATCGAGATTCTCTTCCGCCATAATCGTCGACACTGTAAAATCCTCAACCACCATTTTCTCTCCCTCTCTCTCGCTCGATCAGTTAGTTACTTTTCCGTTCGCTCCGTCGAGTCCGTCGTCTGTTGTAGACGGAGATGGAGAGAGAAGAGAGTTACCCGTAAACAAAACAAGCCAGTATCGGCCCATTAGGCTCATTAGAGGCCCATACTCATAAGCCAAATTAAAATGCGCGGGGAATTATTTTTTATTTTTTTAATTCAGCGAGAAAAACAAAGAGGGCTCGCGTAACGGCAACAGTCTCTCTCACACTCTTCCATCGATATCTGTGCGCTTTCTCTTTCTTCCTCCTCCTAAAGCTCACTCTACTTAAATAGCCAGAGCAAATCTCTTTCTCATTTAGGGTTTAACACCATCTTCTGGATCTCTCTCTCTCTCTCTCTGCAAGTTTAAGCCCATGGATTCACCTCTTTCAAGCTCCTGTAGATTCGTCGAAAATGGTGAGATCTGCTTGACTAATTTTGAAATTTCCCCATATTCTTCTCGGATAATGTGGTTTCTGGTCTCAATTTGTAGCGTTCTCTGCTTTAATGATGGTTGATTCTCTGTGTGGGTTTCTCGGTTGTTAGGGTTTTAGCTTCAGAATTTAAATAAATCTTTTTTAGAATGTTAAGGAAGTTGGTTTTGCGTTTGGTGATTTTACCCTTTTGTTTTGATAGGTGTCAATTCGGAAAGCATTATTTATATTTGTTGATATGATTAGTGACATAAGCCTGATTTTGTGATTTGACCGGAACCCTGATTTTGTGATTTAAGCCTGGTTTAGCAATTAGCATATCACAAAAGCTTAGTGTCAAAACCAATCAGCTGTGGTAATTCGTTGATATGAAGCAGTAATGTGGTATGGTTAAAACTAAGGTCGTTATTAGGTTTATTAGGAAGCATTGATCTTGAGGAATTGAAGACCTTAACTACTCTTTTCTCAGGCCTCAAAGTTTTGTCTTTTATGAATTTCCTTTTAGCTGCTGCTGCATAAAGTGTGTAAATTTGTTTTGCTATCTGCTTTTAGTTCCACAATTTTATTTGCTTTTGAGAGTAGATGGCCTAGAGGCTGCGTAAAGTGTGTAAGTTTGGTTTTGTTCTCTAACATACTCATATCTTGCATTATTCTCCCCTGATGTTAGGTCAAATCATACAAGTGAGATGTTGCCGAGGCCGAGAGCTGAGCCAAGGCTATTCACCTGGTTGAGTTGATGATGTGTATGCCTCAAGGTTTGGGGTAGGGAATGAAGCCATTGGTCCGTGCTTGTAGGATAGATGTATAAAATGTTTCATGTCTATCTTCCTCTTCCTTTTTTTGGAAATCTATTTGGATTCTTGAACTATAATGATTTCTGGTTCTTAATTCAAAGTTTTTCTCTGATAGAATTGGTTGGTTTTTTTGAATCATACAAAGAATTTACTTTGCATTCATAATACGTTTCCTACAACATCCACAAAATCAAATTGAAAGCAATACACATATATGGACCACTCGTAGCTTTGACTTTTGGAATCATGGAAGGAATGAGCTTGTGCTGTCTCTAGGTGCATCAAGATCTTGTGAGACTTTTTGTGAACCAGCCTTGCCTTGACCGAGGCAAGTTGGGGTGAGCCTGGATGGGAACACCTTCTTTCTTGATGCCGTTCTTTCGCTGACGGAATCCGAGAAACTCCTGAGATCGTTGAGCCGCTTCATCTTCTCTTTCTTCTGCTTCTTCTTTTGGAAGGAGAGGAAGAATGAAGCCATCACTCTGCTGGTGGCTTTTTTCCCTGATGGTGGTGAAGAAGAAGACGAGGTGGAAGGAGATTTCTCGAGTTTCAAATGCCGGTAATGGCGTTTAGGACAGCTGCTTGTGATCTTGATCAGGAGTTTCTTCCAACGCAGCACAATCTTCTGGTTGAATGTAACCAGTGAATCTGATGTCGTGGCTCTCATGTTGTATTATTTGCTCTATGTCTTTTAGCAAAAGCAAGTTCTGAGAGATAAGAACAGATGGTCTGTGTTGCTGCTCTATGCCTCAGGTGGGTTCTCTTTTTGTAGCCGTGGTTTGGCAGGTGGGTTTCACGTTTTTTTTTTTCAATCTTGACTTAAAGTTTGTGGTAGGCCATGATTATGCTCATTCACAAAGGCTTTTCTTGTTTTCTCTTACTTGAAAAGTGTGTAACATCAATTACTAATTCGTAGCTTACTTTAAAAGGTGTTTAGATCATTTTTTAATTCCTGAATTTTATATTTAGAGGGTTTTTGGCTAGTCATGTGATGCACTCGTTTCTTTGTTGTTTTGAAGCTAAATTTAAAAATGTTTTAAAAAAGTATATTCTGTTTTTCGTTTACGAAATTAGTTTTATCATAAAAGTCAAATTTGAATTGAAATTTATGTGTACTTTTGGCTCCGAATGGAAAAAGCGGATCAAGCGGAACTAGCGGATCAAGCGTTTCAAGTGCGGATCAAGCGGATCTAATGGTTCAAAAATATGTTTGAATGGAAAAAACAGATATAAAGCGGTCCAAAACACTGTACATATATATTAAATTATTATTTTATTTTATTATAGTTAAAATAATAAAATTAGGTTTTTATAAATTTTAATTTATAAACACAACAATATGAAATCTATTATGTATAAATATTGGGTATTTATATTATTATAAATATAAGTGTTAATTTTGAATATCAAAAATTGATAACCAATAGACATCAAAAGGTCTAATTGTAAATAATAATTAAAATTGAAAAGTTAGAACATAAAATATAAGTAATGGATCTAGTTTTATTTCTTAGAAAAACTGATCTAGGTTAAATATCTATATCAAACATAAAAGGTTTATAATATAAAATAATAAAAACTTAAGTTAAAAAAGAAGAATGGCACGCTATTCACCCCAAGAATGGAGTGACATTACTGTTACAAACGGATCTATTATTTTGTGAATAAATAAGAAACGCTAGTGGATCATATTACTGTTTATTGTTTTTTATCCACATTGTATTACACAAATTTTGTTGAATGGAGAAAGTAAAGCTGTTCGTCCCATGTAACGTTTCATCCGCCTTTTCTACACCTTTCATTTAAGGCCTTTATCTTTGGCCTAATGCATTGACTCGGATTTGAAACCAAGGTCCTGAAAAGGTAACAACGGTAATATTGTGGTTGACGGGTGGCAACAAATTTTAGTATTTTACTGTTGTAAATACTAAATAGTACAGTAGAAATTCTATAAATTAATAATATCGGGACTTTGATATTTTATTAATTTATAAAGTTATTAATATATAGATTTTGACTAATTTAAAAAAAAAATCAATAATAATAATCTTTTAAATTTTCCTTCAAATTAAATAAGAACTTTCCATTATACGTATATTTTCTTAACTTTTTTTTATGTTTCTATATTTACTCTATTGTTTTCATTTTTTCATACTTCCATATTGTTTTAAATTTCCATATTTGTTGATGTGTGAGAGATTCATATTTTCGTAAATAGATATCTTTAGTATATATATATATATATATATAAGTTTTTATATGATAATTATTAATTTATGATATTACTGGGACCATATTTTAATATTTTACATAAGAGTTTAAAAAAATTATTATATTATTATCTTATTAAATTGTGTCATATTTTACATCGGCCCAACTTGGGGCCGGAGGAATTTATTAATTTATCGATTATTAATTTATAGAGTTTCTATTGTATTATCTGCAGTCAATAATAAAAACCGGTTAAAAGACCGATACATTGGAAGTAATTTGTGTTCGTAGTGGTAAATTGGAATTAAAGCTGATTTTTACCATTAAAATAAAATCTATACATACGATATGATACCATAATTTAGTTTCATTTTCTTTGTAAGAAATGTGTAAAATTGAAAGTGAATACATATGACTCTATCAAAAAAGTAAATGAATACATATGCAAATTTTCATAAATTAATTTGGGCATTTTTTAAATAATAAAATAAAATAAAACTCCTTATCTCTTTCCACTACGGGAGAGATTCTGGTTTTTCCACATAAGAGACAAAAAGGAGAACGCAGTCCACACACACAGACACCTCACTCTGGGAGAATCTTACGGCAGAGAGAGAGAGAGAGAGAAACTTTGAAGTTAACGAACAGTTTCATTCAATTTTTTTTCTGGGGGCGAAGTAATCCAGAGTTTCGATCGATCATGCCGTCGGGTGCGAAGAAGAGGAAGGCGCTGAAGAAGAAGCAGCAACAGGAATCGAGTAGAACAAGTACGAACAATCAGGGTTTCAATGGCGATAATCTCCATGGTACATTTCATACTCTCCTTCTCGATTTTGGTTTCCGGATTTTGTTGTTTGCTAGGTTCGATAGATTTCTCTTGAATGTTGTTTGAGAAATTTCGTTATAGTATCGCGTCGAAATTAACCATTTGCGTGATTCATGTATAGAGATCTGTTTGATTTCTGCTCAAATAACTTGTGCCTTTGGCTCGTCTCGCTGATTCTTTGAAAATTCTCTGAATGTATCTGTTTTGATCTAAGAGAAATCAATAAATTGGCAAACGAATACTTCGTTCATGACTTTAGCGAGACTTTGTTGGACTGATGACTGAGCATCATTTGTAACAAGTCCTGAATCGTTTTCTGCTATCATTTTGCAGTATTCTTGTGTGCTCAGTGGTTTCTTGTTTGATCTGAATGTGTCAGGAAATGGAAGCCAAGATGATAGGGAAAGTGATAGCAATTTGAGCTCCCCTGGTTCTCAAGGAAATGAAGAGTTTGGTGCCAAAGATCAGTCTGCTGCTCTATCATCTGCTAAAGAGTTATCAGGAGATGAAAATGTTACTCAGGGACTAAGTCAGAAAAGTGGAAACGGTATTGCGGCGGCTGAGAGAGGAGCTGATGACAAGAAAATTACTGTGGAGAAACCAGTCAAATCCTCTTCTGAGAAGTATACTCACACAGCTAAAAACGTAGCTTGTCAGGATCCTTGTGGTAATTCGATTACCGAAATCGCTCCTGTTGCCGATTCTGTGAAACCTGTGGTGTTTGTCTCCAAAGTAGTGATTCCTGAAAAGAGTGAGCACGTTGAGGCCTCAACACACTCAAATATGGTCAAACACAAGTCTGTGGAGAATAAAGAGTACCCATCTGCAGAGAGTGTAAGAGAATCTGAAGCTCCAGTATCCTCTGAGGAAAAGGTATCATCTTTTTTTCTTCTTCTTGCATCATTTACATGTGAATTTTCTCTTTTAAAGTTTGCTGAATCTCTCCTGTGACGTATGCAGCGTATTTTGCTGCCTGGTCCACCAGCCGTCCGAACTTCGTGGTTGAGTTGCTGCGGTTTGTTTGATGCTATGTCAGGATCTGATAGATAAACACAGGTTAGTCTTGGTTTTAAGATTCTTGGTACATGTACATGAGTCTTGTTTTTGTGATGATTTCCTTGAATTCACTTAATTTCTAGAGTAACATCTAAATGGTCTAGTAAGAGGGTTTGTGGAGTATGCATATTGAATTGTGAGTAGCTCTTAGGTAGATTGTTTAGCTCGGAGTTTTCATCTGTTTATCCACTTTGAAACCTTTCTCGGGTACGCTTTTCTAATTATTTCATTGTTATGCTTCTTCTACAGTAGATACTGAGATTGTTTAGAACCAATGTCAAATAGCTATTAGCTTCTCCTTTTGTTTTCTTGTTTGCTAGTCTTGATAGCTATTAGTTACCTTGATGTTGTGTTATTTAGGCTGGTAGCTTAAAACTCATCTCTTCACATTTTCCAACCAGTGAAAAAGGATCAGATTCTTGTACTTTCTCTCCACTCTTCCTCAGGGATCAAAGTTCTTTTGTTGTTCGTGTGTGAATCTTAAACAAGATTGTTTTTTTAATGTTTAACATGGCTCATTAACATGTCTTCTATGTATTGTACTGCGGAAGAGCAGGAGCTACTAGATAAAGGTGGACGCGTTTGGCAGCCAAAGCTCTAAAAGCTCAAAGACAACTGCATATACAGGATTCATGGTCCGTAGACTCTTCTCTGTACATTGTCTTTGATAGATAAAATAATATGGGCGGCTTTTAGCAACATACAAACAAAGACCAAACCTCCTTTAACAGGGTTAAATTTCTTTTTCTTCTCGGGAAATACAGTTCATTTGTTCATTAAATGGATTTTAGAGTCATGAGACCAAATATAGCTCTATTTTTTCTTATCAATTATCGTCTCCGATCCATTTCAAGCCTCAAAGTTTGATTTTATATTTTTATTCAAGGAACACAGTGACATACACACACAAAACAAGATCTGAAGTCTTTTGTACACAAAGAATGCATGAATTTATATATCTTAAGCTTTTGTTCAACTTCCTATGAAAATAACACACACGCACACAAACAAGCGATCACACACTCAATCCGGAGTTTCCGATGATTGACACGAAAAGAAAGAAAGAAACCCAAAAGCCCATGATACCCTTAAGTAGGTCTTCTCACGCCGTGAACAGCGGCGATGTAGAGAAGCTGTGTCACTGAAAGTATGATCAAGAACGCCTCCATGGTCCTCTACAGAGAAGAAGGAGAAGAACATGAAGCCAATGATTGTCGGATTTTTGTTTCTCTCCAAAATTAAATCTATTAAGATATGAGAATAGAGAAAAGCCTTACCAGTTTAGCATTTCTCCTAGAAATCTCGATCTCTTTCCAGGCGAATCTGTTGATTAAAGAATGATTGATTAGTCTTACCATCGATCTCCCAAAAACAAGAAGTAAACGAGAGAGATTTGTATGTTAATATTACCCCATAGCAAGGAGTGTGAGGGTCCAAGCAATAGTTGCAGCTGTGGCTGCAGCCGGTAAGCTTCCAACGGTCCAAGAACGAATGTGGCTAAGGCCCGAGATTGTGGAAGCCGCACCAACTACACCGGCCAGTAACGCGAATGTCACAAAGAATCCTGTGGCTGCGTTTCCCATCGGAAAATAAATTGGGGAGAAATGTGCTGGAAGGTTGAAATCAGGGCCTGCTCATTTTGTTTGTTTTTTCACAAGTACCAACAGACAATGTTACGACAAGTTAAATAACAACAAAAACAAACTATAAAGAGAGATTTTAACTGAGTTCTTAAATCTTACCGATGAGGAAGCCATGGTCGATGGCTCGGTTCATTGCCCATCCTGCAATACCAAGAACAATCACATACATGCAGAAGTTCAATACCAGAAGAAGAGAAGCAACAGGTTTCATTTGCTCTCCCGCCATTTCTCCTTTTGGACGAAAAGAAAACTACAAAATCGGGAGAAGAGAGAAGAAATAAAATATTGAGGAAAGATTAGTTTTGTTCTTATGTTTGGAATGAGGCATAACGAAGCTGCTTTATATACTAACTTGCATTGTTCTTTTCTTGTTAAGGCTGCTGGTGATAAAGAAAGGTTTTATTAGGGTGCTGTAAAGTTCATAGCTTGAAGCTGAAGGCAAATTTTATAAAACCTAAGATTCTTGGCTTTGCTCTTTGTACATGTAGAAAGTATTGTCCGATTTTCAAGAGTTTTTTAAGATGTTCTTACAGAAGACAAAAGGTAGATTCTTTAGCAGTTTCATGTCTCCTTATTCATTTAGCTTTTTATCCAATTGAGACATGGTATTTATTTCAAACAATTCTCAATGGTTTTGGAAAAATTCCAGAGCTAATTTTTGAGTTAGTACATTAAAAAACATTTCTGATCAAAATGAAAATTTGGTATATTAATCGCTAAAGTAGAAAACATCCATCATATCTAAAAAGGCTAAATTGAATTTCAGAATTTTATTTTTTACCTTTCACATTCACATCTTCCAGTTCCTTATGTGAACACTATGCCAAATTCTGGATGTTTTTTTCTACTTCAAATCCAATTTTCTTTTCCGAAACAGAGACGTGAAGTAATTTTAATTTTTGTTATAAAGTATGAAAAATATTAGAATCTTTACAAAAAAATGCTATCCATCTTCTCTAGCTAAGAAACTCTAAAATACAAGCAATTGCTGAGTACTATGTTTTTGTTGTTGAAAAGAGCATTGTGAAGAACATCTAGCACTAGAGATTGACATTAACAAAGCCTTTTCTGTGTCTCCATCCATTCTTCTTTCGACCAATTTGATGAGATACTCTAAGAAAACCGAATCGAAAGGCAACGTGATTGGTCCACCAGAAGGGAGGCCAAACTCTTCTTCAGAGCTCTTCAAGAGCTCTTGGAAAACAGAGTTTCGCAGGTAACTTATTGGAAAAGCAAACCGTTTGTTATCCACCGTGTAAACCACGAAACAACCCTTCTCTACAGCAGTACTTGAACTATGAAATGAGATTCTTTTTCTGCTTAAGACTGCTCTCTGTTGCCATTTCTTGGCCATCTTGATTAGCTTCTTTGTGTTCATCACCATTTTTTTTTGGGAAAAGAAAAAGAGATACTATTTTTGTTTGTTATGTTGCAGAAATCTTTGAATGAATGCAAGTTGTGATTGATGAAGAATGGAATAAGCTTTGGTGCATTATATAGAAGGAGAAAAATATTAAGAGTTTAGATAAATTGAAGAGCCAACAAACAGAAACACATGCCTCTCTATTTCTTGTCTATGGTCATAAACTCTTAAGGGTCCCAAGTTAGTAATCAACTTGTGGATTAAAACATATATGGTGAGAACTGAGAAGACATGACCATGTGGGTATGAATCTTTTAATTTCAAGATTTGGTAGATATCATACAATACAACCACACAAATAGATTTGAAGGTGAAAGGAAGATGGAGACAACATATTTGGTGAGAAGACATGACCATGTGAATATAAACATTATACAAATTATTTATAAGAAACAAAGACATGTGCAAATGAGGCAAGATGTAGAAGAACAACATCTGAAGTTGAAAGATGGACAACAACATAAGCGTCTAAACCGAACCGAATTAAAATCTCGTAATATCGATTTAATTAAACCGAAACGAACCGGTTTGAACCAAAAACCCTCATCTTGCTACGCTCCTCCTAAATCGCTACTTATATAAAGCCGACGCCGTAGTTTCGTAGAACCCATTCCTTTCTTCTGTTTCCTTGTCGTCTGCGAATCTAAGCTCCGATTTTAGGGTTTTTTCATATCTCCGTTCATGTATGATTTTCGAAGAAAGTGATGATATGAAATTGTCGCCCCAGTCTTAATTTGTATCCATTGCGATGGATGTAACATGGTGATTGACTATTTTCGTCTGATTCTCTAAATTTCTCGATTCTATCATTCTTTTTTACTTGGTTTATGTAGTAATCGTGGACTAGGTTATGTTTTAGTATAGTTATTTCTGTTTCTAAGATCTTGTATATTGTGAAATTTGTTACCTATGATGAAAGTGATGATATGAAATTGTCGCCCCAGTCTTAATCTGCATCCATTACGATGGATGTAAACATGGTGATTGACTATTTTTGTCTGATTCTTCAATTTTCTAAATCTTTTTCTATTGTTTGTTTGAGATTTTACTCTTTATTTAAGGATATGATGAAATGGCATAATGTTTTGTGACACCCAGTCTGATCTGCTTCTGCAGAGTGAGTGATTTGCCATAGTTTCTGATCCTAAATTCAACCATTGCTTCTTCTGTTATCAAAGTGTTGTTTTTTATTTTGTGGGTAAAGAGAGGAATGAGAAAGATATTACCATACGTCTGAAAATCTGAATATACAATGTTGATTCATAGACATGCACTACCATCTGACCTCTTTTCAAGCATTTTTAAATGTTGTTTGTTTTCAAATTATTCTAGATTATGATCTGCAGTCAATGATGAAAATTGTGTCCTATTCAATGATAATCCCATGATTATTAATCACTTGATCACCATCTTTCGGCTGAGATTGCAGATTTTGATCTTTGATTTTTATCCATTATTGTTTTATTATGGATGTGATGAAATGGCATAATGTTTTGTGACACCCAGTCTGATCTGCTTCTGCAGTATTGAGTGATTTGCCATAGTTTCTGATCTTAATTCAATTAATTGCTTTTGTAAGAGAGGAGGAATGAGGATTATATTACCATACCGTCTGCAAATCTGAATTTCACTGTTGAGTTATGACATGCACTACCATCTGACCTCTTCTCAGAGTGTTATCTTTGTGGTTTTTTGTTCGTTTTCAAATCTTCTATTGTATTGTTTTGATTTACTGCAATCAATGATGAAGAAAATCGTCCATATTTAATGATAATCCCGTGATTATTAAACATTAGATCACCATCTTTCGACTGAGATTGCTGATTTATATTAACTAGTTGATTTGGTTTTGTGATTTTTTGGTTAATTTTGCCTATGGTATCTGATGTCCAAAGTTTTTAAATTGTAGTTGGACATTTCGTTTTTCAGAGGCAGAAAGTGAAAGAACAGGCCTTTGCGACACTGTTAGCTGTTTATTACCTAAGCTACCTGTTACTTATTTACCTGTTTACATGTTACGTATCTCTGGATTTTTGGTATATTTTGTCTCTTGTATTGTTCGTTAATATTTTGCAGGTTCATTGGCTTGTTCTCTTGGACTGGAAGTGGCTTCTCATTTGGATTAGCTATTATCACTTAAGAAGATTTAGTTCACAGTTGTTTTATGACCCAGTTGATGTATTATTTCTAGTTGCTTTAATGTAAACCATCAAGTCTTTAATCTATATGCTTGTGTAATGTCTACATTTCAAATTTTATTTCAACCCGATTGCCTGTCATGTTTCTCGTGTAATTTTCGCTGTGCTCTGAGCTATTAGTGAGAAAATTGTGTACCAATAGCTAGATCACCATCTTTCAATGCGGTTTCTTTTGTTTATTTGAATATCAACGCAAACGATATATTCAAACTATTCAGAATGGTAAGAGATTAGTCATGTTCACTTCGATCTTGATTAGCAATTATTCGACATGGGATGTTAGTTTGTATTCATGTAAATATTGTATGATTAAAAGTTTAGTTCCCTAAGTGCTTGAGAAATTGCTGTCCATATAGTTTTGCAGTTGTTTATTCAACTTATTTACAAGGTGGCCGAATTTGTAAATGTCAGTTACAACTTACAAGTTATGCACTTGTTTCTTTCATAATTTCAGTTTCCATATGTTGAAAGAGAGTATTGTCGAAATTTGTTTTGTATTCCAGTGGTATTATCTAACTAAAAGAGATTTACAAATTGGTTTGTCTCTTTCTAAAATACAAGCAATTGTTGACTAGTACTACTCTGTTCTTGCAAAGAACATTGTGAAGAACATCTAGCACTAGAGATTGACATTAGCAGAGCCTTTTCTGTGTCTCCATCCATTCGTCTTTCCACCAATTTGATGAGATACTCCAAGAAAACCGAATCGAACGGCAACGTGATTGGTCCACCGGCAGGGAGGCCAAACTCTTCTTCAGAGATCTTCAAGAGCTCTTGGAAAACAGAGTTGCTCAGGTACCTTAACGGAAAAGCAAAGCGAATGTTATCCACCGTGTAAACCACGAAACAGCCCTTCTCTACAGAGGCTGAGCTGCTACTTGTAGTAGTATTTGATTTTTGGAATGAGATTCTTTTTCTGCTTAAGGCTGCTCTTTGTTGCCATTTCTTGGCCATCTTGATTAACTTCTTTGTGTTCATCATTCTTTCTCAGGGAAAATATTTCTTAGATGGGAAGTGAGAAAGGAAAGATTTGTAAGTTGTGTTTGTAGAGCTCTCTGAATGAAAGTTGTGAGTGATAAAGAATGCTTTAAGCTTTGTTGGGTTATATAGAAGGAGAAACTATTAGTTTTAGACACAACACATGCTTATGTTTTTACTCTAAGGGTCCCAAGTAGGTAATCAATCATGTCTGCAAATCAACTTGTGGACTATACAAGTTATCGTGACAAGACATGATCATCTGGGTATAAATTCCATATGATAAATTAGGTACTGCGACATTGATGAAGAACGCAAGAGGCCCTTCACTCTTGGTATAGTATATACAAGAGAAGCCAAAAAGAAACAAACTCATGCTTCTGTATAGCTCTGTTTCTTAGCATAAGGGTCCCTATGCCCTAGCTAGTTGGTTAGTAGAAAAATCAGCCAAATTTACGTCACACAAATAATAGGTCAAGTATATAGTAGGGGAAACAATTTTTTTTTGTGAAATCAGAGAGATAGGCACAAAGAAAGACATGTGCTGGTGAAGCTAAGGAGAAGAACATGTAGGTCCTTAGATTTCTCGCCAGCGAATCAACTATTCCTGCTATAGTTTCACATTTACTTGAGATGGATTAAGTTTAGATCATACAAACATCTCGTGTCTGTATAACTCCTAAGATATTGATAGGGGCAATGTAAGAATTTTTTTATGACAGAACCAAAAGATATCGAAATTTCTATCATTTTTCTTTGTTTACAATGAAATTGATGGGAGAAAAAAAATAATGGTTTGTATATATGAAAGAACTAGGTGGTTGTCCCTCACCTTGTGCGGGTACAATTGTTTTTAAATAAATAAATTAATTAAATATTTTAACAATATAAGTAGTAGAATTTTTTGATTATATACTTTTTTTGTTTTCGCCAACTTCTTATTTCTGTAATTTTGATGTGTTTTACTTTTGTCTTTTCTTTCTCGTTCTTCTATATAATATTTTTCATTCGTTTAGAGAGATACAAAAGATTTTCCACTTCTTATTTTGTTCTCTTTTATTCTTCTCCAATGATCTCACCTTCTTATGTTTCTTTCAATTTTCGTTCTCATCACCTTTTAAGCTTTTTTCTTCCAATTTTTGTTCTTCAATCTTTTCTTATATCTTCATATTTTCCAACTCACTATTCTTCTTTTTTCTTTCTAATTTTCTTTACATTTTTTCCGGTTTTTCTTCTTCCTCATTCCCCCTCTCTCTATCTTTATCATCTTCTTATTCTCTAACATCATATTATTCTAGTTTTTAGTTATCTCTTTTTTTTTGGGTTAATTAGCTGAATATACATATTGGGAAAATAATTAAGAATATAGCCATAGCAATAGTTTGGCTAGAGTACATAAATACATACATCAAATTTTACCTATATTAACCCTCACCAAATTTTATACCATATTAAAAAGTATAGTACAGTTTGGTCGATTTTAAACCCAAAATTCAAACCCTAAACCTTCAACACACAAATCTAAACCCTAAACCCAAAATCTAAACCCTAAACCCAAAAAACTAAACTTTAAACTCAAAAACAAAATCCTAAACTCAAAAAACTAAACCCTAATTTAGAAAACTGAACCCTAAACCCCATAAACTAAATTCTAATTTATGAAAAAACCTTAAATCTAAAATCTCAATTTGAAACCCAAAAAACTAAACCCTGATTTTGGAAACTTTGCCATATCCCTAAACCCTAAACCTAATATATAAATCTTAAACTCAAACTCCAAAATTCTAAACCCAAAAATATAAACTCAAACCTAATATATGAATACTAAACACAAAATCTAAACTCTAAACCTAAAAAACTAAACCCTAAACCATAAATGAGAAAAAAAGAACAAGTTATTCTATCCCATACACACACAAAAAATAGTACGGAATTGAATTTTATACATATTAGAAAAAGGACAAAACTGGTATTATTGTAGAAAATATACTTTGTATCCTAGCCAAGACTTTGATATGGTTAGTTTGTTAATTTTGACTTCCAATATGATTATTCATTACAAATTCCCTTTTTTTTTCTTCACATTTCATTTTTTCTTCTTTGATTTCTTTTTCCTCATATTCGAGTTTTCTTCTTCTTCTCCATTCGTTTAAAGAGATACAAAAGATTTCTCACTTCTTATTTTGTTCTCTTTTGTTCTTCTCCAATGATCTCACCTTCTTCTTTTTCTTTCAATTTTATATTCATTCTCATCATCTTTTTATTTTTCTTCTTCCAATTTTTGTTATTCAATCTTTTCTTATATCTTCATATCTTCCAGCTCACTATTCTTCTTTTTTTTTCTTTCTAATTTTCTTTACATTTTTTTTTTCGGTTTTCTTCTTCCTCATTCCCCCTTTCTCTATCTTTATCATCTTCGTCTTGTCTAACATCATATTTTTCTATTTTTTATTTATCTCTTCTTTTATTTCTTCACATTTCATTTTTTCATTTTTTATTTCTTTTTCCTCAAGTTCGAGTTTTTTTATTCTTCTCCAAATTTCTCAACTTCTTTTTTACTGTCTTCTTTTCTTTTGTGTTTTTATTCATTCTTGTCTACGTCTTGTAATTCATCTATCAATTCATCTGATAGTTTATATTTTCAAGGATTTATGAAATAGTTTTTATCTTTATATAGTCGAGATCTTTTAAAAATCTATTGGTTTTGTTATCTTTCCATTCTGGATTTGCTTTAATTTTTCTATTTGTGAATATAATTTAGAAAGTTGAATATAAATTTATAAACAATGATTTTTAATTATGATATTCTTCCATTCAAATGTTTAAAAATGCACCAAAAACTAAACCCTACACCCATCAATATAAACCCTACATCCTAAACCCAAGACCCACAGTGTAACACCACCCCTCTAAATAACCCTACACCCAAACCCCACAATATAACAACCCCTTCCCCCATCCTCCCCCCAAAAGCAACCCTGCACCCTAAACCTAAATCCCACATTATAATTTCCCCCTCCTCTAACCGCACATCCGAACCCCACATTTTATAAATTGATTCTAGATTTGCTTTTATTTTTATTTCTAATTTTTTTTAAAGTTTTTTTTTTGTTTTTTTAATCAGTAACGTATTGTATTCAGAATTTTTCATCAAAAACTAAACCTTACGCCAATCAATATAAACCGTACATCATAAACCCCAACTCCATACTATCTTCTTCTTTTACTTCTTTCATAATTTTTTCCTTCATTTTCTACTATTTTTTCTTATTCTTATCAAACTTTATATTCTCTTTTTATTTTCCTCTCCTTTCATCATCATCTATTTATTTCCTGATTTTTATTCGTTTTCTTCCTTTTATTTACAATTTGTTTTTCATTTGGCTTTGTGTTCTTATTCTTCATTTTTGTATCTTTTGATTTTTCCAGCTTCTTTGTTGTTCACATATTCTTCAATTATCTTCTTCTTCTATTTTTTCGTCTTCGTCTTCCAACTTCCGTCTTTTCCTTATTATTATTCAGGGTTTTCTTCTTATTTCATATCCGATTAATCGTCTAGTTTGGGATTTATTTTATTTTTGTTTAATTTGGTGTAATTGTTGTTGTTGTTGTACAAAAGTTTCAAAATATATTTTAAAAATTTCGCAATGTTATTTATTAATCGATATGATTTTGAAAAAAAAGTAGTTGTTTAGCTATTTCCTTTATCATTAATTTTTATCAAGAACTAAAGATTAAAAAAATGCACAAAAAACTAAACCCTACACCCACCAATATAAACCCTAACCCTACAATAAACACCCCCCATCTATACATTACACCATAACCACATAGTAGACAACTCTTTTTAATTTTAAATAAAACTTTTTTTTGCTTAATTTGTTGTAATTGTTGTTGTACAAAAATTCACATGATATTTTAAAAATACGAAATGTTTTTATTAAATCGATATGATTTGAACAAAGATTAAACAATTTAGTTGTTTAACTATTTCCTTTATCCTTTAAATTTTTCAAGAACTAAGGATTTTATAAACGCACAAAAAACTAAACCCTACATTCTAAATCATAACCCTAAAATAACCCCCCCTATTCATACAGTACACCATAACCAGATAGTAGACAACTCTTTTTAATTTTAAATAGATCTTCTTTTTTTCTTAATTTGTTGTAATTGTTGTTCTTGTACAAAAATTTATATGATATTTTAAGAATACACAATGTTTTTATTTAATCAATGTGATTTGAACAAAAGATTAAACAATTTAGTTGTTTAACTATTTCCTTTATCCTTTAAATTTTAAAAGCGCACAAAAAAAACTAAACCTTACACCCACCAATATAAACCCTACCTTCTAAATCCTAACCCTACAATACCCCCTCCTCCTTTCCATCCGTACAACATAAACACATAATAGACAATGCTTGTCAATTTTAATGATTTTTTTGGCTTAAATTGGTGTTTTCTCCACCTTGTTTAATGAATTTTTAAAATATTATTTTGGTTTAATCTTCATCGTAAATAATGTGGCTTAATTTGGTGTTTTCTCCGCCTTGTTTAATGAATTTTATAAATATATTTTAAACCATCGTAAAGATACTCAATGGTATTTTTGTTTGGTCTTATTTTGTGGCAATAATAAACACAAATCCAATCGTTTCTTTATTAAAACACTATCATTTCAAAACCAAAAACTAAAATCAGAGAAAAATAATTTATTTGGCAACAAACTCTAACATCACCAGCATCTATATATATATATATATATCCTTCTTCCTCCGTCTCTTGAACGTTTGTAGTAAACTATAGGTGTCATTAAGTCGCTCAAGTAAAGCATTACCCTTGATTTAGACAAGATAGCTTACCGCTATAATAAAGAAGATGAAAAAAGACTGCAGCAACTGTAACATAGTTTTATCGTACTTTATAAGTTAATAACATTCATACAACCTAAAACAGAGCTACCTAACCCCTATAACACAAAACAAAATTTCAAATTTACA